TTCAAAGTTTCAGACGTGCAAACGTTAACAAACAAACAAAATTGCTTTCCCAATATTAATATTGACAGATTTATGGCGAGATCCTATCTTAATTTCCCATTTGACCCCCACAATGGTTCATCTTGCACTGCATTGGAATTTAACTAACCATAAACCGATTTTATCGGCGATATCCTCGAACCCAAATTAATTGGATTATTGATTGAGTGAGATACTGGAACAGACGCGGGCTACATGCATCCATAATCTGATAATAGGCGCTTTACTATAATGGGTTTCCAATAATTAGGGCAAATTAAATTATTAGCGTAGTATTATGTGGGTTGTAGGCATTATAATAAGTAATTAACTACTTAGGCAACTAAGTACCTAGTAACAAATATTATGTACCCAGGTATTATTATTGTCTCCTTGCGTTCTTAAAAAAAATATATTTTCAATGTAACAAAGAAATGCGCAATTAGAAAGGAATTTTAAAAATCTATTCGTCGATTCGTCTTCGAATTCGACTCGTCGAATTGTTCTTTAACGAATCTAATTAGAGTTAAAAAGGCACGGATTTTAATTCACATCTTAGGTAACTGCAGAAAAGCCCCTGTTTACCTATGTAGGTATCCCTTTTATGTAAGTAATCCTTTATACCTCACTTAGTACCTACTTGAATGTATTCCAGACGCGGTAGAAATTCATTACCTATCCACAAATACCGTAAAACGTTATCACGGAATTAATTCGAATACTTACGCTTATCCTTAGAATTCCAGGAACGTCTTCAAATTCTGGGATGACGACTGCCGTTTGTATTTTGTATAGTGTAGGATAACGGGTAATTTAATCAGGAAGGTAGGTAAACATAAAGTGAGGCCCGTATTGTGAAACGAAGCTTTTCTAACAAAGCTCGTTTTGACTAAGAAATATATGTGTCTCATTTAGGACTCGAACTCTGGACCGCCGGATCGCACTTAAAGTCGACCACATCTCTGGCTATGTCAAACGTGTAACTCAGGTTAACTCCTTTTACTAATCTAGCCGCTACGGGTTACCCAAAAACCATGTGTGCACATTTCAATTCCCATTTATGCTGAAACAATAGCCAGATTCCTTACTTACATAAAAACAAGAGAGATTCCGCTTTGCAAATCAGAAACACTAGAAATGTATTTTATAATATACAATCTAGGTAATATGAATATTCCAAAAGAAATCCCTACGAAATAAGTTGTGCAAAGTGAAGGGAAAGTTTCAATGACAAGCCCGAATGTGAAAAGTTTGTGAACTTTGCAAAATAGGCACAAACTCGGGGCGGCTTCTTATTATTCTAAAAGTTAAACTGTTTGTCATGTAAAGCTACAGAATTTTTGGAATTTTAGGGCAAGTTGTTGTTCGTTTTGAAACTCGTTTAACTTTCCTATTATTTTATTTACTTACGAATAAGTGACTAATTTACGTAGAAAACCAGGTAGGTAGAGTTTATTATCACTCTGTTTGAAGTATTTTTATAACATCTTTTATAACTTTGGCATACTTATGTTCCAAAATGAGGAATAAAATTCATTTAAATAAATTTTAGTTAAGCCTGCGATTGATAAGTATTATGCTTAAAATTATACTTTTGTTTTTTGCTACCAGTGGCTACCAGTTGCAATAAAAAGCAATAGAAAGATCAAGCTTTCTTTATGTCGGTACTTAGTCAATTTAAAAAAGTAAATCTGTTTTTTTTTATCTGAAAAACAACACTGACATGTTTCGAAGAAATCCTTTATTATAAACAAAGACGTCTAGCTGATCTACGAGAAAGCTCCAGAATCCATAAAAAGTACAGAATTATCTCCACCACACATGCGACGCAGTAGAAACCTCAATAAATAATACCACCTACTCTTACTGCTTAGTTTATAGAATGAGTTTTGTTATTATCTCAGTCCATTGTAAAGCAAAATTTAAAGGAAGTGATTTTAAAAAATACCAATTGAATTAATTCAAACTTTTTATGTGAGGATAAGGAGACAATAGTAGCCCAACGGTTTCGGTATACCTAACACCCTTCAAACTCTATCCCCTAAAAATTTCCCGCTAGTTGAACTCTAGCTTAAATTGTCATTTAGTATGGAAATGAAATTTTAATCCAGTTTGTTCATCCTAGGTGTAACTTTTAATTATTGGGGGTTTATGTTACTATAGCTAGTCAATGCCATTCTATGCTGACCTTAAAATAGGACGACTATCTGTTCGACAGGTACAAGTTTTCAGTTACGTTTTAATTGAAAAAGGAACGTCAGGAAAAGTTATCGCTACATTATCGCTGAACAAGGGCGCGTTGCCAGCCGCAGTTTTGCAGCCCGATAACCTCCTTGCGAGATTGCCAACGATTTCAGATACTTTTCTAAGACTGCACCAGTAAGTAGGAATGGGCAAGTAGATACGGGTCTTCTAATCTATAAGTAGGACCTATCTACGAGTGTTTTTACTATACTTACTCTCCCACTTTTTGCTTTTACGTAATGTGTAAACTTTTTAGAGTGCCTAATGTATCTAGCTACTAACTATGAAATCTCAGTTTTGTTTCAATCGTAATCCTACCTTAGGAAAAGTTATTAATAAGTAGGTATGTAGTTTTATTTCTCGTTTCAGTTCAGAACACTCGTTAAAAGTTCGTCCTGCTTGAATACCTACAACATAGACTTTATGCTGCTGAAAACAGTTGACCCGGTATGGTTTTATGATTTATCTTTTTATAGTTCCGGATAGGCGGTTATCGTTGTTGTATGAGTTTTCCCCCTGACCTGGTCCCTTTCTTGCTTCCGACTTTTGTTCTATAGATGTTATCTGAAGTAGATATATCACAGATTAATTTGTAGGGTCATAGCTAGTAATCATACTGTCATAATAAAAGTAGTATTTCTTTTTGAAAGAATAATGGTGATCGTGCTCAAAGAACTCACTGTTGCTCCAACCCTCTCAATTTCAATATAATATCAACCAATCACAGGGTTAACCATCTACTTGAGCGTAGGTAAATTCCTGGTAAATTCATACTCTGGCGTTGTTTCAAAATCTAAAAAAACCGCCATCTCACTCATATCGGACTAAACTAAATCTCATGTTAACGCCCTGTCGAATTTTACTTTTTCTTGTACAAAATTTGGTTGTTGAAAAAAAAATTTAGAACGAGCGAAAGCCGATTGAAAAAGTATTGCATTCGCTACGCGGACTGCCCATAGTGCCCATCCGGGATTGGATGGGGCACATTTTTGTGTAGCTCTCTGCAGCCAAAGCTTAGCTCTTTACAAACTGAGAAACTAGGTGAGCTGGATTCCTATAGGTATTTGATGCACGTATCTGATATGAGAGTACGAGGGAAAATAGAAGTTACAATCTTTCATTTTAACACTGGCGAGACTTTTTTACGGAAATGTTCTCCGTAAAAATTGCAGCATTGAATTGCATATCAACATAACCTTTATGAAAATATATAAGTAATCTATACTTATAATAAATCTGTAGAGAGGTCAATTCTGTACATGAAATATATTTTCAAAATAACTATCAGGGGGTAATTAGTGATCGATACTGATGCCAAAAATGCAATCAGTAAAATTTTTGTCTGTCTGTCTGTCTGTCTGTATGTTCCTTATAGAAACAAAAACTACTCGACGGATTTTAACGAAACTTGGCACAATTATTCTTCATACTCCTGGGCAGGTTATAGGATACTTAGGAATTCCCACGGGAACGGGCATTAGCGGGAAAATCCTTTTGTATGAAAAATCTAAACCGCTTCAGTTAGACGCTTGAAATTTGGCAAGCAGGTACCTTAGTAAACTTAAAGCTTAGTTACAACAGGATATTGCAAAATTCTCACGGGAACGGGAGTTAGCGGGAAAAAACATTTGTATGAAAAAATCTAAACCGCGCAAGTTAGACGCTTAAAATTTGGCATGCAGGTACCTTAGTAAACTTAAAGCTTAGTTACAACAGGATATTGCAAAATACCCACGGAAACTGGAATTAGCGGGAAATTCCTTTTGTATGACTAACTCACTGACATACCCACGCACAGCCTAAACGGCTAAACGTAGGCACTTGAAATTTATAAGGGACGTAGCTTAGGTACCGTAGAGGTGCACTAAGAAAGGAATTCCCGAAATTCCCACAAAAATAGGAATTACCGGGAAAATCCTTTTGTATGAAAAATCTAAACCGCTTAAGTTAGACGCTTGAAATTTGGCATGCAGGTCCCTTAGTAAACTTAAAGCTTAGTTACAACAGGATATTGCGAAATTCCAACGGGAACGGGAATTAGCGGGAAAAAACATTTGTATGAAAAAATCTAAACTAAAAATCATATTTATTATTATTACTATACATTATATTCATTATAAGATGCTCCATAGCGCAAAATAGCACAAATACTTAATGTACCCACCTACTTATTCTCCTTTCTAATTTAATATGTTGTGAGTTGTAACATTCGCTGTGGGCCAAGTGCCCCTCTCTCATGGTTTCTGCAGAATACCAGTGGCCGTAACGTGCTCCCGAGTACGTTATGGCCTCATACTGAGCAGAGACCAATTTGGTACAACAATTGTATTATTTTACTTTTTAATGTCAATGTGTATCATTTAGTACCAAATAAATATTTTTCTTTCTTTCTTTCTTTCTTTCTTTCTTTCTTTCTAAACCGCGTAAGATAGATGAAGGGGGTAAAACGGGATCCACGCGTACGAAGTCGCGGGCGGCCGCTAGTGTCAAATAAAATAACTTTATCAACATTACGCTGCGCTATTATATTGATAATGGGGTTAAATGTAATAGAAAAACAGCAAATTCAATATGAAAAAATAATTTATTAATTGATTAAGGTATAAAAAAATATTAGGTACTTTATACTCAAGTGGCAACTTAGAAAAACTATAACATACCATTGTACATAATAATTATGCGTAATATAACTGACAAGGTACACAGGTTCACCATTATACTGTGGATATGTTGCATGATATAAGTTATACATTATACATACATGATATAGCACTCCTTGCCGTACCTCGATTTATTATCACATTTATTGGCCTTCAGAAAGCCTTTAGCAACCTTTTTATCTTCACATTTTCACTCATAGTAGAAAAAACAATAACTGAACATATAATTTTGACTTAAACATTACAAAGTAGAATAATCTTTCCCGAAAACAAAGGTTTTTCAGCAGATGCTTATTTATTTACTTTTACAATCAAATAAAGTGTATTTCGTCCATTTGCGATGACAGTGTAACATCTCGAACAATGAACTCATCGCAAAGAGACGATTTCTAGAAAAGTTGTGCCTTGTATAGGAGTCAACTTTAGTGTCAACTACTCAAGTCATTTTAGTCTCCAAATGAGATACTAACGTATTTATTTTTTAACACGAGGAAACTCTTGGCCCTCATCTCACCTGATGGAAAGTGATGAGGATGCCTTAAAATAGCTCAGTCAGATTCAACTTTCATTTTTCACAAATAGATTATGTTATCAGTTATTGTTATTTCCACTACACTATACTCTCCTATCACAATCATAGCTTGCAATAAAATGTTAATTTATATGATCACAGATCAGCCCTGGTTCACTGTTAACCGGAACTAGAGGATATTGTTACACAATATTGACTGAAGTAAATAATATTTATTTTAACAATATAAATAAATATATTTTTGTGAACTTATACACAATACTCACACAACTTTCTTTGCGCGTTTTTTAACAATTAGCATACAATAAAATAATTAAATTGTGATGCCAAGACGTTATTATGTAAACTTATAAGTTTTATACATAATTTTATTATTTCTAAACAACTTTATACTACCAAAATGTTTTCAAAGAACCTGTTTGACGAGCTTGTATATGTATTTTACAAGTAAATATTATGTATAACTCAGAAAATAGTTGTGCTAGACATTGACAAGAAAATAATATAAAAACCAAGTAGTGCCTTGATACAGAGTTATTTCATAAATCTATATTTGTAACGAAGCAGTGCATTTATTACTAGAAAATACTGTTTTACTTGGAGACAAAATGGGAGCAACAAACAACAATCTACATTCACATCGAGTGCTAGAAAGATTTTCTTACAAAATGAGACAATACATATTTTTTTCATCTACTGAAAAATGTGTAAAAAAGATTATTATTATTACCGTAGAAAAAAGACCACCAATAAAATAAAATTGACTCATCTCAGATGAGTAGGTATAAAACGTCAAAATAATTTCCCGCCAAAAAGTCAGAATAGCCAAACATCAGCGTCAGAATAGAAAAGTATCTTGTACTTCTATTTAAAACTATGCAAGCCCTACCAAGCCCAAACTCCGTAGCAACCACCTTATGGGAGATCGAACTATCTAGCATACACTACTTAGCTACCCATAAAATCTCCATAATAAATATTATAAATTATTTGACCGCGCTAGTATTGCACCAACAATTTCCATAGACATTTGAAAGAGAATCTTTTTGTCAACCTTCGATATTTAAACTTTCAAACCGTCAACATTAGTTTGAATTTAACTTGTTTCGACCTTCAGACAAGGCTATAAGATACAAAATATGCTAGCTGCTATTTTCCCTCTAACAAATTTTTTATCGTCTAAAATCCAGCAGCATCAAAATTTGCTGCCAGCATACCTTGAATTTGTTCAAAAAAGGTTTTAGCTGAACCAAAACATCTTATAAACTGCCTAAAGATAACCAAACTACCTGTAACTGATACCGTATCTGGCAGCAACTTGCGGCGTGTGTGTCGTAGCGATGGCCAATAACAGAGGTACATCATTGACGTCAATGCTCAGAGACTTAGTTAGCGTGGCTATATCGCAGAAGTCTGTCGTCATGAGCATATCTGCTAACGTCTTCGAAAGCACGCAGAACTCGCGCAGTTTGCCCTCCAAGAATGATATGCACTGGAAACAAAACAAACACATTGTTATTCATGAAGATTTTGGCAAGGATTGGGCACTGAGTCATTAGTGGAACTCACGTGAGCGTGTAACAATGTAATGTTAAAATAAACTTTATAGTTACTTTTTAATTTGGTTGCGATATAAATAAGTCTAAAGACTGGTTCAGACACACAGTGATAATCGCGCAGTTCCCGTACATTTGCATCAAACCACAGCCAATGAGAAACATCCAGAAACCGCGCAGTTATCGCGCGTGTCTGAACTAGGCTTAATTTTTCTTTTGAAACAAGTGCGAGACAGAAGTTGACCTTAGGTAAATCAAAGTTAAATGAACTTCTGGGTAGATCTTATAGGTAATTATTATAAGATTTATTTTTCTTTGCAGATTCGATCTCCTAAGTCAAGTGCACTTTAAATAGTCCTAGAGCAATAACAGGGACACGTACATACAAATTACGAGCACAACATTGTATGTCTTTATAAATAGTCGTCCGCGATATTAATATAATTGAATCGCACCATTTCCTCCCCTCGGCCGACGGGGCTGACCTTGCGCGCCTGATAGCGACGGGTCATGTGATGAATGCAAATTGTCGCCTTCAATCGATGTACTACTTTTGATGTAAAGTAGAAAGACGTAAGTCTTAGCGCGAAATTTATTAATGAGTTACATTATGTAATTACGGCTTGACGTTATTTTTTCAATTTGAAAAATTTTCAAGCCCGTCATTACGGACGACGCAGCGAGCCGCCAGTCTGCTGCTCAAAAATATCAAAAGTAGTTTACTTTGGTTCAATTTCAATTAAAATAGCAGTAAGGTGTATACACCACATGTTCTCACAGACTTGCCTCTATTTGATTGCCTTCCAAAACTCGGAATCGTTTTTATCAAAGGTCAATCAAATAAAAGGACATCAGATTTGAATTGATACAGTTCTAAGATTTCTACAAAAAGTTGTAATGTATAAAGGGAGGGCCTCAATTGGAAAGCTTCTTTAATATTCCAGAAGATGCAATGGCAATGACCTACTGACATCCTTGGTGACATTCAACTGGTGCAAAGCGAATAAACAACATGGCGCCCGCAATGTTTATGCGCTCGCCCGCTTGACCAGAGATTAAGATACGGTGATTGTTGCATTTTGCTTAAATATCCTGCTTTGTACTGGTTTGTATACTAATATTGTTTTATTTGTAAACAAGTGTACGTAAATGAGTCAACAAATATGGAAGGTTATCTAAATTCATGTAGAAACTTTCTCAAGTTTTTCAAAACCAAAAAGTAAATATTCATTTACGGCTCAAATATTAGTTTTGATTATGTGCCCTAACATTCAGGCAGCAAACTAAGGTTCTTTTACTTTTTACTTTTGTTGGCATACCCATCATGCTCACTAATAGTCAATCCATTTGGGCATAAAATATGGAGCACTAGCTTTTACCCGCGGCTTCACCCGCGTGAAATTTAGTTTGTCACAGATCGTCATAAATTATAGCCTATTTGTTATTCTGTGTTATAAAAAATAATATTGTAAAGTTTCATCAAAATCCGTTCAGCAGTTTTTGCGTGAAAGAGTAACAAACATCCAAACATCCATACAAACTTTCGTATTTATAATATTAGTAGGAAGTAGGATAAGCCCTCCTTGACTCTCCAGGTTACCCTCGTGGAATTGCAGCTGACACAATTACCCGTAAGGGGCTCCAATCTAACCTACTCTCATAGTAAGGGGCTCCAACCTACCCTCATGGGACAGTAGCGATACGTACCTGATTAGCAGGCACGCGCGCGCGGCGCATAGCAGGCAGCGCATCCAACATGGCGGCCACCAGCGATGACATGCCGCCCGCGCCGGCTTCGCGACCCACCACTCGCACGCACCTGTGCAGAAATAAACCTTAAGATTATAGAAATAGGGTTGTTAAGACTGACAGCTATTGTCAGTGGGTCAAAGTATTAACACACATGTAAAAAATAAAATAGATCTTAAAGTAATGGGCGTAGAGTTGTACAGGCCAAGACTACTACAGTCCCATACAGGCCCGCGAGCCAAAGAATTGCCCGGTCCATAGTTTTGCCCGCGCGCGCAAGCAAGTTGTAAAACTGTACCGTGTGAAAAGAACGGGTATTGTTTTTTTTTCAGTACGTAATTATTTCTAAGGAAGACCATGTAAAATAAAGTGATAAAGATGGTTGCAGTCACATTGTTTATTTTAGACTGTTACCATTGTATTGTACGTCAAGGCGCATTGGTAAACAAAAAAAAATAATATTACGTCACTTTCATACCCGGTTTTCCTGGTCTCATATTTTCATACTAAAACGCCATACAACACTATACATAAATGCTTACCAGTTGTTAGTGTCCCCTATGATGGCCACGGCCTGTACCGGCGAGTCTAGCGCCTTATTGAGGTAGGCCGTGAGGTCCAAATCTCGCCGCAACTTTGATATTGTTTGTTTGCAAAATAGTACTTATCACAACTACGATAGATCCCACAGTGGGTTGACGTGCTATCGTTTGTACTTACCAGTTGTTAGTGTCTCCTATGATGGCCACGGCCTGTACCGGCGAGTCTAGCGCCTTATTGAGGTAGGCCGTGAGGTCCAAATCTCGCCGCAACTCGCCCTCCCACACGTCAGACTTTGATATTGTTCCTGGAAATGTTAAATTGAACTTTAAAGACGTTTTACTTAATAGATTCGTTCATGCTTCTAAGAAAATTAGGTAGGTGACATTTCTCTTATCATTCCAAGGCACTATTTTTATAACGCTTCATGTAACCTTGAAAACTCAATTATGTTTGAATTAACTGTAAAATTAGGTATTTCAGTTGCTTACAAATCAATATAGTTAGCCAACTGAGTCGATGACTAAGAGACATCACGGAATCTTTATGCTACATACCTAAAATCTAATCGAATCGGAATAGCTTTTTAACAGCCACAAAAAGTACTTCTACGACAGATAAGATCTATCCCTTCATAGTAAGTATACAAAGCATGTATCAAACCAAAATAAACTAATGCTCACCTTGTAATATTAAATCAGGTACATAATGGTCGGTGACTCCCCCCAGTAAGGAGGCGTCGAACCCTGCCGGCGTTTGTTCCGGGTCTGCTCGCGAACACAGCGGCGGTACCGGGAATTCCACCACTTTCTTCACTCCCATTCTTTTCTTCTCATCATCTTTACACGGCTCAACCACCTCATTCGCATTCGACACACCAGCATTCGTCACGTTAACAACCACAGTATTCTCCTGACGTTTCCTCACGAACGTTTTTGGAACCGTATCCGCATTGGGAACTATAGTTTCTTTCGCGTACTGAGGCTCCACTCTTTGAGGCATATCATTCATATACTCCATCTCAGAAGCATTGGTAGGAGTCTGCAGCATAGATTCCAACAGCTGACACTTGTAGCAAGCCTCACACCTCTCTTCCTGGATCGGAGGAACGATCGTCGGATCGAACTGGTAGTTGTCCAACTTCAAATTCCCCGGTTTACCGATATAGTGCCTATCTAGTATCTCTAAGTTTTTGCTCTTCATATAATTAGTGACTATCTGAGGGTACTTATCGAATTCGAACTTAAAACCGGAATGTTTTATGGGTTTGGAATGTTGAAGTGTCTGGCCGCAGCATTTCGAGGGGCTCTCGGAGCTGCGGTCACAGTTCTCTTTGGCGCACGCCTCGGGGGCCACGGGGGCCTCGGGGGCCTCGGGGGCCTCGGGGGTCTCCTCCGGGGGCTGGTCGGTGGAAGGCTTGGTCGACTTCTTGACGCTCTTCCCGCCGTTGGATTTGTTCTTCAGGCCGACCAGCTTCTCGTCGTCTCCCAGAACGAATACGACTTTCTGCTCGGGCTCCGACTCATCTGACACAGACGAATAAAGACTGGAGTCCGAGGACGACTTGAGAGACAGCATCACCGTGGGGTTCCTTCTCAGCTGGCTCGTCATCGGCTTGTCGCACCGAGCGGCGTCCTCCTCTACGGCACTTTTCGTCGCCAATTCCGAACCGGTAGAGAGCTTTTGACTAAGGTTCGCGAGCGTCGCCGACCGCTTGATGCTGACGTCGCTGGCGGCCAACGTACTCACACTGCTATCACTATTTTGAGTATTCACTTGTGGCACTTTCAAACTGTCTTTGGAGTCGAACTGTTCGAGTCCCAACTTGTTCACGCGGGTGGCGCTTTTCTTGAGGCCCGTTTCTTTCACGTCGACGACTTTTGTTTCGGTGATGAGACATTCTTGGAATTGAAAGTTGTTTCGTTTGACGTCGCCGCATCTTAAGAAGTATGTTAGAACGAGGAGGAGCCTGTTGATGAACTGTGTGTTGGTGTTTCCGCTGATGACTGTTCTGGCGGCGCGTGGAGGGAAGCCGATGCTCCCGCACAGGTCGCCGAGCTGGGCCCAAAGCGCGTTGTAGGGCCTCTGGGACACGAAGACCACTTCCGACCGCTTCTCTGGGTCGACCGTGTCGTACGGGCTGACGGTGGTCACCCATCCCAGGTGGTATGTGAGCACATGCGTCAGGAGAGTGCTCATGAAACTGTAACAAGATTTTAATTTTACATGACGTTAACCCAGACACCTCACGTGAAGTTTTGTTATTTTATCAACCCTATTATTAGCGGCTGACGTTTCTAATTTCGTATCTGATAAACGGTGATAAAATCCCCAGACAACAGTTGTTTGACTGTTCCTTGTGTCTATTATAAATTGTCTAAAAATCCATCTATGTCCGCGGCCAGTTTGAGAATCTTAATTAATAGTACTTTTAAACATTTGTTCTTTGAAATAACAAATTAAATTCGGATTTGCTTCGCCCACGAGTTCAGTTACACAACACAACTAGTGGCAATTTGTAAACGTCAGTTCATTCAAATATAGAAAAATCACGTGAAGCAAACGTAAACAACGCGGAATAAAAATAGCTCCAATAAATATACAGATTACTGACGCGGCACCACGCGATCGGTACCGTTACACGACAAAGCTGTCGTCAACTATTTAAAACGGTTCTCATTATAACAAAAGGCAATATAATATTCCTGTAAACAGTATTTTATTAATGAGTTTCAATCAAAGGATATAAAAGAGATACTCATTTACTATAGACAACTGTACCGACCTTAATATTTTCACGTCCCAATAAAAATGCCTTTATTTGATTATGTTATCTTTATTAATTAAACAAACATAATTTTTACTCTAAAAGTGACATTTGTAAGTTCGGAACGTTGTTTATACCGTCGTGCCTTCGTTCGATTGTACCAATATTATAATACGTTTAATTAATCTAAATCGACACAAATAAACCAAATACAATCTCATAATCTAACCGGTAAAGTGCTTCCTATCTGACAAGGAGGTATCACTTCATCGATATAAGCATTTGAAATCACGAGCACCCTTCATGCGAAATAAATTTTAATGAGCAGTACAAAGTCACGGCTATAAATATTTAACCTGCACGCGGGAGACAGCGAATCCATTCACACTTACTTAAAAATCGCCGTTCACGAAACGAGCCAAAACGTAACAATGTTTTTCCAAATCTGACGTAAACACATCTCAACTGCTTAATGAGGCGCTTTCAGTGGTCGTTCTTTTAGTGTCTTTGTTAATTGACAAAATGTTATTTAACTTAACCCTTTGAAATAAAGGGACTTCTTTTAAAATTATAGGCCCAAATAAAAGATAACAACCGCGCGATATGGCGTCAAAGCTTTTTCGAATTTTTTTTAGCTATACGAAACATTAAAATTAATGTATGGCCATTAGCTAGTAAAGCAACGAATACTAAATACAGCATACTAATTATAACAATAGGTAAAAATACACTAATCTTTCGATTAACATAAGGCGACGATTAAAATAAACGGTAGCTCGTTTTAAAGTTTTCGACGGTACCAAAAATACATTCGAATTTATCAACCTAATTAAACATTCAGAGTATCGTTTTCATCAAATCAATGTATTGTCACACATTTTTGCTCAAAGGTTCTCTACTCTAATAAATTAAATAATCTAAATCATACAAAATTATAATTATCTTATCTTTTATTGAAATTAGGTAAACCATTACTACGGTTATCAATCGTATTCTAAAATTTATCGGCCGAATTACAAACAACACGCTAACAAACTCACCCTTAAAATCACATGACTTAAGCCGGTTATCTAACTGTCCATAAAACACTTCATAAATAGACTCAATCGGCCGGTGTTTTTCAAGCAATTCCGAACTTTATTGCTATACATTTAACGATGACTAACACTTTAATGGCACACACATAAAACACACACCATTGTAAAACATTTTATCACTCATCACGTGCTCCTGGTTCGGACCAATTCACACATTCTATTGTATTTATTAAATTAACACATATAGATCGCCCAATTAGCAAAATGTTGATTGCTTTTCAAATAACTGAAGAGCGAAAACAATATTTATCAATTCATTAACTACGTTCAATTTATTTTAATGTGGTAAATTACACTCGCGAGCAAAACTATGGAATCACTTACATGAAGTTGTTTCCACGCGAACTTGTGTACTAACGAATTTGTTAGGAACAAAAAAAGTGGCACCATTTTAAAGATTAAACTTTTATCTTTAAATTGATACCAAATTCATTTAAATCACACCAGTATTTAAAAAGATATCCCGGCTGATGTGAAGAATTAACGAAAAAGACATGTATGAACTGTTTGATACGTCGCGAGTTGCGGCCTATTTAGCCCCTATAAAAGCACGCGTTTTTAGATTTTTGCTTTCACACGTTGATTCATACACATCTCCGCTTCTTTTGACACTTTACCTGGGATTCTACACCTTCAGAAGCAGCACAAATCGTTGCACTATTGCAAGAAAGGCTCAGCCAGCGGGCTGTCGCACGTCAGCGCCACATAAGCCAGTCCTGGGTTTCGAAAGTTTCAAGACGCTTTCGGGAGACTAGTGGCTTTATCCCGAGACCAAGTTCTGAACAGCGCCGGTGCACATCGCAGAGGGAAGACCGTTTTTTCATGTCAACCTCTCTATGAAATCGTCATTTGACTGGAATCGATGTCCATCAAGAGCTCAGAAATGTTCGTAAGATAGCTGTTAGCGAGTGGACAGTTCGTCTAAGATATAAGCAATAGAATTTGACTCCAAAAAGGCCTGCCACAGGCTCGAAACTGACGGCAGGTCACCGATAAGCACCCTTTCAATTTGCTCGTACACATCTCGATGGGAAGGCGAGTAATGGAGGCGAGTTCTGTTCTCCGATGAATGCAAACTGTGTTTGCAGGGCAGCAGTCGAAGAGGTCGGGTTTATAGGCGGCCTGAGGAGCGATTTGTGCAGTGCTGGTTCGCTGAAACAGTGGCTTATGGGGGTGGCTTGCTCGACTTAACATCGAGATGTGTACGAGCAAATTGAAAGCGTGCTTATCGGTGACCTGCCGTCAGTTTCGAGCCTGTGGCAGGCCTTTTTGGAGTTAAATTCTATTGCTTATGTCTTAGACAAACTGTCTACTCGCTAACAGCTATCCTACGAACATTTCTGAGCTCTTACTGGACGTCGATTCCAGTCAAATGACGATTTCATAGAGAGGTTGACATGAAAAAACGGTCTTCCCTCTGCGATGTGCGCCGGCGCTGTTCAGAACTTGGTCTCGGGATAAAGCCACCAGTCTCCCGAAAGCGTCTTAAAACTTTCGAAACCCAGGACTGGCTTATGTGGCGCTGACGTGCGACAGCCCGCTGGCTGAGCCCTTCTTGCAATAGTGCAACGATTTGTGCTGCTTCTGAAGGTGTAGAATCCCAGGTAAAGTGTCAAAAGAAGCGGAGATGTGTATGAATCAACGTGTGAAAGCAAAAATCTAAAAACGCGTGCTTTTATAGGGGGTAAATAGGCCGCAACTCGCGACGTATCAAACAGTTCATACATGTCTTTTTCGTTACTTCTTCACATCAGCCGGGATATCTTTTTAAATACTGGTGTGATTTAAATGAATTTGGTATCAATTTAAAGATAAAAGTTTAATCTTTAAAATGGTGCCACTTTTTTTGTTCCTAACAAATTCGTTAGTACACAAGTTCGCGTGGAAACAACTTCATGTAAGTGATTCCATACTTTTGCTCGCGAGTGTAGTACCAAGATCACATGAGTATTTTTATTTCGTATCATTTTTAAAGGAAATTGTTATCATGAAAGACTAACGTATGTACTTTATTATAATACCTTTGGCCTTCCTGTCCTATAAGGGACAATCTTATGCCACGAAATTAATTCAAATGACGAATATTTTTTTGTAAACCTATACTCTTGATTGCATATTAATTTACATAGAAAGCATAGAAAAAGCCCATCACTGCCGTGGCACTTGTTGGGTTTTTATGGACGGTCAAGCTATAGATCCTGGCTACAGAGGAGTTGCAGCGGTGGGAACGAGAGGTTGGAATAATCCCCTATTTGCTAATGATAATTAGAAAAAGCGAGTTGTCGGACAAAAACGTAATGATAAGTTGAGAACAAATATCTAAATGCGAAGAAAAACCGAGTATAATTCGAGTGAGGTTTACTTGTCTCTGTACGTGCAAAGGCACATAACGATACTGTAATGACTTTTGAAAAACGAACAGTAGCGAGCCACCACACATGTAAAGCTCACTCACCTTCGTGAATTGCAACAACTATAACAGATTAAAAAATACTCACAAGTTAGTACTCTTGGTGTCCCCCACAGATAACACAGAGCACAGATCAGCCACCAGATTTTCGGCGGCGGCGCTGGCGGCGCGGCGGTCGCCCGTGACTAGACTCAGCCACATCGGCTGCAGGCGAGGCCCGTACATTAGGTCTGACATCCTGGACAACAAACGGCGTCTTTTAATATTTTGGGAAACATAAGAAAAAAAAATGTTTGGACTAAAACTACGATAGACTGCATGGTTTATAACCCCAGCCTATAGCTTTAAAGCTTCAACCACACAAACGCGTGCAGGTCGCTATCGCCGGCGTGATCATAGACCAATGACAGGATTGACAGGTCGCGTGAACTGTCATGGGTCGCGCGACCTGTCATTGGCCTTTGATCGCACCGACGATAGCGATCTGCACGCGTTGGTGTGGTTGAAGCATAGAAGGAACACACTGATGATATATCTGTGGAGCCACAACTTTTTATTGATCTGATATTTTTGGTCATTGATTTGACAAATCGCTTATTATATGGGAAACTAGCCTAGTCTTCTTATAGCGATCCATGTATCACTCTTCCCCAAATTGGGATTCATCATTCATCCTGTCAGCCACAAAAAGAGACGAAAAAATTAAAATATTCACCCTTCAGAATATTGACGTCATGTGATTCATAAACGGGTAATATCGTCTTTCTTTAAAAAGCTTCTCAAATACTGGGACAAACTAGAAAACAACTTCAAAGCGATTGTTCGCAGTTGTGAAAGAAAATTTCTTTCATCATATCTGTTAACATTCCGGAATTTCAATCGCACTATGAATTGGCGGACGTTCAAGTACGTAGGATTTATGATCTTCAAACATGAATGAAGACTTTCAGTATGTCACGTACGATTCGCGTAATAGGAAATGACATTATTTAGTTAGAAATAAAGTAATTTAGCCCTTTATAACTGAAAACAATGCGAGGGCTTAGGGTTTATTGCGGTGCGTGATCTTATGTACATAAACGTAGGGTGTCAATTGTTGCTTACGTCATCGAGTGCATGGTGCATCACATGAGAAACGTTATCATTATCAGATGGTAAGTCAAATATGTATGATGTCCACAAGAAGTGAAACTCGGCATGAATGACAGTAATACCGATAGCAGAGTGCAGATGAGATTAATTCTCACCAAGTGCCGTCTACTGTTAGATAAAGGTCTTGGCCACGGATTTCCACAACGATACTGCGTTGACGCATCATCGCAAATCGTGCAGTCGATTGGTCAAATTTAAAAATTTGGCCCAATAAGATGCTTTTTTCGATGCGTAGTTCACGTGAAAGTAAATTTGGATGTTATCCACTTTACAATTAAGTTCATATTGCTTTCTTACCATCTAGCAGCATCACACGTAGCTCTATACAGGGTGGATATGAAACCACCACCTGCTCCCGCTGTCAGAGTTGCCAGCCTCAGCCTGCAAACCAAGGCTTGCAACTGGGGCGAGTGTTCGACGCACCTCCGGACTAGCTCCCTGTAATGCAAACCTTATTACAAAGACATACAGGCCACGATACCCGAGCAAATGTGTGAAAGTGTGTAAATAGAAATCATCGACATAGAAACAAAAAACTGTTGTCTTTTATGTTTGATTTGAGCGTGAATTGTTACATTAAATGTTCAATGCCGCTCTATTCATCTTCTGTTTGTTGGTAGTTTCATTCACGTCGTTCTTTTGTTGAAATTATTTACCAAAATATTAAGATAGTATTTTGGAAAGTGATTTCATATTATTCTGTATTTCTATAACATCCTTATTGATAGAAATATCTGCTAGAATGATGAAACTTAATAATCACAGATTGGGTGCTAATCATGATTAGATACATTTGACCTTGGAATGTAATAATAATGTTATTACCAAACATGGAGCGAGCGAATGTTATAATAATATCATCAATCATTTTTGTTTGCCCACTAAATATTTTTGAGTAGCTTGACGCCAGAATAAGCACTAAAGATAGAAATATTTACATTGTTAGTTGTTACGTACTACCACGCCCAAATTTACAGGATTACAAGAAATTCAAAATGGTATGTATTGACATTTTAATTTTACTCAAAGAACATAATGATGATGATCGTAGTGAAATTTTTTGAAAAATTCATTTTACATTCGTTCGCATGATTTATCAAACTATGTGACAAATTCAAATAAAATATTATGGTAACAGTTTTCTGAAACTATCATACAATCTTAATAACACATTATTACACAAAACTATGGGCAAACAAACACTAATGTATTATCTCATATCTATCAATGACTTGAATGTTTGTATGGCATTATGAAGTACATACATGATAAAATCTATACGTGAGATCTAATTGTTCCAGTATGACGTAAATAATCGTTTATTCAATACAAAGTTTACGAAAGAACAAACTATAATACAGGTATTTGATTTCAGATAAGATTTATTTGTATGTAAAAACATGAACGCGGCAAAGATTAACTTATAAGAATAGCATTGGGTAAAAGCCATCAGGATTTTTTTCCTAATTACTAATGATACTTCCAGAGACCTAGACAATGTTTGAAACTTATTTTAAAGTAAGATTACTGACTTACATCTCACCAGCATCGCTGACAGTGAACAGCAGCGCTAGACCCAACTTGTTCTTCCTCTGAGGATTGGAAGCGGCACTGAGAAGACTATCGGTAGTGCCACTGGTCGAACTGCCGCTGTATACCTGCATTGGAAAACGTTCTCGTCAAGAATCCTTCTCCTAGCATGCTAGTATAGCTAATGTAACATTTTTAACGCAGTAACACAACGGTACGAGCTAAATCCCATAATATTACCATTATGTAAAAGCTAAAAGCATCGCCTTTCTAATTTTAGGGTCATCAAATGAAACACTACGGTACTTAGAAGTAGGTCATTTCTTCACCGTAATGAGGTTTTTGCCATTCACAACATTGTAACAGCGATTAATTTAGATTTACACGCTTGTTTATTGTTAACATTGACATTCATTCTTTTGTAAATATTCATGAGAAACAAACATAATGAATTAATGAATTCAACACACCAATATCAAAACTCATAATAATCGTTACCCTAAATTAGTAAAGTAGTATTTACGATTTTAGGTCAAATTATTTTTCGGACCAAAAATGTAGCGCAGCGATTAATACTTATGTAACATACAGCTTTGTGGTAAAACAATCCTAATTATCTTATACGTAATAATTACATTAGCATACACAATCGGTTCTTGAAACAATTAGTTGGTGCAACAATTATCATCTTCCATAGGACGGCTTCACACTACTGCGATGTTAAAAACGTTCGTAGAATCCGAAAAATTTGACGAAAGACGATCGCTGACGTTCACTCTCATGTCGACTGAACCTTGAGTGATGACTATTTCCAGTAGGTACCTTAATTGCACTTGCAAGTCATTGCATTATTAGTTCAAATACAAATTGTGTGACCGCAAGCACAGAATAAGTAATAGTACAGATACAGAAGGATTACTCCGCAAGACGATTTAAATAAATGCAAGTCTTGCTACGACGCGATACAGTGGAATTCAGCTCGCACAGCACTACGTACCTACAATTTTATTCACCTACAAGTTTTGTCTCTTTCTATCGCGTGCCTCTGAACTCTTCTTACGCTGTTAGGGTTGCTGTCTAGTGAAAAAATAATTAATCTACTTATTTGTAATGAGGTATGTATGTAGGTAAGTATTACTGTTATTTTACCTTTGTAAAAATAACATTTCAAATATACCTGATTAGGATTAAAAAAACTTGTTTTATTACAACGTCTTCATTCATACCTATTTTAACATAAGACAGATAAATTAAACATACTATTACAGAAAAAAGAAGAATCCTATACTATCCTAAGAATTTTATTATTGATTACCTACATGGCCAACATACCTTTCAGCATCTTTGGGAAGCGAAAAAAAAGATAAATCCGTTAGATTTCTTTTCGAATTTAAACACCCGAACGCCGCACAATATTTCTTTGTCTTTATGTCCATTTTTAAATAATACTTCGATCATAGAATTAGGTACTACAACTCACGCCAGCGTCCTGACGGGTGCGCGCGTGACACTCGACTGATATAATACCCGCCGCACAGTAGTTTGATATTAAAAAAAGGTGGACATACGATCGAAAGTCATAATTTCACCGAAACAAAAATTGTTTTGGATAGCATTTTGAATGCTGATCAACATTTGTCATTATGCATTTTTCGATAAAACGAGCCTTTCATGCTTAAAAAAAATATGACAAGAAAATTTGTATGGAGAAAAATCTTTTTTATTTTTTTTCTGGCTACTGTTGCAAACTGTAGCGGTCAAACCTTATGTAGTCGTAAGTACCTATGGTGCCTAACATTACTACATAAATACTTTTTGCGGGCACGCGCGGCCAAGCGAGTAATGGACATGCAAAATTTTAAATATTTTTATTTATTCATTATTGATTTTAATGCACTTAAAGTAATTATTAATAGATAAATATACTNGGTAGGGGCAAGCCTTACCTAGCTTCTGGCCTGGGGGGAGGGGGAGGGGTCAAGTCATACCCAGTTTCGGGCCGGGGGGGAGGGGGGTGGGTAAATCATACCCAACTTCTGGCCGAGGGGGAAGTCATGCCCAGCTTATGACCTGGGGAGAGGAGAGGGGCGGGGTAGTCATACCCAGCTTCTAGGCTAAGATTAAATAGATTTCCAGCACGGAGCGGCTGTCCTTTCCTGCAGCAGCTGGCCCGCCCATGGGAACGGCGAATAGATAGGTAGGTGCGTAGGTTTAACTCAACTAAATAACAGGTAGGTATTAACTATTAAGTGTATATCGAAATGATTTTCATAGCAATGTCTTATTGTTAGAAGTTATACCTTATTGTTAGAAGTAAATAAATTAATACTTATACACTCGCGAGCAAAAATATGGAATCACTTACATGAAGTTGTTTCCATGCGATCTTGTGTACTAACGAATTTGTTAGGAACAAAAAAAGTGGCACCATTTTAAAGATTAAACTTTTATCTTTAAATTAATACCAAATTCATTTAAATCACACCAGTATTTAAAAAGATATCCCGGCTGATGTGGAGAAGTAACGAAAAAGACATGTATGAACTGTTTGATACGTCGCGATTTGCGGCCTATTTACCCCCTATAAAAGCACGCGTTTTCGGATTTTTGCTTTCACACGTTGATTCATACACATCTCCGCTTCTTTTGACATTTTACCTGGGATTCTACACCTTCAGAAGCAGCACAAATCGTTGCACTATTGCAAGAAGGGCTCAGCCAGCGGGCTGTCGCACGTCAGCGCCACATAAGCCAGTCCTGGGTTTCGAAAGTTTTAAGACGCTTTCGGGAGACTGGTGGCTTTATCCCAAGACTAAGTTCTGAACAGCGCCGGCGCACATCGCAGAGGGAAGACCGTTTTTTCATGTCAACCTCTCTATGAAATCGTCATTTGACTGGAATCAACGTCCAGTAAGAGCTCAGGAATGTTCGTAGGATAGCTGTTAGCGAGTAGACAGTTTGTCTAAGACATAAGCAATAGAATTTAACTCCAAAAAGGCCAGCCACAGGCTCGAAACTGACGGCAGGTCATCGATAAGCACGCTTTCAATTTGCTCGTACACATCTCGATGTTCAGTCGAGCAAGCCACCCCCATAAGCCACTGTTTCAGCGAACCAGCACTGCACAAATCGCTCCTCAGGCCGCCTATAAACCCGACCTCTTCGACTGCTGCCCTGCAAACACAGTTTGCATTCATCGGAGAACAGAACTCGCCTCCATTACTCGCCTTCCAATCGAGATGTGTACGAGCAAATTGAAAGGGTGCTTATCGGTGACCTGCCGTCAGTTTCGAGCCTGTGGCAGGCCTTTTTGGAGTCAAATTCTATTGCTTATATCTTAGACGAACTGTCCACTCGCTAACAGCTATCTTACGAACATTTCTGAGCTCTTGATGGACATCGATTCCAGTCAAATGACGATTTCATAGAGAGGTTGACATGAAAAAACGGTCTTCCCTCTGCGATGTGCACCGGCGCTGTTCAGAACTTGGTCTCGGGATAAAGCCACTAGTCTCCCGAAATATCGATAGCTTACTTTATTCTGATGAATAAATGTCATTACAAGTTTTTCTCTAAAACTGATAATTTGGCTAGAAAAAAATATTTTCTATCCACGCAGTACGCCGGCAGCGTTCGGATCGGATATAATGACGTCATCGTCCCCGCGCCGGGCGGTCAGTGAACTTTTTTAGTAATTTGGCCATAACTTCGTCAATTTTTGTCGTAGAACAAAAATTTTTGCACTGTGTATTAAGGATTTCTTAGCCCTATAAATCTGCATTCACAGCTAAAAATCGAAATGATCCTCATTATCGGATGTACCGCGCGGAGTGAGCCAGGCCTGCCGCAAGCCAATGCCAAGCGTTTTAAAGGACGAGCATTCTTTAAGTCACTCTTTTATTTAGACTAGGAATATACTATTTGTAAATTGCCGCCCAAAATAATATCTCGAGGTACAAAAACAATAATTAGTTATAGGTTGTCTTATTTTACTTTTTAATCCATCGTTTTTCCAAGAATTGCAATTTTTTAAATATTTTGTGTACATCGGAATTTGGAATGGAGGTCAATTGTCCGACTTCTGGTTTCCTGGCGACCAGACATTAAAAAAAATTGTCAAAATAATCACGAATGCTTGCACGGTCTTTTAATAGATAGAAATAGATGTAGCTTCTGTCAAAACTGATAACTGTATCATTTTTATTCACATAAACATGTGCCCGGGGTGTGCAAAAACAAACGTGCTCGCTCCTCCGTCGATCGCCGAACATAATCAGTGTGTAATCACCGTAATCAGGCTGTCAGTGGCCTGATAATGTCTCACATGACTTGATAGCCGATGCGGTCACTCATGTGATGTGCTGGTGATGCTCGTCACGCGCCTTAACCCCCTTACGAGATAACAGAGTGTAAATAAAACGCTTACCGAACTTTAAGTGGTTAAATATGACCAGTCGGGCTAGGATGCGCGCCGTGATATACTTTTTCGACACCAAAATGTATGGGTAAAATCGATAAAATAGCGTGATAATCGCTTATCGCGGCGCGCATACGACGGCCTACAGGGGCCAAATAAAATCGAATTATTTAATTCAATTCAACAAGAAGTTAAAGGTATGCAAAATGTATGTAAGTTGAAAGCGGATACGACTTTGGTCTTTGTTAACCTCGACCGAGTTGGGATTATTAGATTTTACTTTAAAAACATTTAGTTTCGAACAAGAAATAAAAAAAATATACAAAACAATACCTACTATAACGTATAGAAGGAAATGCAATCAATCGAGTAACTTACGTTTTCCATTGGTACAGTTTGTAAGATAAGTTTAGAATTTGCGAAATCTAATTTTGGTTTTCAGAAACAGTTGCAAATGCAATGATATTTACTATATCGGCGGGATAAAAAGAAAACATTTTGCAGCAACATAATAATATGGAGGAAAAAAACATTATGTCTGTAATCCTAAACAAGAAGATTAGATGTTTATCTGCAACGGACGTTATTTGCAAAACGATTTTAATGATATCTCCCAAAGTCAAAGTTTTTTATTCAGTATTTAGGTCCTTTCCAGAGCCGCTTATACACGTCCCAAATAGCTTGCCCTACCACCACTTTGGCACAACATGCTGAGAAGTGGCGGAGGAAACTCAGTCACCTTTCGCGTTCGGTTCCCCACATTAGCAATGCAACGTGACAAAGTGAAGCAACGTGTTGAAATCAATTCGCTGTCATGGTTTCGCAGTCGTGTGCTACCAGCGTTAGTCTTATTTTTTTTGCAAATTGACACAGTTTACTGACCTGCGAATCACTGCTGTTGGCATTGCTGACAGCCGTGGGTATGCTGAGCAGGTTGGAACTCTGGTGGCCGAGCTCGAAGCGGGTGGCCATGTTCTGGAAGGTTCTGCGCTGCCAGCTGCCGTTGCTTGACGTACTTAGTTTACGGCCGGGCGGTGCTAGAGAGAACAATGGGTCAGATACCACTTCCACTAAGTGTATGAGCTGCAAAAGGGATTATGCATCGCATCTGATCCGAATTCATTATAACCTACACACGTTATACTACTGCTACTTCGGATCGACAATTTTGGATTCAGGTTATACCTTTATACCCGGGCGGTGCTAGAGAGAACAATGGGTCAGATACCACTTCCACTAAGTGTATGAGCTGCAAAAACCATTATGCACTATCTGATCAGATTCCTTGATAACCTACACAAGTAATACTGCTGCTACTTCATGTTGCAACTTGCATCATTTTTGGTTTTCATTTACATTATCATTCAGGTTGCCGGTGTCTTAAATCCTAGTGATCCGGACATGAAACATCTAGAATTTTACTCCACTGGGCTTCCGTATTTTATATTTTTGGGTCTATCTAGCGAGATGCCGACACGAGCGAATGCGACAGACCGAAAATACGGAAGCCTAAAGAACTTATCGAACTTTGAAACACTAGCTCTATATTCGAGAGCACGGACAATAGCAACTTACACAATCTACTTATCGATTTTGGTATTGATATCAGAGAAGAGTATCATTAAATACTTACAATGGAAAGAGTACATATCGTCCTGCGAATTCTTCCCGTCCCAAATATCGAACATGGAGAAATAGTCGCAGGTCGATCCCACGCTGCTGTATGGTGACAGATCCCCGCAGAACCCTGAGCAAATAAATCCATAGCTATAATACATGCAGCACATCAACCTATCCCGAAATCTCAGATTTCGCTAATTGATTTGGAACCTTATTATTTAGGGCATTAAGTTCAAAATACGTTTTAAAATTGACATCTTGTACTAAATGGATCTGCTGACAAACATCCAAATAAACACATGACTGCCGTTTTACTTTTATTTTAAACTCGTTGTAATAAATTATTTTCGAATATCCATTCCATTTGTTGCAAAACCGCACCTATTACAAACAACATAAGATGTCATTTAGTTTAGCTTGATGTGGTGTCGTCTGCACCTAAACAGAAGGTTTAGAGCACAAGACTTTTAGTTGCGAAAGAATTAAGGCAACTTATCTTACTTAACAAAATAAACAAGGTTAAATCACGTGAATACCCATATTTGTAATGTTAAACTTTTTGGTAAAACCAATTGATAATTTTTGTAGACAGTATGACATGTTTTATGTTTTAGAAAAATCCAGAGGCGTCAATAAGGAAATAAATTACTAAACATTAAAATTAGTTTCGAAATGGAACAACCAATTACTAAATAATTTTGGAGTTGAAGACATAATTAAGGCCACTTACCCGAGTCTCCTCTATCCATGGAAAAGCTCAATGAAACCCCCTCCTCCCTCAAAGATGGAACATTTAACGGCTTGGAGCCGTTCCTCATGTTTGCAGCGCTTGCTTCGCTGGTCTTCCGGTCTACCCGACTCACTTTGCGGGAGGTCGGCACGTAGAATACTTTGGTGCACATCAACCTGTGGTACATAAGATCAAATGTATCTATTCCCATATTTCCCAGTCTTGGAAATTAGAGAATTAATAAGAAAAAACTGGACTTTGCTTGTGGTCGCGTATATCGTTTAGTTTAGGAGCTCTATTTTATTTATATTCTTGCTTCTCACTCTTCATATACGTATAAATATTTTGCACTCATAATTTCGTTAATCCGGCTCGAAGGACCATTTTGTTTGGAGAGGCTACTGATTTCGTTGGTGACAATTGAGGAAAAAAATTACATAAGAAACAAATGGTCTCGCTTCATTAATGTTGTAACTAGTCGAAAAGACAAGTAGTATTTTCAGTAAAAACATGAGTAGACAATCAGACAGCCCAAAAAAGCGAAAAATATTTAAATCAATTCCAGTTGTCACCTTTTAGGTTCTTCCATGATGTGTATCTTCAGTGAGACCCTTTTACAGTTGACCGCCACCGCGCCGAATATCATCTCACCGAGAATATTAGCATCCGTCGCCGGGCCCTTGTACTGGACAAAGAAAAACAATCCATTAATATCAATTAAATCCATTTATAGTGGGTACTGTACTATCGAAAATAGGCATGGCTTTAGAAGATTACAATAGTCTGAGCACATAGCCTAGCCTGCGAGGATTTCGGTTTGTCACAGAAAGTATCACGCAAATATACATTTTCATTCCATATTATATGATTTATTACAATACAATTTTTATCCCCCATTACTTCAAGTTTTGGTCATAAAGGTCATATAACATTTATTTTACCATTTAGAATAATACTATCTTTACAAAGCTAATATTGTTTTGTTAAACTCGAGTCTTTCGTCTGCCGAGCGTGACCAGAATGGCCGATCACAGAAAGGAGATGAAAATGACTTTATTTTCACAAGAAAATATTTCGTCATTCATTCATTATGCAGTACGCACTAAATGTCAAAAAGTTCATTACTTTTCATCGTGCTAATAACAGTTAATGGTTTCTAAATTTAGCCAGATCATTGCCCCGTTACCTTCAGAAGTACTGAAAATATTCATTCATGTGTCATAATATGCTATGTAATATACTCTCTGACTAAGAAACACTAATATCGAGACGGTTACTGAATATCGTGAACTGGTAAAATATATCACCAAAATTCAAAACACTGGGCTTTAAAGGCATATAAATATTTATTTTAGACTAGAATATCACGCTATTCCATTTCTGTCGTTATAAACGTCACACATCATAATAAATTATTCTGTGACATGTCACACACGTTCGTTAGTGACAGAATAACCAACAGTTTGAAGTTAAACCTTACAGCATAGAACCAAGAACAAAATGTAAAAATTTCGAATAGAAATCTTCGACTATACACAACACATACAGTGCCTAGCAGCTTTCTCTTACAGATTGTATCCCATTCGGCGAGAATATGGTGTGCAGATTTATTAATTGAATATTAATTTATTTGTAAGTTTTACGAATCATATTAGGAATAGATACTACCCATAGTGTGTTATTGTAACAATCAGAATCTTAATTTTGAAATTCCCTAAAACTAGATTTACTGAATTTCAATATTTAGACAATTAACAAACTTCTTGAGTATCATTCTAAAATACATAATACAAGAGAGAGAATATTGTTATACCTAATACATAAAATAGTTGATAAAAATGCAATTAAAAAGTGCTTAAGTGGAATAAATAAATGCAAAATGACGCGATACATTCGCGTCGATATCTTATCTCAATTTATTTATTTAATGCTCAAAAGTCAACGTTTAAGTTCATAGAAAGATATTAGCGAGTAACAGCGAATAAGTTATGTTTATCTATTGAATTGACCTAGGTCAACAAAAAAGTGGATCAACATGTTAAAATGTTTTGTTTTTTGTTGGTGACTCTTTCTTTCTTTAGTTTCAAAGTTTAATAATGAATACTTGTCTGATATAGTTTGATAAATATTTTAATGAAAAAAAAATGATAGTTAAACTACGGACTTTTCGAAGACCTTGGACGTAGATATCATTTAACGATACCACAGGTAATGACTATGACGTTCGTGCCTAGTATAATTGTATCTAACCAGAGTAGGGTAAGCAAACATCACATCATCTACGGGAAGTCCCCGATCTCACTCAGTTGTTATCAAACGAATATCAATTACTTCCACCTGGCAACACTAGATATAGATGCGACTCATTGGATGTTATTCCGGGCAGGGACTGATTAAACGTAATCGTTGTGTTAAAATTTTAGACAGCTTTTTCAGTAATAATTTAGAAAGATACCTACCTAAGAAATTGTTGCATTTTTAATAAATTCTCACTATTAAGGGATTTGGAAATTCAAAATCACTTAAAAGTGTAAGTTTTTTAAAAGTTAATGTTGCCAAAGCCAAATACCGTAGTAGTGAGAATAAAATCAATAAGTAAATTACAAAAATCAGCACCAGTAAATTGCCTATTTAATGGCCCTACAAATATTTCACCCACACAAATATTTGTGATCCAAGTCAATTGAATATTAATGATAGATACTGGTTACATAGCTAGCACTGTGCTTGAAGGAAAATACATTAGATAAACAAGCGGATATGTACCTACAAATTTTATTTTTAGATTTAATAATAAAAATCGATGTTCCATTTACAGCACCTGTTAAGTAAGCACTATATTTGGAACTTCTATCAACATGGTGTGTACTTTTAAACATATAGGATGCTAATGTCGTCCAAAAGAGAAGTTACGGATCCTTGTCACGTATTACAATTCCAAATCTGGCAACACAAATTAAACAATGCGAAAGACGTATAATGGATAATAATGAGCTCCGCAAACATGGTCCAAATGCGACCCATAAATTATCACATCTAACAGACGATAATATAAATATTGTTCCATGCACAGTTTTAGCATCGTTAACAGGGCATGTGATGACAATTAATTAACAGCGGGCTAAAGTTTCAGTCCCACGGCGTGGTTCATTCGTCCCACTTACAGCTTTAATCAAAAAGGCTAACGCTCAAATGGTCTAAAATTAGACTTTGCAAGTGTCCGTAAAGAGAACCGAGTCTTGTGACTGAGCAATGTGTCAATTGCGGTGGTATTTTTAAACTCGTATCGCAATGTATAGTTTATGAATGGCAGACGTAATCTCCGTAATAAATACATCTATAAGTACCATTATGTAGGAGTGGGACTAGTCAATAAGCCACGATTTGTAAGCAAACAAGTCGTTAGCGGTAACGGTATTCCATAAAGAATCAATAAAGACATGAAACAGCTCTTCAGTAACAGCCTAAGAGGCGGGAACTTGATCTAGAACTAGACCGATCCTTAAAACAGCATAATCCAAGAGTATCGAAGAATCAGGATCTCATTAAGACCTTCCGAGGGGAAGTTAGACTGCGCAACGAAGTTGATAGAAAATCGGAGAAGTTCGAGGCATAGACTGTTCTCCGGGGCAAAGCAATGACAGATGAAAAAAATAAAGGTAGCAAAAGATAAACCTGGTCAATGAAATATACCAATCAGTTGCCTCGTCTCGTTCTGTTTACCGTTCAGTGATACGTTTTCCAAAATCTTCAGAAGTTTTTCCATGACAATATGTTATGATAAATAGCAGAAATTCTCATTTTCTTATCACAAAAGCAATAAAGCTATATCGGAACATTTTTCTTCTTTATTACTCGGAGCCTTGCAATTACGGGGAGTGATAAATTAAATCGAGAAAGGTGTTAATAATAGACTATGATTTGATCTTGCAGTGATTTATTTACCACTGCAAAAGCATTTGTGAAGATGCATTTATGCCTGTTAATCTACTATTCAAATGACACGGACAAAGAAATCATTAATTGTTATGCGCAATCAAAAAATATAGAAATAACGATCGTAAAACTCAGGTATAAAACCCACAGAATATTTGTAGAGCGTAGAGGAGACCGAAATCTTGTGGAAATCTGAGGTGCAGGTAAAATGAGTTTTTAGTTTCTAAGGTTTTGACCAAAACCAGTAAAGGTAAAACAGTGACTTTTAGAAATGTCAGGGACAATAGTTGGATGTTTTTTACGAGCTGGCGCGGCACGGGCATGGCGAAGGTTGAGGCAAAAGCTTTAAATTTCACCAACAGTGACAATTGATGGAAAAAATACCCCTTTGGCATGTTCAGAATATCTAAGATTTAACGGCAGTTGTGATATTTTTAAGAATTTAGGAATAGTAATAAAATAACCCTCCTTCTGGCGCAGTCGGGTAAAACCTCAGGTAAAACAAAAGACTAATTACGCAACCCATGTATACCCATACGCAATCTATCTGCCCATAAAGTATGTCTAGAAAAGGAGGAGTGGAATAAGTCTACTGTATTCGTAAAGTTAAGTTAGAGTAGGTACACCCTAGGCTAGCTCGCAAATAAGTTATATTCAACCTTATTACATATACAGGCGTACCGGAAAAAGACTGGAATACAAATGAGGATCGCCCAGATCAGCAAACAGTGACGCTTAAAGGAAACTTATCTCAAAGTGTCAGTTACGAAACATTTGACTTAAATAGCGCTTACTCCAGCTTCGCAAATAGTATAAAAGCATTGAATTCAGCTTTGAAAAGACACGTAGCCCGAGGGAATAGCGGTTCTCGGAGATTGGAGACATCGCACCGGCAATCAGAACGGGAGACAACCGCACTCTGTAAAGCTTCAGCCAATTCGCCATCGCCGACGCGATCTGCACTCGTTGGTTTGGCTGAAGCCATGATGAAGCATATACCTCGGATTTTATTCAGTACTTTAGGCCCATTCCAGGGAGCTTATACACCAAGTTTCAATTAAGATTTTCTTTAAAAAAAAATTAAGTCCTTTCTCTCAATGCAGTATTAAGTTTAAAAACAACATCTTTCTTTCCTTATACGAATTAATAGAGTTATTAATGTCTACTAGACTTGCTATAACAAATACTATCCAAAAATCACTTACCAAGTAAGTCCATCCATCTGACACCTCCACAATGCATGGGAACTCCTCAACCTGTCTGTTGTTGACCTTGTCATTTTTGTTGGCTGCTACCTTTTCTATAGTAGATGAGTCAAACAGAAGCTTCCTTCCTCTCCAGTCACACTCTTTGAACAGAAGCAATCTCACTTGCTCTGAATTGATCTGGCAAGACCTGAGACAAAATAATACCTTATTGTTTTACAATTTTGGAATTTGTAATATATTTGTTTTATACACCATGATAACTCAAATAGTCAAAAGTTCCTGTAATGAAGATTACTAGCAAAAAATATAATTAATATGGCTAAAAATAGGTGCTGGAAGATATATTACACATTTTTTTCTTGATTTGAACATAACAATCTCATCAGTTTTATTCTCAGGCAAACATGTTCTATTTGTTGTATTATATTCTGCCCATTGAGGTTTTAACAAAAATATTTTAAGTTTGTAAATTTACTTTTAGAGAAACATTAAAAGCAAGCAGCTTAGTTAGGGTCATATTTTAATTAATAGACCACTTTGATGTGTGTATTTTCTTAACTGATTCCAATAAGAATTGATTGAAATTGATTTTAAGCAAACTTGAGTGTGATAAAGTAGTACTAGTGGCCAAGTATAACAAGTGAATAAACAATAAAAATAATAAGTTTAATAAGTATACTTAAGTACATTGCATTACATAAATATTATAGCACTCACAATATCAGTACATTGACTGTTCACTACATTCACACAACAGTAAAACAATGGTTGTGCAACATATAGTATACAATGGGACAGTCTGTGTTATTTGATATACCTAGTAACAAATGAGCAAATTAATCTACAACATAGGCTGGCAACATTTAGTTGTTGGATTTTAGATAAACTTTCTCCTTCAATTTGTCACCATTCATGCTAATTTATCATGATTTAATTCATGCCTACATGATGATGACTATTTGTCATCTTTCAATAAAAAAAAATTGATTGAATATGGTTAGATAAATTTTATTGTTTTAGAGTAATAAGTGTAATATTCTTTACTGAAAATTGCAAGGGACTGATCTGTAGCAAGACAAATGCATGTGCCAACAAATAAATTGATTGTATTACCCTTCTTATTAGATCCCAATTGGCAAATTCTTTGTCATGACTCTTGCTAATAAGATCTATGATTTACAAATTACCAGCGGACAAAGACAAGTTTGCACCGCTTCAAACTAACAAGCACAAAGTTTAATAGGCTGATCAAGTGGAAGCATACATTTGTGGTAGACTTAGCTAGATCACCACCTCAACAAATCATGATCAAAATCTCTACATGTGAGTTCAACATTACCTAAATTTCATCTTATTTCATAGTCGCTATTTTTCACACAGCCGTTTATCAATAGCAAAATGTTTACAGGAGAAATCTGTGTCACATGCACTCACTACCCAAACACGAAATCACGGCAATGTTTTCACTAAATGCACATCGGTGGCCGGATGACAATCGACGATCGTCCCTAGTGGAATGTGCGGGTGTACTAATACAACTAAGTTTGAATGTAAATAGTAAGTAAACAGTGAACGCGCCCCGCCCCTCTCAAACGACACGACCGGGCGGCCGCCTACGCCCGCGGCCCGCGCCCCGCAGTCATATGCTCGCCGCTCCGCCAGCATCCCGTGCGTCACCAGTTCCGACGCAAAGGGTCATGGAGCACCCCGGACACCAACACTGACCGATCATCGTGCGTCAACCTCTCTTCCGCACGCCGCACCACTCAAAAATAGACTTACATGAATGAAAGGCATTCTATGACGTACCTGGCCCGATTTCGTGATCCGCGATGATCATTGTCCAGTTTTCTCTTTATTGAAAAGAATTTGTCGAACAATGCCATTGCGTCACCAGTAACATATCACGAAGAACTTCGTCTTCGATTCACCAGGCATCTTTGATTTGTTAGTTTTTTGTGAAAATCAAAAGTTTGATCATCTTTTCCCCAATTTTTCAAACACTTTTTGTAAATAATTTGACAGATCACGTGCGAAAAGTCATATGATTGACCATAGACAAAAAAAAGTAATTTTTTTAATGTCAAGGCCAATGAAAGTGACAGCGTGAGTTTTTTTGTTATTATTCTTCTTCTTCTTAATTTTGAAACAATGCAAAATTATGAGACTTCGAGCGTAAGTTAATTCCTTAATTTTAATAGCAAAATGAGGTAAAATAATGTTGGGACTTGGAATGCATTATCTGTACCATAGCATAGACTATAGAGTCACGTTTCGTTCCACGCATATTGATGTTAACATGTTGTAACAAAACAAACACAAACGCGTGTAATGAGCCGCATGTGTCAATCATCAATCAAAGCAAAATAAAAAGTGAGTGATTGATTTTTCAGGTTGTTTTTTTATTCTCCATTGTCAGACGTGAATTAATTCAAGTTAAGAGAGCAAATAGTCAGTGTTTACCAGCCCGTCTAATAGAAAACTTCATCTAGTCACTAATTTCTGTAAAAAGAATACAATGACCGCTTGTAGTGAAATCTTTGGAAAACTAGAAGAGTTCAAAACATCTGTTTCTGAATCACTACATGAAATTTCTGAACTCAATGCGACCTGCAAAGTTATGCTTGAAAAATACCTGAGGGACACGGCTTCTTTGGATCACCTTGCAGCTGTTAGAACACAGGCTGTAATAGACTACATGTATGAGCAAGTGAACATTGGAAACTGGAAGGAGGTAAAGCCTTATCTCAGGAAAACGATAACCATCGCGTCGTATATAAACCTGCTGGCTATCACGAAATCTTCTGAAAACGCGACCGAAAGCTTAGTCAAGGATCTGTTCAAGATCATTGACTTTGGCATACTGTTTGGATGCCCTGTAGATGGAAACCCTGATTTATTGCAAACATGCGCAACACTACTGAGTTCATTTAATTTGATCACACATGATCTGAGTGAAACTTCTAGTCTGAATCAAGGGACTGTAGAGGTTGATATCACAAAGTATAATGCACAACCAATAGAGGTGATAGATTGTCCTAGCATGGAGAACTTTTACAGAAACTACATACTAGCAGAAAAGCCAGTTATATTGAGGAACTGTATCAACCACTGGCCAGCGTTGAGTAAATGGCGAGATCAAAATTACTTCATAAAACTGGCTGGGGCCAGGACTGTTTCAATCGAAATTGGGCGTGATTATACAGAGAAAGATTGGACCCAAAAGCTGATGACAATTGAGGAATTCATTAAGGACTTTGTCTACCAAACAAATGGCCCCACAGGCTATCTGGCCCAATATCAGTTATTTGAGCAAATTCCAGAACTAAAGAAAGACATTGCAGAGCCTGAATACTGTAGCTTCGCTGACACTAATGAGGCAGTAGATATGATGGCGTGGTACGGACCCAAGGGCACAATTTCTCCACTGCACTACGACCACAAACGTAACTTGTTCACTCAAGTTGTTGGTGAAAAACAAGTATTCTTATTTTCTCCTCAAGACACAGAGAACTTGTATCCTCATGAACATGAGTTGCTACACAACACAGCACGAATAGACCCTCGATTCCCTGATTATGAAAAGTATCCTAAATACAAAGACGCTAAGGTATACTGTTGCGTGCTGCGTGCAGGACAGATGCTGTACATTCCTCCAAAATGGTGGCATTATGTGGAGTCACTATCAATAAGTTTCTCCGTAAGTTTCTGGTGGAAGTGAAACTGCAAGAAGTTTCCGTCAACTTGGTGACTTAGGATAAGCAGAAGAAAAGAGGTGTGTACATATTTTTAGTATATGAATAGATATTCTTATCAAAACATTTATTCTTATTGGACTATGCTACTTACACTCATCCTTATGTCTACAATTATCTTGGGTTTTATTAATAACTGATCTAATTAATTAATTAATGATCTAAGTCATACAATGAACTACCTAAATCTTAGTTTGTAATTGGGGTCAAAATAGTGAATATTGTCTTTTACAAATGTAGACAGAGGTAGTTTTATTCTTATATTATTTCTTTCGTAAGAAAATCAATAACAAAAATAATTTATTTGTATTCATTGTTCAATGCACGACCAATAAGCATTCTTCTGACTTCTGATGTGCCTGCACCAATTTCATACAGCTTGGCATCCCTGAGCAGTCTGCCGGTAGGATAGTCATTGATGTAGCCATTGCCACCTGAAAAACAATGATTAAGGGATTAATAAGCAATAAACATTTAAGATTGCACCTATATACCCTTTCATAACACAGTTCTTTCAAAGTTTTGTAGTAGAAGGCTATTGCTTTCTATAGGTATAATCAAAAATTTTATAGAGGCCCCGTAGCCTGATCCTTGTCAGTTGCCGACCTTGGAGCCAATACGGAATGCATGCGCATATAAATAAGAATGACGCGCATTTGGGATAACGAATTCATGCAGTTTGATACAAAACCCTTATCAACATAATTTTTATACAGCATCTCTGCGCAATAAACAGGATAATTTAAAATTTATTGACGTGTTTTTAATGCTAAAACTGTATTCTTTTCTTTATCAAATAGAAAAGTAGTAAACTGAGCTAGACAGTCGCCAGCAGATCAGCTTAAAACTACCTACTTAAGAAATTCAGTTCAGGGAATATTGACCTTTACCATAATATTCGTACGTTATTACTTGTAGGTACATCTCTTTATGATCGTATTTTAACTGACGATAAAAGCAGGTCTTTTTACATACAAAATCTGTCTATAATCATGGTGCATATTAGATCTACAGTTCGATCGCAAATTAGAACCAGGAAGGGTAATTAATCTTTACTTCTATACTAATCTATACTATCTATACTAATATTATATGCGAAAGTAACTCTGTCTGTCTTGCTTTCACGCCTAAACCACTGAGTTTGAGTCCCGGGAATGGACATAGGATAGTTTTTATCCCGGTTTTTGAGACAGGGACGCGCGCGATGAAGTTTTTCTGTGACAGACAAAATTCCACGCGGGCGAAGCCGCGGGCTGAAAGCTAGTCTGCTATAAAAATACCTAGTATCTGCACAGCATCTAGCGCCACTTGCGTTGCCTTCTCCGCGCAGTACAGGATGACTCCTGCGCAATCCTTGCTGTTGACGTGCCCCTCGTCGCATGCCCTCGCCACGTTGTACAGGTAGCTCCGGCACGCACTTAACGTCGTGTACATGTCCGCCATTTTACCCTGAAATTGTACATAATGACGGTTTAACATGGATAACTTAATAGCCCAACTAAGGCAATTTCAAACCGTTTTCAAACTGGTCGCGTCATGTGTGGTCTCTCAACGGAATCTATGACAGAAACTTATATGCAACTCAAAAGTAACTAGAAGTTGCAGTTTCGTTGCAATTGCGTTTCACCGTGTGTTCTGGGCCTTAGTGCTAGGGGCGTGGCATAGAGCTCGTAGGACTGATGGCCGGTGCGTCAGAAGTTCTCGAATGGCAACTACGGACCGGAATACATTGTAGGCAAGGCTTTCACTCGGTGGACTGACGATCTGGTAAGGGTCGCGTGATGCGACTAGATGTGGGAATGACCGGTCGATGTGGATATCCTTTGAAAAGTCCTGCAGCAGACGTCTTTTTCCACCCCACCCATTACCTACTTTAGAAGCTTTAGGTGGAGCAGTTGCAATGCCTAAAGCGACTGAGCCTGGTTTAAAATATTACCTAACTTTAAGAAATCACTCCTCTAATCCTAACTGATTAAAATACCAATCCACAGCAATATCTGTCCTTAACAATCTTCACGATATCTTTCTGGATTCACAAGTTTATTGGTCCAATAAAGAATTTTAAAAGGATTAATTAATCAAATGTGAAAAATTATCAAGTTGATATGCCTCATTTCAACTTGATACTTTTTTACTATTCAATTTAATTTTCACTATTAAATGGTCACAAACCTGTAGCAGCTGGAATTCCCCAATATTTTTCCCGAATTGTTTCCTAGTGTGAGCGTACTGGAATGCAGCGTCTATAGCCGCTTGCATTATCCCTACTGGTCCTCCAGCCAGCACCAACCGTTCCAGGTCTAAGCCCGACATGAGGACGTAGACTCCTTTGTTCACTTCGCCAAGAACGTTCTCTGCAGGCACCTGTAATATTAATTAATTTTCTTATAAGCATTTAAAAAAAGTTATAAGATATTTTGTGTATTTGGATGTGTTCAGAATGTTCAGATGTTATTTTTGTATGTCTTTCATTTATCCTAATCTATCAGGTCAAACAAGCAAAGACCCCGCGCTGTAGTTGCAATCACGAAACAATACCTCATTATTTCAGCCATAGGACGTCCACTGCTGAACATAGGCCTCCCCCAATGAGTTCCATAGCGGCTTGCATCCAGCGCCTTCCTGCGCCTGCTACCTTTATGAGGTCGTCGGTCCACCTTGTGGTTGGACGTCCTACGCTGCACTTTCCAGTACGTAGCCTCCATTCCAGAACCTTTCTGCCCAATCGGCCGTCAGTTCTACGTACTATGTGCCACTTCAGCTTGCTATGGGGCTACGTCATCGACTTTAGTTCGTTTACGGATCTCCTCATTTCTGATTCGATCTCGTAAACAAACACCGAGCATAGCTTCATATAGCACGCTGTGCAACTCTGAACTTATTTATAATCCTCGTTTCTGATTTCTGAGCCGTATATCACTCACTGGTAAACAATACCTACTCATGTGTTAGTAATCCTTACTTTACAGTCTTCAAAAACAAGCTCGCATGTGTTAGATCCCCGCATTCCCAATTTGTCCAGCTTTTGTGCTGTAGTGAAGCCAGGGAATCCTTTTTCTATCAGAAACGCTGTTATTCCGTGTTGTGGCTTACTTGCTAGGTCCGTTTTTGCATAAACCTGAAATCAATCAACAGCACGATGTTAGTAGACTTTTCTAAAGCATCATCATAATAATGTAACATCTGTCTGAGGATGTTAATTTTTAGTAACTTTTGAGTAGAAGTTTTATCAAAACTGCTGTGGTTTTTTGGTTTGAATGGTGATGATGATTCCTGTAAGTCTATAGAACCAACTGGGGAAAAAGTTCATGTGGTTCGATCGGTAAGACAAAGGCAGTAGGACCATGTATGTGGCCAAAGGGATTTTTTCTTACTAGGATAACGAACTATGATCACCATCTCACCACTCACTAGGATAGATCAGCTATTCTAGAAAGATTACATTATTTTACTTACCACCAAAACATCAGCATCGGGTCCGTTCGTAATCCAGAACTTGTTGCCATTTAGCACGTAGTAGTCCCCCTTCTTTTCGGCCCTGGTCTTCATGGAGACGACGTCGGATCCCGCTCCTGGTTCAGACATGGCTAGGGCTCCCATATGTTCTCCTGAGCATAACTAAAACGAAAAGAAAGGTCTTAAAATCCTTCGAGCATTATACAGCCAAGGCGCGTGAGACTAGAGATCTAATTTTGGGATCGATTTACTTCTGAATTTTAGCCTAACTTACCTTGGGTAAATATTTGCTTTTCTGTTCATGTGTCCCATTCCTATTAATTTGGTTAATGCACAAATTTGAATGTGCTCCGTACGACAAAGCGACACCGCCACTAGCTCTGAAAATTATTTTACAACATGTTCAAAATAGTGATTTACCAACATCGTTTTTCAGTCTTAGGGCTGAGTTTCACCACCTTAACTTAACCGTAACAAACGTCAAAAGTTTTTGAAACTTCATACAATAACACCGGTTAAAGTTATACTATTTACCGTTTAAGTTAATGTGGTGCAACTCAATCTTAGTACACGATAATCTCATATTTCAACTCTTGCTTGCGAAATGCGAATCTTTGTGTCTAAATATTGCCATGATTGTGTTAAACTTTGTAAAGAAAGCCTTCCCTCTTTTCAATGGAATTTCAAAAGTTTTACCTGGAGAGTTCCTCCATGATAACGCAGTGATCAGAATATTTGCCCCCAGTGCCGCCATAGTCGGGACTTGCTGTAATACCTACATGTAAACAGAAACCATTAAATGCGTGTGCTTAGGTACATACAGTGGGTCACAGTTCCAGCTGCCCATTTCCCTTTTTCTCTCTCTCTCATTAAATGGTGATTCTTTGCGATAGAACGAGACGACATGACCCGAAATGGGTTGCTAGAAGTTAGAACTGTGGTCCATTATTATGGGTGTAAGTAACGTGTAGCGATGTATTCATCGCTATGGAAAAAACAAGCCGAACTGCCAACCAAGGCTAAAATGGCGAATTTCGTGTCAGTGACAGGAAATGTTATGTTTTATTGTATTTCTAAAAATAAAAAGTGAAGCCGTGGTCTTTATTTTCTACTATAATTTTGCAATTGTTTGAATTACAAATACAAGTTTGTCAAAAATACTTCATTCTTCATTCTACCTTAGCTCAAATATCTAAACAACTGCTGAGAACTTCCATACAGCATTTAGATAGGTGCTAGTTTTTCTCGTCATATTCGCCTACCTACTACTTAATCGGCACAAATTCCTTTTAAAAGGAGATACCTATGCTGTCCCTAATTTCCTAGCTGTCTTCTCGAAGCCAATTGCCATAAGAATTCATTTATATTTTCATACTTAAGTAGACGAATAATAATTGTGCCCATGCAGTATTCATGGTCTTTAACTTACCTAATAAGCCCAACTGTCCTAGTTTCTTCCAGAAGTCCCGTAGTTCTGCAAAATTGTTCTGTTTGTCGATCTCGGATGCTTTTGGCGCCAATTCTTTCTGGGCGAAATCAAACACTACTTGTCGCAGCTGTAATATGAATCAAGTCGTAAGCACATCGTAAGTCTACACAGACACCATTTGTTGGGCACAATTGGTTCAGCTTTTTCTCTTTTTTTAAACTCTATCACAAGACTCCGGACGAGTCACACTGTTCTAAAGTATGGCTACACTCTCCCCGGAATTACAAATAACAGTCCAAGGATTGATATTATTTTATAACAAGCTGAAATCTTCGAGTAACAATATTATGCAAAATACATGTACCTACTTACACGAGTACCAGAAATTAAAATGTTTTTTGAAATTAAATAAGCAGCGCCAGTTGAGAAGTATTGTACCTAAGCATAGTCTGTATCCATACTCAAACATTTAAATCTTGACCCTTCAACTATGTAATTTCTTTTCCTTTTTTTACAAATTTTGAGTCAATAGATATGTAAATGCTATTTTTACAGAGATGTTTTGCAGCACTAAAATACTTCCTAATTTATTTTAATTACACAATAATAATCGTGTTTACTTAGCTTAATTTATGAAACGAGCGCCTCAAGATAATGTTGTAAGGAATGTTACATCAGTTTTTATCGAAGTCAACAAACAATAATGAGTGATTATCTCTTTAAAAATGAATTTATTAACCTGTTGCTGCTCGGAGGACAGTCCAAATACATGCTCGTCTATAGGATAGTGCGACATACATCGCAGACCGGTTCCCTTCGTACACTTAAGCAACTGCTTTGCCACTATGCCTACCGACATCTTGGATACGACCAGTCACGGAGCGATACAACTCGTCACTGACTCGATAAACACTATCAATGCATACTAATATAGCCATTTTCGTATTTTGTAGGCAATAGAGTCTATTATGGCGTGACGCACGCACTGTGTAGGCACACGACCTTACGATACTGATAAGAAATGTAGTCGCTATCATTATCATTCAGTCAGATTTTCGTTGTTATGTGAATTACGTACGATAATTAATGATTAAACTGATTATTTTTTTAATCAGATTCGTGGTGGGCGGGTGTGGAATTTCAAGAATATTATTAAATGAAAGTACATAGGTAATCAAAGTAAGGACTTTACCAAATCTAGTCTTTTTTCATAGACCTAAATCTTCATTAGGTAAAAAGACCATTGCTTAAATATAACCCCAGATTGTATCAAAGGCTTTAAAAAGGGGGACAACAGGGAAACATTCCCAACGGTGCACTGGCCTAACGGGTTGGGGAGGCCTGATGATCACATATTTGTCCCTTAGGACCCTTACGACATCCACTGACCCTTTGCTCTGACCAACCGAAACCACATCTCCAAAGCAAGGCTACAGTCAAATGTGTTGTTCCTAAATGAATTAATGTGTACTGAAAAATAAGTTTCTTCCATAACATCGGAAACTTTATTGTGACATATTTGCTTAATTTCAAAGCCTCATGTAAGTAGTTAGTAGATATTATGAGACTCGATTAATCTATTGTAAATCCCTTGTAAGTTGTTATACAACATCCGTCTTTTCTTTTAAATAAACAACTTGAAACAATCGAACTGCCTAAGGCGGGAAGCGAACCCACGACCTTTCGCTTGTTATCACAGAGTTGAAAGTATAAAAAGTTAAAAGTAAAGAGTATAAAAGTTGAAAAAAAGAACACTCGGTGCAGATGCATATCTTCCAACTGAGCTACTTAGACACTGGATGAACCCGTTCAAGTGTAATAAAATAGTTCAAATATCGTGTTATTATTATGGCCGCGTTTTCCTTAGACAGTTCGATTTTTTTCAAGTTGTTTATTTAAAATTGAGTTTTAGAAGCGACTCCAATCGCCAAGAAATTTTATTAATCCGTCCTTTCGTTGCTTGGAAGAAGTCAAGCCATCCACATATATTAACATATTAAATGAAACCACTCACTTATTGATTGTACATTATATTTATACATTCAAGTATAATACTTTGACTATTACATAGTTTTATAAGCACCTTCACTGATGTTACAACAATTTATATTAGACTTCTTAAAATTAACAATACATTTACAAGTACATAACTCTAACATAAAACATTATAAACTTATGTACCTCAGCTAACATAACATAAAATCATTACATAAATGTAGCGCATGTCCCAAACATCTATTTTGTCGTCTATTTTATATAATTTGAATTCTCCAAAACGGAATGTAAATATTATCTCTAATCTCAAGAAACAATAATTCTTAAGGAATGTGTAAATCAAGTAATAAAATAAACAATTTGTTAAAAATAAATATTGCACCAGATACAACAATAGGTCATAAATAAGTACCAAAATAAAATTTTCGTTGATTTCATAATTTACAATAAAATAACATGAATATTTACCTAAAAATAAAATCAATTTATAAGTCAAAGTTGGGTAAATCTTAAGGTAATTTAAGAATTTTCTATCTTTATAACTATTTTAATAAGCGAACATCAAACATGACATAATTCCAGAGAGGATTAATGTACTAACTCAATAGGGAAAAAGTGTATATAGAATAATTTTAAAGTGTAGTTCCCAAAAGTTAATGACTAGGAAATTTTGTAGAATCAAATGGCGCCTATTAAAATAGTTTCAGCTAAGACGGAATAATTATGGCTATAAATTAGTTGGTTTCCATCTTGGATTTTAGAGATTGGTAATATTCTGACAGGACTTTCCACGCGGTGGGCGCCATGAAGCCTTTTGGAGGTTCTTTGCCTGCTCTGGCAAGACCTGTGGAAAAAACATATCATCAATTGACAACTACCTAACTGTTCAGTGTTACTATTGTATGACAGCTCATGTTAAACGATGTGGCATCTTGAGTAGTGGCGAAAGGTGCTATTTTGCAACCAAATGCATAGTATGTTGTGCTGTTAAGAATATATGTTTACGAGGGGTGTTCAAAAGTAATGAGAATGGGATATTTCTAGCCATCACAAAAATCTGAAAAAAATTGGGCGGGTAGCTTAATTCTTCACTAGACAAAATTCATTTAAGTTCACCATTGCGTTTAAGAATTACATTCATCTGAACGCGACCAGTCGAATGATTTTCTTGACTCCAAAAAGTAATCTCGTACATAATAATAACAGATTGAGATACCAGCATTCCAGCATAGTAAAAAAAAGTCAAGGCAGTAATAATTTACGTAATAAAAAAAAATAACAGCTAATAATGGTTCTCTTTGTTTCAGGTGAAAAGTAGTGGTTTTACCTCGCATCCTAGTTCCAGATATGAAATCAAAGTCCTCCTTCCTCGTCGGGTCGAAGAAAGCCATCTTGCCGATTGAGGTGTCGTACGCCGCGACACGGAATGGAATTATCTGCGAAAAGAAATTCAATATTCAAGCACCATTCAACTATATGGCTCAAAAACTTAGGCCCATATTATGAAACGATTTCAAAGTTCGATTCAGTCAAGCATAGAGTCAGACTCAAGTCTGCAATTGGCGTCTTTGAGTGTCATTTCATTTCAATAATTCATAACACTTGAGCAAGCTCAGGCGATTGAGCGGCCCGGCAAAATGAACCGCCCATAAAAACATAAAAGCAGCTGATGTTAAATTGTGAATTGTCACTGTGATGACTTGACATGGTGCATGTCACTGTGACATTGTGGAAGGTCGAAAATGTTGTAGTTCATCTATATTGTGTTCTTTTGACACTGTAAAATTGTAGGTGAAAAATGTTATTTTAAATACACGTCGATTTAAAAATATTTTATGTTTTTCTACGAAAAAAAGAACTATACCTAATAAATGTTCCTATGTAGACAACTTGTGTTGAAGATATTTGCAAAAATCGATGTTACTTTGATGTCTGAAGTAACTAAAAACAAGGAAATTACGAAAAAAAAGAAAACAATATATTCTGGCTCAATCACTAATCTAGTATTATTTCTGGGATTTCGTTTAAGAAGCTATTGTAAAATAGAAATAATAGGCATTCAGCCATTAACATAATCATTGTAACATCTTACACAACAATATTTTCAGGCGCACTTGCCTGTTGTTAATTTTGACATTGTTCTTTGTAAAAAAAAACTAATAGTTAATATGACGTTATTCTTCACTATAGTCTTTTTCACCTAAGATGATCCGTATGACACTTCAAGGTTATCCATATTACGCATACTACATTATGCAGAATATTTTTGAAAAAATATTTGTATTTTATTAGCAATGTAATAAAAAAAAAACTAACTAGGTACATGTCTTTAAGTAAATAGTAAAATCTGAGTCTATTGATTATATTTTAATTAAATACGATGTAAAAATATTTTTTATTTAATGTACGCAATGTGTGAAACGGAATAGATTTAGTGCTGGGGTATTTGTTGTATAACAAAATCGATTATTTCCACGGTTCATTAATCGATTGCAGTGAATACTTAGTTATTAAAAACATCACAAAAATCAACTATATTTTTCGATTGTTGACTTTAATAAACGCATTGAAAATAAAGTAACTAATAGTTTTTAATTTATAGAAATAGAACCAGTACTTTTTAGGAATCGTTTTTTTTTAACACGAAGTCCATGGAGTTTGAATATTATCAATAAAAAATTGTTACAAAAATATTTGTAATTAAAAAAAACATGTTTTTTGTTAAATGACACCTATACAAAATATTTCTCTAAAAGTAGGTGAGTATTTCTCAAAAAAAATGTACGTAACGAAACGGTAGTAACGAAATAGTAAGGCCATAAGGCTTGTTATACATTGGCGAAATATTGTGAATGCTCTAAATTTATTCAATTCGAAATATTTTTAAGTATGCACCCAAATACGGGGTAATATTAAGGGGTTAGAAATAAGATAAGGGAGTAATCATTCATACTATTTTAATAAAATTATTTTTGTTCCATCATGTTTATCCATTTTGAGTCGATCTCTGTAAGCTTTTTGCCTTTTGGCATTGGTTTTTGGCGGCATTCCTAAAAAAACAAAAGAAGTAATCACATAAAAACGTAATCTAAATGATTTGATTATTTTTTGCTGGTGGCACTTCTGTAAAGCAGATAGTATCCAATCCTTTTGTTATTGACGCTCTATATTTTTTGAAATAAATTAAGTAGTGAATATTACTATGCTTAGTCAGGTAATAACAGTATACACTCAGCATTATGTTGTACTTTTTCGTAACGTAACGAAATTCGTAAAAAACGTAACGAAATATTAGACAAAATGAGATCAGAAACAAGTATTTTTTTGATAAAATTTGTTACAGCAAATATAAAAGCTTACTAAATGTTCGTACCACACGTATTACAAAAAATGGTTAAATGAAGACTTAACGTTCTATATAAAATCGCTGATTTTACTGCCTGTTACGAAAAAGTAATCCCACAAAACACACACGTTTTCACTAATTTTCGCGATAGATGTAATGGCGGAGACGTCAGGCCAACAGCCATTCAGAGTGCAGCTATTGTTGTCCGTGTAAAATAAATACGGAATTGTTCAGAAACCATGGGAAAGTAGAAATAAATCGTAACTAAAGAGTAAATAACGAAATAGTAAATGAGAGCGACTCATTTTGTTTTTTTGCTTTAAATTGCCAATTCATTATGACACCCCATAGAAAATCAATTTGATACAGAAACTGCGATTACTGTAGTGTAGAACGATAATACAAAGAAATTTACAATAATTTAGTTACGTATCGCATTTTATGAAACAAAAACACATGAAAAAGCTAGGGTGGCAAACAGGTTTTTGTATGAAAGGTAAAAAAGGACTATTTTTAAAATATCTAAATATTTGGTAATAAGTAGGATTATAGCTATAATTCTTCGTTATCTTAAAGATTAATATTCATCCTTCAAAATTGTGTGTGTTTTTTTTGTGTGATGATCTATAAATATAAAACTTTTGAACTGTTTCAAAGCACACTTTTTTTTTCAAAATGTACATTTTTTTTGAGAAATACTCAGGTAGGTTTTACTAACTCTTAGAAAAAATCGATAGATAAATCGCTATGGTTTAGTTATGTGACATCTCTATAACTTTCAAACTCGAAACGGCATCCGTTGTCTTGTCGGCCGTTTGGTGTAGTGGTTCGAAATGGACTACTATTCCGGAGGTAGCGGGTTCGATTCCCGCACAGTACAAACATTTGTGTGCATGAACATATTTGTTTGTATTGGACTGGGTGTTTTCTATGTATAATAAGTATGTATTTACAAAAAAAAAAGTATTTAAGTATGTTTATATCCGTTGTCTAGTACCCATAGTACAAGCTTTGCTTAGTTTGGGACTAGAAGCGCAGTGTAAAATGTCTAAGGATATTTATTTATTTATTCATACGAATCATCTTACGTGAAAAAGACTATAAATAGATGGTAATTTATGAGAAAAAAAATACAATTTGTATCCTCCTACACAATAAGAATTTGTGTAAGCTAAGATACAAAGCACAGAGTATAGTTCCAAAATACTGGACTGTCCTGTCGATGACATTGACAGTGGGGCGCCACCGTCAATACCGGATCGCTGGTTCAGATTTTTGCCATGTTGGAAACCATATAGTTGAACGATGGTAGCGCCCCCCTGTCATTGAGTTTGGTGGGACAGTTCAGCGTGGGTCATCTATAACATACTGTACTCTACATCGAGGAAAAAAAAGCCTAAAATTAAATACGATGTGCATAAGGTTTAGGTTCAAAGTAATAAACGTATCTACATACTCCTTTTAGGTGAACAGCTTGACAGCCCCACAACAATCGAACCATAAATAGCTATATTACCAATACTAGATAAGGTAATTATTATATTCCTCTATTTTTGTATGTTTAAGTAGGAAAAGACATTTACATGACTCCGCAATTTTGTTTTTATAAACCAAATATTAATATTAGTGTAAGTGATAAGTACTTATGTAATCTGAAATATAAAATGTGTATCGATGTATATTTGTCAATTCAATAAATTATGATTTTGAATCAGGTTTTTTATTATTTTATGTCAGCGTTGCATTCACGCTATAGGTGGTTGAAGCTAACATATTTTATAGGTACTCGCTCTGTAATATTTCATTGAATACACAACAAAATCGACACAACATGAGACATTCAAGTTCAAATATCCAATACACTACCATGCTCTTGTGAAATGTCTGCAAGTGAGACACAAAGCACTTGTCAATCCAACTATGCAAGATGTCAGTGCAGACATCGTATACAGATACAAATCTTTGCTTACGTTAATAGTCTCTACTCTCTTTGCGCGACCTATAAACTTACTGAACTCATTGTAAACGGTTCGACTAACTGCCTCGGTCATTTGCACACCGGAAAAGCAGATATAGACCTTCAAAGCATTAATAAAAACTTCTCTGACCTCAAGCTCTTTCAACCCGGACGCCATTTTGAGCAAATGGAACCGTCACGCGGGTCGTAGAGATCTCCGGCCGCGACGGGAAGCGGCAGGGCGGCGGGAAACGCCCCACTACTTAATAGCTACAATCCCTTCACACAGGTCTATTTCTAGACCCCTTACCACGCCATTATTTTGCGTATTGGGACGGCAGACTAATGTCCGTTTTCACCATCAATCCCTATTTTTAAATGACTCCCATAGTATTAATTTTGTTGTCATAGGGGTCACGTAAAGATTACGGATTGATGGTGAAAACGGGCATAATTTTCCTGCGGTGAATAGGTCACTGACCTCAAGCTCGTTCAGGCCGGGCGCCATCTTGAGCAGCATGGCCCCGTGGCGCGGGTCGTAGAGGTCCCCGGGCGCGCCGGGGTGCGGCAGGCCGGCGGGAAACGCCCCACTACGTAATAGCTAAAGCTCGATCCATGAGCACGTAGAATTTTGTCTAATGACCCCTAGCTACCCATCATTATCGCTCGCGCGTAATTATATTGCTGTCGCGACTGCGACTGGCACCCGCAGTGAGTGTGCGAGCGCGATAGCAACATAGTTACGCGCGAGCGATAAAGATGAGTAGCTTGGGGTCATTGGACAAAATTCTACGTGCTCACGGACCAGACTTTACAATCTCTTCACACAGGTCTATTTCTAGATCCCTTACCACGCCAGTCTTTGCGTATTAGGACGGCAGACTAATTTTCCTGCGGTGAATAGGTCACTGACCTCAAGCTCGTTCAGGCCGGGCGCCATCTTGAGCAGCATGGCCCCGTGGCGCGGGTCGTAGAGGTCCCCGGGCGCGCCGGGGTGCGGCAGGCCGGCGGGGTCGCGGCCCACTATGTAGTAGTTACAATCCCGAAAAACAACTACTAGCACGCTTGCCGTCCCAGTGTTTAGCGCAGCGCGAATGGCACTGACATCTGACACTCAAAAGAAGTAATTTAACCCAGGTGCCATCCATCTTGAGTGCCATAGTCCCGTGGCGCGAGTTTAAGCTTTAGTGTTTTGCGTAGCAGGAATAATGTTGACATTAAATGCACCAAGAGTCCGTTGCGTGCGTCTCAAGCAGCGAAAAGGCAGACGTTTGCCTTCAACAAAGCATTTTCCTGTAATAAAACACAGCCTACTCACCTCATTTGTTCGTTCAACCCGGGCGCCACTCGAGCACTCCCTGTAGCGCGGGCTTTGGGCAACGGAAAAGCAGACGTTGACATTCACAGCAGTGATAAAAGTTAAAGCACTGACCTCAAGCTCGTTCAGGCCGGGCGCCATCTTGAGCACCATAGCTCCGTAGCGGGGTCGTAGAGGTCCCCGGGCGCGGCAGGCCGGCGAGAAACGCCCCACTACTTAATAGCTACAATCCCTTCACACAGGTCTATTTCTAGATCCCTTACCGCCCTTGTATTTTGCGTATTGGGACGGCAGACTAATGCCCGTTTTCACCATCAATCCCTAAGTTTTAAGTGACCCCTATGGTAACACATAGTATGAATATTGTAAGGGTCACTTAAAAATTACGGATTGATGGTGAAAACGGGCATAATTTTCCTGCGGTGAATAGGTCACTGACCTCAAGATCGTTCAGGCCGGGCGCCATCTTGAGCAGCATGGCCCCGTGGCGCGGGTCGTAGAGGTCCCCGGGAGCGCCTGGGTGCGGCACGCCGGCGGGAAACGCCCCACTACGTAATAGCTAAAGCTCGATCGTGCTCACGGACCAGACTTTACAATCCCTTCCCACAGGTATATTTCTAGACCCCTTACCGCCCCAGTCTTTTGCGTATTGGGACGGCAGACTAATTTTCCTGCGGTGAATAGGTCACTGACCTCAAGCTCGTTCAGGCCGGGCGCCATCTTGAGCACCATGGCGCCGTGGCGCGGGTCGTAGAGGTCCCCGGGCGCGCCGGGGTGCGGCAGGCCGGCGGGAAACGCCCCACTACGTAATAGCTAAAGCTCGATCCGTGAGCACGTAGAATTTTGTCTAATGACCCCTAGCTACCCATCCTTATCGCTCGCGCGTAATTATATTGCTGTCGCGACTGCGACTGGCACCCGCAGTGAGTGTGCGAGCGCGATAGCAACATAGTTACGCGCGAGCGATAAAGATGAGTAGCTTGGGGTCATTGGACAAAATTCTACGTGCTCACGGACCAGACTTTACAATCCCTTCACACAGGTCTATTTCTAGACCCCTTACAGCCCCAGTATTTTGCGTATTGGGACGGCAGACTAATTTTCCTGCGGTGAATAGCTCACTGACCTCAAGCTCGTTCAGGCCGGGCGCCATCTTGAGCAGCATGGCCCCGTGGCGCGGGTCGTAGAGGTCCCCGGGCGCGCCGGGGTGCGGCAGGCCGGCGGGGTCGCGGCCCACTATGTAGTGGTTACAATCCCGAAAAACAACTACTAGCACGCTTGCCGTCCCAGTGTTTAGCGCAGCGCGAATGGCATTGACATCTGACACTCAAAATCACAGGTACCATCCATCTTGAGTGCCATAGTCCCGTGGCGCGCGTTTAAGCTTCACGTCTCAGTGTTTTGCGTAGCAGGAATGATGTTGACATTCAATGCACCAAGAGTCCGTTGCGTGCGTTTCAAGCAGCGAAAAGCTACAACCCCTTCCCACAGACCCCTTGCCGCCCCAGTCTTTTGCATATTAGGAGGGCAGACTAATTTTCCTGCGGTGAAAAGCTCACTGACCTCAAGCTCGTTCAGGCCGGGCGCCATCTTGAGCAGCATGGCCCCGTGGCGCGGGTCGTAGAGGTCCCCGGGCGCGCCGGGGTGCGGCAGGCCGGCGGGGTCGCGGCCCACTATGTAGTGGTTGGCGCCCGCGTTCATGCGGCATTTGGCGTGCCATTGCACCTGGGGACAAGGGGTTAAAAATTAATAAAATTCAATAAAAACACAAATACCCGTATCGTAAAATCTTTCAACAATTAAAATTCTAAATCACGTAGGAGAGAGCAACGCGTAAACCGATAGCACCGCGCTCTCTGAAATTCAAAATGACAGAAATTAAAAAAAAAATTAAAAAAATACCCGTATTATGGACAAGAATAGCTGAAAATAGAACAGCCTCTTAGAGGATGAATGCTGTTGCATCCCAATCTTCACATTTCACACAGCGTCACATTTTTCATTTTGATACAAGCGACCGAAACCAGGCATCTAATTACTTGACATAGGTCTCATTCTCGCACGCGAACTGAGGTCCGGTTTCCACGGAGTCGGAGCGGAGTAGACAAGTTTTTTGAATAACTAATCAGATTCAATTATTTGCTCATCTCCACTCCGCTCTGCTTCGGTGGAAATAGATCGAGCGAAGAAGTGTCGGGCGCACTTGTTTTTCTATAGAATTTGATAGCGGCGACTCTCGTCTCCGCACCGCTCCGCTCTTATTTGGTGGAAATAGCCTGCCAGCTTCGCCGCAGATCTCTCGTTTCCGCACCGCTCCGCCTTGATGGAAACTAAGCCTTATGCTTATACATTGTTTAGGGTTAAGTAATGATCGCGGTCACCTGTATCGTTCGCATGACTGTGTCACGGTGCGAACCGCCGCCTTTAAGAGTTGATCCGTTTATCCACCATTTTGAATAAACACGGGCGCCCGCAGTGAGTGTGCGAGCGCGACAGCCACATAATTCCGCGCGAGCGATAAGGATTGGTAGCCTGGGGTCATTGGACAAAATTCTACGTGCTCGCAGACCAGACTGTAGCCATAACAACAATGTCAAGAGCATGCGTTCCAGCAGTTAAAGGTAAAATGGTCAGTTCCTCTGTGGTTGGGGGTTCCGGGTGAAGCTCGCTTCCTTCTTCCTACTACCTTCGGCCTGATCATCACTTTCCATCAAATGAGATACATACAGTCTCTTAAAGCTTCCACAGACCAAACGAGGGTCAGAAGCAGTGCGGGTCAGTTGCAGCGCGGCTGAGGCACACTGAAAGCAGCGCAGTTTCAAAGCAGTTGCAACGCGGGCGGTTGTCAAAAATTTAAATATTCGAGAACCGCTTTCAACGCGCTGCTACCGCCCTGCGTCCGGTGTGTCATGCTAATATGGCCGCCATAGTAATACAACAGCGCGGGCCCGCGTTCGCGCCGCTTCTGTCCCGCTCCCGCGCCGCCTCGTTTGTATTTCAGCAGTTGCAGTGCGGCGCGGTTGGAGCGCGGGCCCGCGTTCATATTTGGTGTGACACACTTCAAAGAGTTTCTTGTATTACAACTTGCGCGGGCCCGCATTCAAACTGCGCTGCTACTGCCCCGCGTTTGGTCTGCCTTTAAAGCTTTTAAAGTAAACGGATATTACCTCAGTAGGACCGGCATACATCATGGGCGAGGGGAAGATGGCGAGCACGGTGGCGCGCGGATCCAAAACGTTCTCCGCGAGCACGGCCTTGTGCTGGCTGATGCGGACTTCTAACGGCACGTCGTCGTCCTTGGTCCAGCCGCCTGGGGAAACAAATTATGTTTGTTAGGATTATGCCCGTTTTCACCATCAATCCCTAATTTTTAAGTAACCCCTATGAAAACAAAATTCCTATTATGTGTTACTATAGGCGTCCCAAATTAGGGATTGATTGGTGAAAACGGGCACTACTGTTACATTTTTGAGGTGGGGAAAGTGAGGGAACATTTAACGACAGCGCATACTGGGCGAGAAATCGTGGCGACAGACGCGGCCACAAAACGCGCGCGAGTGTCATATCATATATTAGCTGACGTCACGACTTCGCGACATGTCGCGACGACAAGCTATATGAAAGAAAAGAAAAAGAAAACAATATAACTTTTTAAAAAAATAAAACCGACTTCAAATGCGTGAACACAAAAAAAACTAAAAATTAAAAATATTGCGTATAAAAAAGTTCATCCCCAATTTTCCACCCTTGGGGGTGAAATATTTTCTTCAAATTCGCATGAAACCACCCTTTTGATAATACCTATTCAACAAAAAAATAATCGTTCAAATTGATTTATAATCGGCGGAGATATTGCGTATAAAAAAGTTCATCCCCAATTTTCCACCCTTGGGGGTTGTTTTTTCTATTATTAAATTTAAATGGGACCACCCTTGAGGTATTACCTATACGCCGAAAAAAGATTTGTTCAAATCGGTTCATAATTTGGCGGAGTTATCGCGTAACAAACATAGAAAAAAAAAACATACGGGTCGAATTGAGAACCTCCTCCTTTTTTGAAGTCGGTTGAAAATGAGACGTGTCAAATACCGACAGTTTTAATAGTTGACATAATTTTACTTGGCACTGGCTAAATAGCACGGAATGCACCACACAAAGCCATCATCTACCAAAAAAAGTTTGACATTTAGATTGCCTATTCATGAAAAAAGTCGTAAAACAGGTCTTTACCAAAACCATACTCACCAAGAGGGTGCAACAGCAATACGGGTTTTTTGAATCCTCGCTCGACGAGTTGGCGGTGTGTATCTTGCATGAGCAAAGCGTGACCGTTATGGATGGGATTCCTTAGCTGGAATAAAAAAATAAACATTATAACCAGTTCATTTCGTTCTCACTGCAAGAGGTTAGGTTTGATCAGCGGTCAAGTTTAGATCCTGGCTTCACAGGAGGTGCAGTGGCGAGTGAGAAATAGTCCCGTATCTTCAAGACAAAGACTAGGGTTAATGAGAAGAGGAAATGTCAAGCACAAAGTTAAGGGAGACGGATAGGAAAGAAAGAGAAAGTTAAAATGTAATTTTATTTGAAACAAAATACGAGTAGTATCGTTACGCGCCGTGGTAAGGTTACTATGAAAACACGCAAGCACGTTAAAATTTCTCTTAATCAAGTAAGTGGAAGCGAAAGTAGAACGGGGTTTTATTTATAGGGTACCAAAAAAATAGGTATGTTTCCTGGGTAAAAAAGCAAGACTTTTAATTAGTCCGTCAGTTAGCTTATCAAAAACTAATCGACACATATTTTTCACTTTTTAAAACTAATGAAAATGTAAAAAGATAAGCGTGCCAAAGTTCTAAAGAAAAGGCCCGTGACTTCAGTGAGTGCGTAAAAGTGCAGCACTTTGTGACGTCGCGCGGAACTTCAACGCACTATACTTTGTAATTATTTGTTTGATTGACAATTAAAAATATACGTGTCCAATATTTTTTTATATTAAAATTGACGGACTAAAAATTTTAGGAAACTAGCCTATTGCGGAACTTTCGCAATGTGAGATGGCACGGGAATCAGCTCATCAACCGTAACCGTAAAAGGTCTCCGATTTTTGGAAATTCAGACGCTACTCACTTGGAAGGCGAACACAACGTCAGCCCCAAGTTCCTTGAACTTCAACCGCAGCTTCGTCGACGACGACCAGTCGCCTAACTCCTCGATCGTTAGAGTGGCCTGTCTCCATCTTATCATCATCATCATCATTTCAGCCACAGGACGTCCACTGCTGAACATAGGCCAATGATTTCCAGATGGTCGATTAGTAGCGGACTGCATCCAGCGCCTTACTGCTACCTTTATGAGATCCTCTGTTCACCTTGTGGGTGGGTGTCTTACGCTGTGCTTGCCTCCACCCCAGAACCTTGCTGTCTCCATCTGTCCCCTCATAGCTACTCACTTGGAAGGCGAACACAGCGTCAGCGCCAAGTTCCTTGAACTTCAGCCGCAGCTCCGTCGACGACGACCAGTCGCCTAACTCCTCGATCGTTAGAGTGGCCTGTCTCCATCTTATCATCATCATCATTTAGCCACAGGATATCCTGTGTTGAACATAGGCCCCCCAACGATTTCCAGATGGCCGGTTGGTTGGCCTGCATCCAGCGCCTTACTGCTGCCTTTATGAGGTCGTCTGTCCACCTTGAGGCAAACGTCCTACGCTGCGCTTGCCGGTATATGGCCTTCACTCCAGAACCTTGCTGTCTCCATCTGTCCCCTCATAGCTACTCACTTGGAAGGCGAACACGGCGTCAGCGCCAAGTTCCTTGAACTTCTGCCGCAGTTCGTTCGGCGTGAGCCGGTACGAGTCCAGCCCGTCGTTCCAGCATATACAATCAGACTTCCTGAGTGATGCCTACTAGACAGTCGCGTAGATCTTCTACACGGCAAATGCAGCAGTGGGGACAGTTCCTTAACTACAGGACCACGGAGAAATACTCTGGAAATTCAAAGCTACTCACTTGGAAGGCGAACACAGCGTCAGCCCCAAGTTCCTTGAACTTCAGCCGCAGTTCGTTGGGCGTGAGCCGGTACGAGTCCAGCCCGTCGTTCCAGCGGACGCGCTCGAACACTTCCAAGTTGCCGCCTACCAGCCAGTCGCCTGACTCCTCGATCATCAAATGACCTGCCTTCCTCTTCATCATCATTTCAGCCACAGGACGTCCACTGCTGAACATAGGCCAATGATTTCCAGATGGTCGATTAGTAGCGGCCTGCATCCAGCGCCTTACTGCTACCTTTATGAGGTCATCTGTCCACCTTAAGGGTGGGTGTCTTACGCTGCGCTTGCCTCCACTCCAGAAACTTGCTGTCTCCATATGTCCCCTCATAGCTACTCACTTGGAAGGCGAACACAGCGTCAGCCCCAAGTTCCTTGAACTTCTGCCGCAGTTCGTTGGGCGTGAGCCGGTACGAGTCCAGCCCGTCGTTCCAGCGGACGCGCTCGAACACTTCCAAGTTGCCGCCTACCAGCCAGTCGCCGGATTCCTCGATCATCTGAAAGATAAAAAAAGCTGGTAAATGATAAGACACGTGGAGATAGGAAGATCGCCCGGAAGATAAAATCAGAGGTTGTTTTGAGATGATGGAGGGAGACTACATATCAGTCCCTCCCTCCCTATTTTCGCTTGTGGCTGAGTTATCGTGCGAGATTTGACTAGAAAAGAAATTCAAGATACTTTTTTTTTTAATCTAGCTACATTTGCTGCTGCATTATGTACTCCAGATTTTATATGGAACATGTGGATAGAAGTCCAGTGCCCGCAACACGGCTATACAATATAAACCTTACGCATCTTGGCATAAGAGTGTCCAGTGTGGTAGATGCCGAACTGTCTCGAGCATCGTTCCACCTTCCTGTGCGGGTAGAACTCTGACGCCCTCAACACAGCTACGGCTTTCTAACATTTAGCCGTTGCAATATAACCCTTACGCACCTTGATATAAGGGTGCCCTGTGTGGTAGATACCAAACTGCCTCGAGCATCGTTCCACCTTCCTATGCGGGTAGAACTCTGGTGCCCTCAATACCGCCACAGCCTTTCCTCCATGCACGAGAGCGACTGCTGACGCGCCTGTTAAACGCTCCTTGACCTCTGAGGTCACTGGGAGGACCACTGGCACTGATTGGTTGACGAGGGAACCGTCTGGGAGGGTCAGGCAGTTGGAGTGGAGAGCCTGAAAAATACAAGATGTTGTAATGTTTTTTGTAAACAATAAAAATTTGTTTAATATGCAATCGCCGGCTGATGACAAATGGACCGACTCATAAATACGAAGTTTTTAAATTGTGTATGAAATATACCTACTCAACATCAAATAAACCGCACCTTCCGCGACGCGAACTTTAACGATTTTCTTTTGACACAATCATGGTGCCCCAACAATATTGGTGTTATTTGAAAACCCAATAAATTTCCTTAAAGAAAAACACATTTAATTTCTTAATAAATGATTAACATATACCATAAATGTGACTTGAAAAAATACCTCACTTTGGGCCCACCTATGGGATCAATTAGAACAATTTTTATGGTTATACAACCAAATAATGATCTCACGTGTCCTCTTTAACAGATGGACAGCGATTAATCCCAACTTAAAAGTTTTCTAGCCATAAAAGTTGGCTTTAGCGTAACTACCTATTTTTTGAAGAAGTGACTCTGGATCCTTCTAAAGACACATATTTGGGGTAAAAACCTTTCCTTTAATGAAATGAAGGTTAGAACTAGGCTTTTAAATGGTGTCAATATTGGTGGGAAGTGGGGTTACATACGTTTGAAAATGCTTGTCGCGGGAGGTGCGATTTATTTTATGTCGAGTGTATATCTGTCTCATTATTTATTTACCAATCGGTTAGTGGACATTGAAAAATAGAACTTACAGTGGCTTCAACATTTCCATACTATGGCGTAAACTTATAAAATGTATCCTTGCCTTGTGGTGTAAGATGCCTTATGGAATCGTAAAAACGTTTCTTTATTTTCTTAATGAGTATGTAATTATCTGTACTGATACATCAATAATTTAGTCATTTCTTAGACGATTTTAATCTTCAGGTAATGCGTAAATGCAATTGTTAAATTTGAACTCTCAATGTTAATAATTATTGTATTATGTAAACTCATAATAATTATTTATCTTATCCACAGTACAATGCTATAACACTATCCATTGTCACCCAAATACCCATATATCAACGCGGTAATCTCCGTTTGAGTTAGAAAACAATCGAGACTAATCTTATCCGATTATCTTATTTTTACGACTGATGATAACTCACTTGCAAATACTCGTGCTCTCTCATGAAACCTTTGAGTGGGTACGCCCATCCCTCTGATAACACCTGGAAAAGCAAATAAATAGATACAATAAATACGTAATAAGTACAATAAAATAATTCCTAGATAAAGCTATCAGATCATGTTCTCACAAAACCAACTGTTTCGTTGATACCGACAATCTGTCAGGAAAAACAATTGAATAATTTACTATGCAATAAAATAATGCATCGACCTTAAACTGTCATGGTTATCAGATATAATGTGATAAATATTGACAGATGAAAAACAATTTGAATGAAAAACCCACTTTATTTTGACATTGGCATTCTCTTAGATGAAGGCTAAGGGCTCGCGCGCACGGCTGACTTTTGTCGCCGTAACTGTTTCGTCACTCACACCAAATCCATAGAGATGTATGGAGGTGCGCGCACGTAGCGACGTGACAGTAACAGAAATGATGTATGGAGGTGACAAAAAAAGTCACGTCGACTAAAGTCACCCATGCGCGCAATCCCTAATAATGACAGACAGAATTCAAAATCCAAGCACGTGTAAGATAATCTAATTTAGGAACTTTTCATATAAAATTCATCCTAGAGTTGAAGATGAGCGTTCAAGCCGTTATTCTCTATAGTAGGGAATTTAGTGCAAGAACCCCTCCACTTTGGTATAGAAGGCTCATTTTTGCAACAGTGGTTCTTTGGGTGCTCCTGAGTGGATTTCCGTCGGTAGACATCGGGAGCCCCCCCTGTGGTAGCAGGGGGGGGGGGGGGGCAAGTTTCCTTCCGCCGCGCTTCACTTTAAGGCCCATATCTTTAAAACTATGGGTATTAGGGCAAGTGTGGTATCATTTTCGGATAATTAAAGGATGGCGAATTCATTTCTAGAACAAACTTTTTGCCTTTTCATACAAAAAAATTGAAATATTGAGTAAAATTCACAAAAACCAAAAAGTATTTTTTTAAATAAACGTCGTTTACTTTTAAATCGGAAAAAGTAAGTATGTGAGTGACTTTGATTATTTTGAACACTCTGATCAAGATAAGTGAATAGGCTAAAACATCTTTCTTTGATTGTTTTTCGAACGAAGATAATAATTGAAGACATGAATGGAAGAAGGTGATAAATATCGGATTTCAGATTTTTCTCAGTTCGATGATTGGGTAAAAGCTTTATATTTGAGGCTACTTATAAAGGTGTTATTACAAGCTTTTGTACGTTGTCTTTTTAGATGAAGGGAAAGAAACTTACACCTCTTTAAAGGAGCCAAAAAAAAAAAGAATATTTTTGCAAAAGTGTAAGACTATTCAACAGAAGAACTGGAAATTACAGTTCTATCAAAATTGAAACTATCCCGCTACCTACTGTAATCGATTATGACAGTCAAAATGATTTAAGGATCTATTCAGGACTACTCTAGAAAGTTAAAAAATCGTTCATAACCATTGAAGTCAAGGGTTCTTGCTTGAAGACTTTTTTTAATCATGTATGTCGGTATTATAAGTGCCAAGAAGTAGGTAGGTAAAGGGTAAAGGGTAGATATCTACCTAGGTAAAGGGTAGATATCTACCTAATCTATCTTACACGATAACCAGTAGACCAGTAGTGAATATTATAATGACAATAAAAACAACTTAGACTACCTGGTACCTACAAACTTATGTTCTAGTTTGAAAGGTTTTAGCGTGAAATGAGGTAATAGGGGGCTGTAGTAAGTTATAATAAGTATATTTATCTATTAATAATTACTTTAAGTGCATTAAAATCAATAATGAATAAATAAAAATATTTAAAATTTTGCATGTCCATTACTCGCTTGGCCGCGCGTGCCCGCAAAAAGTATTTATGTAGTGATGTTAGGCACCATAGGTACTTACGACTACATAAGGTTTGACCGCTACAGTTTGCAACAGTAGCCAGAAAAAAAATAAAAAAGATTTTTCTCCATACAAATTTTCTTGTCATAATTTTTTTAAGCATGAAAGGCTCGTTTCATCGAAAAATGCATAATGACAAATGTTGATCAGCATTCAAAATGCTATCCAAAACAATTTTTGTTTCGGTGAAATTATGACTTTCGATCGTATGTCCACCTTTTTTTAATATCAAACTACTGTGCGCCGGCGGGGCGCTTCGCTGTAGGTAATGAGGATCAGTACTGTTGTGGAAAATTCAATAAAACTAGTATCTACGTTAATCTTTAAGACATAAGAAAGATATATCTTTTTGAATTATCCAAATCGGACCATTACTTACGAAGATATTAAGTAATAAACATAGGCCGTTTTTGCCGCTAAAAGTCAACGTACGCAAGGCCGCGTGACGTCATTATATCCGAATCGAGCGCAGNATACAAATCATTGCACTAAATTCCCTACTACTATTCATAAACCGGGACTGTGTACTTTACTTTGTATCCGCAACAAAAACCGTAAATTTTTTAATAAATTTCTTCCCTACGATTTGGCCGATTTTATTCAGTTTACCTGAATCAGTTTTTCAACCAATCAGAAAACATATGCATGCGCGCAACATAAATATGACGTACCTATCAATATCTTCCGCAATACAATAAATCATAATCGTTTTATATTGCTCTATCACATCAGTCGATTGATAAAGTATTTTGATACTGATAATAAGCTAATTAAACTCACTCAAAGTCTCAATACATCCAATATTAAACATAAATACATTTACATTCCCCTCTAGGTGGACCGACGATGTGGTGAAGGTCGCGGGAGGTGCCTGGATGCGGGCGGCGCAGGACCGGTGGTTGTGGAAATCTTTGGGGGAGGCCTTTGTCCAGCAGTGGACGTCATTTGGCTGAAACGAACGAAGGAACATTTGGAACATTTTCATACCTGCACCCACTGTAGATCCAAGGTGGTGATCTCGATTTGCGGTAGCCTGGTGGCCTCTTCGATGGCACTGGTCAGCCTGTTCCCATATATGAACAGTTCTTCCACTGTCACTGTGCTGTTCTCAAACCGAGGAATAATGCTCTGAGAAGGAAAATTATAGTCATGTCAGTCATATTCCGTAATTCACATAACAGTTAATTCATAGACAAATTACTATGGCACGAAATCCCTGTAGCCAGAAACTACAGCTTGACCGCCAATACAAAACTCAACCAGTAAATGTCAAGTCTGTCCCAGAGGATATTAAACTACCTTCTGAAGAAAATAGGAGTGCGAAGCAATGATCAACTCCGTCTAGTACAAAATAGTAAGGAACAAATGGCAGACAGTTACTATTAAATTACATCTTGACTTTTGTCACAACAATGCGAGACCGTTCTTTAGAACACAGCTGTGTTAACAGCAAATATAAAAGTAAATACTTGTCTTTAATTAATTAATTAATTATAAAATTAAATTAACCTACATACTTTGACTTTGAGTTGCAAACACTACTACTCGAGATTTTTTGTTGGAATAATAAAAGCGAATAATAAATGCGATTCGCGATATGAATCGAGTACGAAGATTTGTGTATAGTTCGTTTCATCCACGAAGACGCGCCCCACCAATTTTTGGTCGAGGGAAGCTCGGGGTGCGGGGAGTTTGCCGAGCAATCCGAGCGTCATTATTGTAGTGTGCGTGTGCACTCATGAATAATTTAGCGTGTACCGACAACACTCAAACATCAGCGGAAGAATGGTGGGACGTGTCTTCGTGGATGAAACGATCTTTAGCAATGTCAGACGCATGTCAAACGTGACGTAATTTATAGATGACCCACGCTGAACTGTCCCACCAAACTCAATGACAGGGGGGCGCTACCATCGTTCAACTATATGGTTTCCAACATGGCAAAAATCTGAACCAGCGATCCGGTATTGACGGTGGCGCCCCACTGTCAATGTCATCGACAGGACAGTCCAGTATTTTGGAACTATACCTGTGACTCGAGTAATTTGATGACCTCCATGGTGGACTCCTCGATGGAGCGGCCCACCGTCTGGATGATGAGCTCGGGCGCTTCGGGCCTTTCATACTCTTGTGTGATGCCCGTGAAACCCTATAACAAACAATAAAACATTTTTTTATGCATGACAAGGCAGTTATTTGACCGCAATCGCATCTGGTGTTAAGTAAGATGCAGTCTAGGATGGCCTTTAGAGTTCTGGTACACTTGCTATACGTGCCGTGGTGTCTTTTCGCGGAAATGGCCGTGGGCACAAAGGCTTTTCGTGCATGTGTCTTCGTGCATGAGTCTTCACCCAAGTGTCTTTCGCTCAAGTGTCCTGATACGAGCCTTTAGCAGTCGGCCAGTATGATGTGGGCATGGCCTTGTTTTTTTTTTCAGCCTAAAGCTCCAGCTTATGTCATAATTCCATATCTAATATGTATATTGATTTTTCGATAGATGGGACATTAATTTTGGCAGATAAACGTACAAATAGACAGCCTGAAGTGTTTGTGCGTGTGTAAATATCAAAGTATAAAACGTATGTAACTGAGTACCATAAAAAAAACACAATTTTATAAGGAATATGCTTGAGTGTTACAACCTACACAGTAAAAGAAAAATGTGTCCGAGAAAAAAAATCATTTTGCTAGGAAAAAATACATTTTTATTAAAATACTGCGTAGTTAATAAATAAATCAGTGCCTTTTCCTAACAAAATACCATAACTAAACCATGACAAAGAATAAAAATCGCATAATGGGTTTTATGTGACCGTACATTTTTCTAATTAAAGCAATACCTTTGTCGTTTTACCTCATTGAATCTGCGTAAGCGCATATTTTAAGTAGATGTTTAAAAATACATAAATGGATTTTCTTATTACGCAACCTCATTAGTATTAACACAGTTTAACTAATTTATTACAAAGTTAATTAACTCCTAACATTAAGTAGTATTTAAGAACATTAAGCCTAATTTAGAATATTTATTTGTTAATTGAAAATCATTCGTTTAAATAAACGAATGGAGAGTCGGCTGAAGTTAATTCAAAGAATTTATTTATTGTACTTCTGCAAAACCTATACGGAAGAGAAAGGAGAATTTGAATAATACAAACAATGCTGCAGACGAAACTAATCTGATATAATTTCTTGATAGCGATAGCTGTGGAAATCAGCTGTCGCCATCTGCAGTTTGCTTTCAACGTTTATATTATCCAAAAAGTCTTGGATAAGTACAGATAAATATGCTAAGATAATGTTACATAACATACACGGTTCGATCTCGAGCAAAAATTCAGGAATTCCAATATTTAGATCAACCACAGTTAAAGTCAGCGTCAAGTAACACCCAAAGTGGCCAAAAACAACCTTATTCCAATGTAACAAAGACGTGTTGCGACCTTATTGGCTACTTAGGGTGTCGCGAACTATTTGACGCTGCTGTACCTGAATAAGGCAGTACAGGACTAATAGTCGACTAAATCTTTCGGAGAAGCCTTTGTTAAGCAAAGGACATTTCTCAGCTGAGACAATGAGGAGGTATTCTAGTACCGACAGCACATCATACTACCCATTTTTTTGCGAATTGGCTTCTATTACAACTCCATAAAACCCCACAGTTTTGACCCTGACGTGCTATCTACCATTTAATACGGGCCACGGGACTATACCTACCTCTTATTCCCACCACTGCAACTCCTGTGTAGCCAGGATCTACAGCTTGACAGCCAATAAAAACCCAACCAGTGAAGGTCAAGTTGGTCCTGAGGGTAATACGGGGCCAGTGTAATAGAAGGCACTTACTTTAATCTGTCCTTCCCTCGCTTTCTTGTAGAGACCTTTGGTGTCTCTCTGTTCGCAGACCTCTAGTGGTGTGTCGATGAACACTTCGAAGAATGGCAGGTCCGAGTCTGTGTGGATTCGGCGGGCCACCTCGCGGTCCTGAAACGAAACTCAGCATCAAGTACACGTTGACCAAAGATTGTATGTTGTCCTGCAAAAAAAACAACATGTAAAGTACAGAATTCAAGACCGGTTGTTGAGGAAATCCTTGGAGGAGGCCTTTGTCCAGCAATGGACGAACGTACAGGACCCAAAACCCAAAAGTGGTTCTGACAATGAATGGATTGTAGCTAATAATTTATTCTAAGTAGCTTTGCACAGTATGGATTGTTGACAGTAAATTAATGTTACAATGTTTTGAGAAGTTATCTTATACAATGTGATGTGACTTAACATGTACAAGTCCATTTAAGACTACAAAACTTGGGACTAAAACGTCTTGTGGAAACCTAGAGAGTAAAGGTCATAGCAGACTTATCAACTCGGAAAGGGATCAACACTGTATCGCATTTCCCTGTTATAACCTTTCGCGTGCTGTCAACCGCGAAGCGAGGTGTTTATGTTACGGTGCGAATAAGACGTGTGCGTTGCATTAAGGAGTTCATACAAAGAATTTATACGGTTACGATCCCTTTCCGGGTTGATAAATGTGCTACGTCCTTAATAGTTATACCAAGATACATCCAAAATGACTGTATTTTGAAATGACAAAGCTGAAGTAAAATTCAAGAATGCATTAAAATATGTCGTGTGATTAGTTCAAATAGGAAAGTTCAACCGGTAACAGGCTAGAAATTATGCTTGATTTTGAATTTCTTTTATCGTTGTAATTCCCAAATAGAAACATTTAAATAGTTCTCGAAATAGTTAAAATCTATAATATCCTGAAGCCAATTACGTGTCAGGATGTGTGTATTTGCATTTTCTTGATAAACGGAGTAATTATTGTCTAGATACGCAGGTAGGATTACATACGGAAGACATATCATTCAAGAACATACCATCGTTTAAATAAATTACTATTCTGACATACTAGTTCCAGATAGAGTTGCTATTTTAAAAAATGAGCAGTAGAGAAGATAGCAAAGTGTTTGTGTAACGATGAGACAGCATAAGAAATATAATGTGCAGTTGATATAGCATCAGACTTGATGTTTTTGCAAAATAGCACCCATTATAACATCCTACTATCCTACTTCCTACTAATATTATAAATGCGAAAGTTTGTATGGATGTCTGGATGTCAACATGTTTGTTACTCTTTCACGCAAAAACTACTGAACGTATTTTGATGTAACTTTACGGTATTATTGTTTATAAATCAGAATAACATATAGGCTATTATTAATGACGATCTGTGACAAACTAAATTTCACGTGAGTGAAGGCGCGGGCAAAAGCTAGTACACACTATGCCGTGTTTATATTGATGTGCTGTTTGTGTACAAAATACAAATATGAATTTCAATAAATCTACCATAAAAGTTTCTACAGGATTTAAGTCTTCAGCACAATATTTACAATATTTATTCAACGAAATAGTTTCTATATTATTTATATTGTATGTACAATTTAAAGCCTATTGCTATGTGCCATCCATCACCACAGTTTCATTCATTAGGTATAATATACGGCGTTTTAATTTTCGTAACTAATTAATCGATTAGATACGACTATGTAACTATGCACACACAAAGCACTAACAATTATTTTAATGAACTGAATGTTTGTTTTCTGATTATGACTTAGAGCAATTTGCCTACAATTGGACAAACGAAAAACCAAACAGTTTTAATTTTAGTGAGTCAACTTTATTTGAGTTAAGTGAAACTGGAGTGAAGATATATGGACGTTGGTTCTCTTTCACGAAAAAAATACTAAACGGATTTTGATCATACATATTATTGTCTATACACCAAAATACAGGGTGTTTGGCGCATCGTGTGCCAAAATGATTTGGCGGATAGAATGGGTCATTTCCTATATTTTCAGCCCCCATAACACGTTCCATGTCAGGCGGCTACTTTTATATTAAGTTTTTTAGTAATTTCACCAAAATACCCAAATCGCATCATTTAATTTCGATTTAAAAAAAAACTACTAAGCGTAGCCTCAAAGTAAATATTTTGTTTTGACGTGCATTGACATAGGGTTACATCAAATCTAAATTTACTGGCAAATATCATCTAGTTTTTTTTTAATTCAGCTTTGAACTTTTCCGAAAAGTTAAAAATGGACTGAACATTTAAGTTTACATGGCTATAAAAATTTTTTTAAAAGAGATAGCGATCTTCGGATTTTATCAAAACTTCTCTAGTCTATCCCCATTCAAACGGTATACTAATCTTGTTTAAATAATAACAACAACTTCACAAATTCCCTAAATTAGTGCATTGACTCTATTCGGACTGATTTGCGAAATTTGTGTTTATAGCCCCTTTTTGTGTGAATAACACGTTAAATACCTACAGGTAAAAAATATTTATCTTATGCAATGTAAAAAACCTTTTCTCTATCGTTTTTCAATGTAGATTTCTTGAAATTAAAGACGAAAATAATTATTTTGATCGTTTATTAATTATTACAAATTTTGTTCAAAATGTCCGCCTCGGCAACGTATACACTAAGTAACGACATCTTCTTCTAATTTAGACTGGCCCTATACAGTGGCCTGCACGTTCCCCAGACCTAACTCCGTTAGATTTTTACGTCTGGGGACGAGGTAATGAACTGGTGTACGTAACGGAAGTTCAAACATTAGAAGAACTACAACAACGAATAGAAAACGCCTTTATAGTAATAAAAAGAGAAATGAGGCTGCATACGACAACAGACAAAAAATTTTAAAATAGGTAGTTGAAACAAACCACAGTTAATTTTCATAGTGGACTGTACTAGTATGCGATAAACACAGGGTTCGAAAATATCCGATATTTATTATAAATATCAAAATATCGGATATATATGATATATATCGGATATATATCAACTTTGATATATATCAATTTTGTATGAAAGCCATACTATTATTTTATTGTATTATTCATGAATACTATTGCATATAATAAATAATAAATAAATAAATAAATATCCTTGGACATTTTACACTGCGCCTCTAGTCCCAAACTAAGCAAAGCTTGTACTATGGGTACTAGACGACGGGATAAACATACTTAAATACTTTTTTTTTTGTAAATACATACATATTATACATAGAAAATATGTGTTACATAAACATGTTTTTAAAACTTAAAATCAGAGAAATAAAGCAAAAACATAAAATTTCTTTGAAATACGGCAAATTGAACTAAAAAAAAAAAATCTTATGTCAAAAAGTACAAATACAGTAACAAATTTTAAAAGTTGATATATATCATTAAAACCGGCTTGATATATATCTGATATATATCCGATATATATCAAGATATATATCCCTTGATATATATCCTCGAACCCTGGATAAACATGTCAGTCAATTTGACAACCTTTGTCGGAAATATTATTCAATGAAAATATTGTCCGAACCCTTAGTATTTCTCTTCGAAAAATACTTTAACACATTGTGAACCACTTTTCTTTCACGACTATAAAAAGATTTTAGCAATTTAATTCACATAAACAATTGCGCACATTTAAAATAAAGTTTGTTTATACACTTTGACAGCAATAGACTGACATGCAAGGTGACATGTCAATGAAGTTTTCAGTTACTGTTGCCATTAAAAGAAATTAGTACCATTAGTTTTCCGCAACATGGCGAGGGTTTTTATGTTCCTGGTCGGGCTATAACCAAATATTGTTAAAGTGAAGTGTGAAAGAACGATCGGTACCAGACATCGATCTCACTCACTTTACTCACACACAAGTTCGTTCACTAGTCAAAAAATTTACAATAAAATTATCATTAATTTTACATTAAAACCGAATTAATTCTATCATTGCTGCGACCTTTAAGGGTGATGACCGATCAAATTTATCGGTCGTTGTCTTCGCTCGATTGACCTAGTGGTACAATAGATTGTATTTGTTCATAGTCTGTCTTAATTTCAATGTAGGTCCTCGATAAACTGGTCAGACCATTTTACGTGACAGTAAACTAAGATAAACAAATTATTGTAAAACATACTTAATAAACTATCTATTTCCGCAATTTATTATACCGCTCTTGTCAACACAAGGAAAAACTTCCGGACTTTCCTGATTTGACACAAAGTATATTAGTTAACAGCTCCATATTATAAAAGCGATTGACTGACTGAATGACTCACTCACTCATCACGAAATCTCAGAAACTGCAAATGCTAGGAGTCTCAAATTTTGCATGGTTCCTTTTGGAACAAGCACCTAGCTCACTAAGACGGGATTTTGCAAAATTCAACCCCTAAGGGGGAAAAACGGGATCCACGCGTAAAGTCACGGGCGGCCGCCAGTTATTTAATATTAACACTGTTGTGTACTTAAATCTCATTTTCAGAACTGGTAAATCTGTCTCTCATTTTGCAGTATAATAGAGACGCCTTTATCATAGCCTACTTCAAACATTTTGTATGATTATTGCGGGGTTCCAGCTGACTAGCATTTTCTAGGATTAAGTAATTACTAATCCTTTTCTAATAAAGGGCTAAATCAATGCGGCAATGGTCTATTAAGTTGTAATGGTGGGAAAAAGAAGTGGGAATAGCTCTAGATAAATACATTATCTCAGTGCAGTTATCTAACATATTTTAATCAACTCAATAAATATCTGCCGGAAAATGAATTATTACAAATGTATTGGAATTTAGCCCTGACCGTGACTTGAGTGAATGCAATGCAAGTTAAAAACCAGTTGGGCAAGAATTCGACTGCCCGTATTGAAAATGTAACTAAAGTGAAATAAGCATACAATATAGAAATAAACACCACTCCTTTGCGTCAAGTAATAAAATATGTAGAGCAAGATACAAAAGTATCCAGTAAGTACTTATACTGGTTTGAGGAAATCCAATTTTATCGTTACGATGAACTAGACAGTTAAATCTTCAGTTAAAAATGATCATCTTTAATGCAATTGCTGTGAACCATTATGAATGTGTAGTTTCAAAATTGCTAAGCTTCAAATAGATAGAGATTAGAGGCCTATGTCATTTTGGCATAATTGGGTGACTTGACTGCAAATTATTGTGCTTTTATGAATAATTTATAAATAAATAATGCTAAATGAAATGATTTAATTTCAAACATCAAGTAAGTTATTATTATTCTTGTTGGGAAGTCTGATGCAACAAATTGCATAGTGACATAGACACATCAAACAGGATTGTAGGTATATCTATGGCAATGAGGAATAGAAACCCTCAAGACCAAGATATTGGGTCTAATAAAAACAAAACACATATTATTATCTTTAATGCTAACAAGCAGCACAGCGGTACAGTTCCTTTGCGTTTGCAGCATTTCAGAAAAAAACTAGAGCTGTCAAAAATTGCCGGGAAAAACGAATTGACAGGTCGCCAACTTTTACCGCCAAAGGCCTGGCCATATTAAACAAAATAAGAAGAAGAAGAAAAAAAACAAAAATCTGTTTATTACGAAAGTGGACATTAAGCTGCTAATCATAAAAGTTAAATTCCCTTACCTCTGCGAAAGGCGAGACGAAGCTGCAGAGGCAGACGACTCCACTATCTGCGAAAAGCTTGGCCACCTCAGCCACTCGCCTGATATTCTCCTCGCGATCCTCCTTGCTGAAGCCAAGGTTCTTGTTCAAACCGGTTCGGATGTTGTCACCGTCGAGACCGTATGCTGGGATGCCTGGGATAAAACATGTAATGAATATATTTGGACATTTTTAACAGGGCCATCTATTCCTAAACCAGACACAAGCTAGGGTTCGTTATTCGTTCGTTTCATCATCATCATCAGTACCTCTAGTAGGAAAAACTTTCGAGTTCGTTTCGTTGCGTATTCAAAGTGTCATCGAAAAATTTTGTATGAAAAATTAAACAGCGCCCCCTATATTATAGCCGCCCTAGGGGGCGCTGTTTAATTTTTCATACAAAATTTTTCGATGACACTTTGAATACGCAACGAAACGAACTCGAAAGTTTTTCCTACTAGAGGTACAGGTCATTTTTTCTCCACAACTGAACCATGACCCTCTCCAATTAACTAGATGTAAATGGAGGATTTAGCCTACACTCTCCACGCTGTGTTAGCATATTTTTTCCTTAGTCGGGGTGGTCATATATAGAAAACACCCAGACCAATACAAACAGATAATATTCATTGTTCTTTTCAATAGGCTAGTTGCCTAAAAAAATTTTTTTAGTCCGTAATGTTTAATATCAAAAAATATTGGACACGTATATTTTTATTTGTCAATCTAACAAATAATTACATAGTTATGGTGCGTTGAAGTTGCGCACGACGTCACAACGTGCGGCATTTTTAAGCAAGCGTTGACGTCACGGGCCTCTTCTTATGAACTTTGGGGCGCTTTATCTCTTTCAATTTTCATTAGTTTGAAAAAGTGAAAAATACGTGTAGAGTATTTTTTGATAAGTTAACTGACGGACTAATTAAAACTCTTGCTTTTTACCCAGGCAACATCCCCATTGGCAACGGTGGCCTCTTATTGTAACCAATGGCAATAAAAGCTAAAACTAATCTTAACTAAGACTTCATTTTTGTGTTAATTTGACACACACTACACGTGGAACTCTAAAACAATTTTACGGTGACGTCATGTATTTATTTGCATAGGTTTTATTTACAGCTTTTTGAACAAACATCGCTCACAATATGCCCAGTGGATTTACTCCGACACATCGGAACTAGGACAACTGATCTCTTTTATGTCGTAAAAAAGTTTAAATATCCTTAACGTCCATAAAAAATGTCCTTCACACACATGCTGCACTAATTAGCCATTAGCGAGCGATAACCGCGGCTTATTTAACACCAATTTTGTGTTCGGTCGACGGCACCTACCACATTAGCACCAATGTGGTTGTCATAGATGTTATTTTGCAACGATACTGTTTATTCAGATGTGCAGATGTGCTGGCGCATCAATGAGAATGCATGATCATCCATGTTGCTGAAAGTAATATCGTATTCATAAAACGAAGCTCAAAGATCGATTAAAATGAAATCAAAGATTCAAACCTCATTGTAAATTTGAAATATTTCCAAACAATAACATTAAAATATTGATTTTAATAGATTTTGAAACGTAAATCAATATCTAAGATAATTTTCGTCACTATTCAGGTTGCTGGGCTATGACTATGAATAAGCCAACAATAAACACTTCGCTAGCTTAAGAGGCAATAAAAAATAATAATAAAAGCGCTTTAATGCTTTAAATGTTCGTGACAATGATAAAAATACAGACTACTCTACTGCTATCGATTTAATGTCGACAGTGTCAAGATTAGCTTAAACTCAATACTTAATTCGGTATACTCATTTACATACTTCAAAAATCTTATTGTATCATAAAATGTTTATTTATATGTACAATGACCTTCTGAGACAGTGCTTCATAGTTTTTTTTAGGCAGAAACTTTATTTACAAACAATACTTTATAGTTGCCTATACTTTTTTGCTAAGCAAAAAAATATTGACCTTGTCAGAATATAATTAAAATGTTTGAAATATTTCTAACTTGTACATAAGTAAATAAATAGATAAACGCAAGAAAATATGAACAGTCTTACAATTAGATAAATAAATTCCATTCCTAAAGTAAAAAAAAAAACAAAGGTTGTGTTTTGGTAGGCAGCAGATGATTTTCATCAATGAAACAGTTAGCACGGTTGGCACTGGCAAACTGCCTTTAGGCAGCACGGTAATGATTGATTACATTGTAAATATTATGTTACTACACCACGGCGTCTAGTATTACATAGTTCTATTCAGGTCATGTTGGCACGTGGTTGAATATTAACATAACAATTAGACTTTTCGTGATCCATAATTAAATCTTATGAGAATCCAATTAATTTAACATGCTATAAAGGGCCGTGACTTCTTATAACACGCATCGTTTTCGTACAATGGGAAAATTTTGACGATAAAACGGTTTAGCATTTCCATCAAAACCTGGAATTATCTTGTCATCAAATGATAAGATTGATGCAATTGACATATCCATGTTACAGCGGCTACTATACCATAGCAATGAAATACTTAACTTTTATACCGTGGTCTTACTTTATGAACCGTCATAGGCACCGTTTGTTTCAAGTTATTTTGTTTTCGTAAAATTGAGTTAAAGTAAAGGGTCGTCATTGTAACCGTCAGATGACCATAGATGCAATAACCAAATAGATAGTTCTTACCTTTGATTTGTAACCAGGTAGGCTTCTATCTAACGTAATGGCAAAACTCATGTCATGGTGCGACTCATGGTCGCTCTACCTACACATAAAATGCTTTCGCGCCTACATTTAAGCGTCACGGTAACCTAAAGATCATAGATGCAAGGACAATCCTACCTTTGGAAACCAGGTAGGCTTCTAACGCAAAGGCAATGCTGGTCTTGCCAGCACCGCTGAGGCCGGTGAACCATACAGTGCTACCTCAGCTCAGCTTCAGCTCACCTCGGCTCAGCTGCTGTGAGCTGTCCTACTGGTCACCCTTGACTTAGCAGTAGCTTTCGCTCCACCAGAAATCTTCTTTGTATTCACTTTAAGTACCATGATTTTTTTAAAGGTTACTAAACCTTTGTTTGTCACCTGTCATCCGCTTTGCAATGGAGGGAAGTCGAACCTTAAATTCGAACTCCTATGTTCTTCTGATTAATTTTGTTACGGGTCCAATGACAGTTAAATTTCCCCCGAGACAAACTGGACCTCCACTTATTGGCGGTCAAACTGTAGATCCTGGCAGCACATGAGTTGCAGCGGTGGGAATGAGAGGTGGGAATAGTCCCGTATACCAAATTATGTAAATTCTTACCTTTGGAAACCAGGTAGGCTTCTAACGCAAAGGCAATGCTGGTCTTGCCAGCACCGCTGAGGCCGGTGAACCATACAGTGCTGCCTCGGAATGCCCTGCTCCCAAGAGCCCTGCTCCTCGTCGCTCTTGACACTTGGTGCTTCTGTTCCACCACATTCGTCGCCACTTGCGCGCACTGCAACAAAAATGGTGATGTTGAAATAAAATATATCTAAAATTAATAATAATTTTGCGGTAAAGTATAAATAACTAAGTTTCTAGAGCATTCTAGAGCCGTAATAAAACAAGAAAAAAACATATTTATAGAGAATAAAATATTCTGTATTTTAACATAAGTAAGAGATTATGCAAATTTTTCGCACCAAGAAAGATTATGAATGAAACAAAAAGACAAGTAGTCATTCATTGTTTTTTTTTTAAATTAATTCAGACCTTTCGCTTCCTTGTTCGATTTACATATTTCCTATTGTCAATTTGTTGAATACTTAATACCTAATTAATGATTGTTAAATTACTTAAAATATACTCGTATACAGCCATAGTATTAGAAAAAACTTGTATTGTATGGCTTTAGGAAGAAACCTAAAGGTACATGTTAACTTTTTCCATTGAGTGTTTACAACGCAATCGTGTATAATTTTTTACGTTACGTTTGTGTTGTGGTCACGAAACTATAAAACACCCATCAAAACGAGTACAGTCAGTCATTCATAACATTAATAATTTTCCCGATACTTTGTATTTTACATGTTTACATTAAGGTTCAAATTCAATTGAGAAATGTTCAGGTAGGTTGATATGCTGACTATTGTAATAGTTTTATTAACAAGACAAGCAGATAGCACAAACTTTATGCCTTAAATGGTTGGACATAAACTGCAACACTGCAAGTTATTGAAGAAATTAAATTTTATTATGGCAACCGTACAACAGCACTTGTCTGCGCGTGAGTCACGAAATTAGATCGAACATTCTAACAATAAGTTTATTTTTGTAACATAATTGCAGTGGGTCAAACAAATTGAACTTATTAATTTATGCACAAAACAATCGCAAAAACAAAATCAAATCTATAAAAACAATTTAAATTGACCTTGAGAGTGCAGATATAACAGTTACATAAAGCATTTTCCATTATGTTGTCCGAACTTCCTGATTGAACAACAAATAAAAAGAAAAAACATTTGCTTAATATAGCAGATCATAAAGCTCGAAAAACTTCCTCTTCCCTGGTTTTTATTTTATTGTGCCACCAAATAAAATAATTGCAATTGATTTGTGCAGCCAAATTGGCATATTTTGCATTAATTAAAAATTTTATAGAGACAGATCAACTATTGCAAAAAAATCCTAAAAACATAAGGGGAATTATAAAACGAGCGACTAAAAAAAAACTTTGCGACTGATGATGGCATACTGTTTTAATACCTTGAGCGGTATGAATTTGAGTAAGCGAAAAATTTACCAAACTAACGACGAATATTGATCAATAATAAAATCCAGAATGAGCTTACAAAATGTGGGTTTTGATTATTACATTTCAGACATAAAAATACTATCCGGGCGACTAAATTACTAAGTGAGCGACTAGAAATACAGAGAGGGCAACTTTAATATGAAGATACATTAGATTTTTCTAATTGAGGTTTTACTGAACGAACTACAAAAAAGTTAATTCTAAGCAAAGTTTTGTGAGCTGCTTTATTAATGATTATTGGTTACTGATATTATATTTGAGGTCTCATGTTTTTTATTTTGATACGCTTTATTAATGAAAACTACAGATTGTTACAGCGCGCGAATTCTAATGGGGGCGGGGCGACTGTCCCAAATTTTTAACAAAATATGTATGCAAACACGTTTTGGGTCTAGCAATTCGGCTCAAACTAACAACACCGCCACTGGAAGCAAAACTGATACCTATTGGACAAAAAAGAAAACAAGGCCGGCCCGCTAAGTCCAAGCCAGCACTTATCATACAGTGACGATGAGTAGGTAGAGCTCCTCAATCCTCATAGGTACCAATCAATGAACCTTATTAATAAGATTACTTTTTTTTGGGTTGACAGAAGCGACTTATTTTATTTTGTTTTTTTTTTTGTTGATTCGGTTTAAGAAAATACAAATTTATTTCATTTTTCGTAATACATTGTTTCATTTGATTACCTACCCTTAAATTTAAATGATTTATTTTTTTCGCTACTAGAATAGTGTTCCGTCAAAATTTATTTCATAAGATCATTTTTTATTTAAATGTGGGCTCATAATACGCTGCTCATAATAGTATTTTTCAAAGTAGTTTTTGCATTCGAAACACTTCATTAAAGTTAAAAATACCGCTCAGTTTAAAAAAAGCATTTGCCAATTATTGAAAAAAATGCAGGACCTAACGTTGACACTCAATCAAATATTAGGTCGCTCAAATATTATGAAGCTTCTCATTTTGTATTTTAAGGAACTCAATTTTTTTTTTGTAACTTGCTTTTCTTTTGATTTTTCGTCACTCGCACTCAGTCGCTCACTTAGTAATTCTTTAGCCCACATTAATTATTTTTGACACTTACAACATAAATTTACAGTCACTCGTTTAAATACTACCCAATAATGTAAGATATGTATCCTGATTATTATTATTTTTTTATTAAAATGTATGTTATTGAAGATTCCTTCATTTTATTTCGTATTCTGGACCATCGATATTGTTTTAACTATCAAAATCGATCAATCTTCGCCGGTGATTAATCTACCCAAATGATAACACAACTATTGTAGAGAAATGTGTCAAAACGTAAATTATTTTTAGGAAAATCATAATAGGTACAAAGGATTTAATCACAGAGACGGCGACTTAAAGAAGATAAAGTGGCTGATTAGAAAAAGCGGGAGATTGTGTTTTGTTTGTGGCACTTCCAGCAAAATAACTGTCATTAATGCTGTTACGATTGCCTTTGTTCATCTAACTCTACTCTTGGTCCTTATCTGTTAGCCAAATCTAGCAAGAACGAAACCGCAATAAATGGATTTGCATGGCAGTTATCAATATCGCCTGATACGTATCACGTTATACGTTCTCGATATTGTGGACAGAAAAACCTAGCAAACATGTGAATGTTAACAAAATAACTCATCCGAATCGTATAGCACAGGAAATGTAGAGAAAGCAAGCGTCTTACGTAAACATACTGGCTGCATAACGCGCGAGTGAGATAATACTATAACTGCTTACTGCACATTACTGCATTTGACTTAACTTACTCAATAACGAACAGGGCCTAAGTGGTCGCATGATCATGTTGTTTGTTTGTTTTTTTTTGTTCTGCACCTGATTGGTATAAACCAGCTAGTAATTGAAAGTTAGTCCTTTACTTCGTTTATCCTTTAGATATCCTTGGACTTTTTGTATGGTCTCAGCTATGCAAAGCTTGAACAATGCGCAAAAAAACAACAGGTAAACGTTCTTTTTGAGACATTAATACGCCCAGATTAGATAAAATTAAAGGTATATTGAGCGGGGATTGGATTGAACCCGCGACCTCTGTCGAGGATCAGGAAACCTAGTAATTGTAGCTGAGTTCCTCGGTGCGTCAAATCGGTCAAATCAAGAAAATACATCTTGGTAACTCATAATACCTACGAAAGTGCGAAAAAGAGAAAAACAATGTATTTTTAGATTATTATAACTGTATTTTTGAAATTAAGAAAGATTATTTTAATAAAATTTACGTTATGGATGGTCACTTAACTTTTAAGTTTAAGCTCACGCTTACAAAAGCGCGTAAAAAGTGCAACCGCGCGTAAAACACTGAAAAAAACTCTAGGTTTTACTACTCTGACTCTACCTATGATCATTTTACAAATTACAATACCTTTTTAAATTTAATATTCAGGTAAATTGTGTCCAAATATCAAAATACACAATCATGTGAACCATGCGAGTGCTTTCGAACGGAAAGAAAGCTATCATTGAATTAAACAAACAGGTGAAAGTGTCAATTAAGCTCACTTCACACGACAAAATTATAAAACGTAATTGCAAAAACGTTTAATTGTTTAAATCTGTTCTCTGAAACCACATAAACAACGTCAATGTCGGAATGACGCTCTGTGATGGCTCATGCACTAGGTTTTTATGTAATTTCAATAATAAGAAAACAAAATCTCCGTGTTTTCTTTATGAAATTGACTATTTTTAACACCAATCAAAACAGAGTATTCTTAACAGCAACCCGAAAATAAAACAATTTTTAAGCTTTCAAGGATCTCATCTCATCAGATCATTATTCTGATGATTCTCATTAAAAATATCCACGACAGAAAAAAACAATCTATAAAATTATACAGCCAAACAACCCAAAAAAGTACGAGTATAAAAAAACTCACACCTAAGTTTTCCTGTTTAAAACATACATATTGCATTAACATTGATCTTTATTTTCTAACATAGTTTTTAAATCAAATAACACTAGTAAAATGTAGAGGCCTTTCAGGTTACTTTAATCTCCTTTAAAAAATAATTTTAATCCGATTCCGAAAATATTAAATGGTGATTTTTTTTAATTAGATTTTTAATACAAAAAAAAACTGAAAAAGGAAACACTAGATTTTCACAAAAAAAATGATATTAAACTCGTTCCACTAAAGGGAAAGGAGCTGCCGACAGAGACTAGATGTAAATATTATTGTTTGTTGTTTTTACAATTGATTTTTTTGCTTCTAACAAAATTAAAATAAGTATGAAATAGACAAAAGTATTTAATTGATAGACATTTACACATTTAATAGATTTGTTTAATTAGTAACAATAATACATAATTGCAAAGTTGATATACACCAACTTTCATTTATCTGTTACAACTGATTACTGAATACTGACATAACGCGCGCAAAAAAGGTGAAATAATAAAATAATACTGACCGCTCTAACGTTCCCGTTTCCATGCCCATTCCCCCACTGGGCTATTTTGTATTTCTCAAAAGTCTCCGAGACCTTTTTGTTTCTTGTTTCGAGACTCATGTTGATACTAGTTAAACTTTCGCTCGGAGCAGGAATGCGCGCGGCAACGAAATCCAAAACACGGCAGCGCGGGCGCAGAACCAACGCACACTGGCGCACTTCACCACCGCTGCCTATTATAAATTGCCAGTAAATAATTGTAAAGGCATTATTTCAATTGGACATAATACCTAACCTTGTACACCAACTGATATGGAAGCCGATCTCAAAAATCAAATAAATGAACACCTAAATTGTTGTTTGACAAGTTGGGATTTTTATTTTTTAAATTACTTTCAATTAAAATGCCAAGGAATGGTGTTTTTTATTAAACAAATGATTAACTTTTGTGAAGCTTTATACAAAATGTAAATGTAATTCTTGATTTAAACTACTTTTTGTGCCTTTTATTAATTTTCAAGCAGGTTTTAGTGCAATCTGGATCTGGTAGAGTTAGTAAATAAATAAATAATGCTGACAGGAAAAAGAAACAATAAAATAGACCAAAAAAATAGTTTACAAAGATTGACAAAAGAATATTAAACATGAATAATAATAAGTTTATGTGACAATAAATAACAAAAAAATTGTTTACAAAGATTGACAAAAGAATATTAAACATGAATATTATAAGTTTATGTGACAATAAATAACTTAATATGTTAATACCATACCATAGAAGAAAGTATTTTTGTAATAATCTTTTTTGAAAATTGTAATTTGTCATGTGTTTAAAATAAACAAAATACGCAAAGGAATGTATTTTTTTAAGTTTCCTATAAGATTCTTATTAATTAGCATGTGAAAATGCAAACAATTAATTTATTAATTTGTATGTACTTGAAAGTCGTTAGTTAAAACCAAGTCATCAACTCAAAATTCATTTACTAATCACACACAACTGAATAGATAAGAAAAGGACCTAGAATAAAATCTCCCAACGATACACTCATTTATAATCATGACTCATGAGTGCATAGATTGTTATTGTCCCTAATGGCCTAATATAAATAATATTAAATAGCACAAGTTACAGGATGAAAAGATTTTGATGTCCATTGACCATTATGTTCTTTAGATCAAGGAATTTCATGAGAACATTCAAGAAAAAGGAGTCTTTGACTTATGCCCATTTTCACCATCAATCCCTAATTTTAAGTGACCCCTATGGTAACAATTAACAGGAATTTTGCTGCCATAGGGATCCCTTAAAAATTAGGGATTGATGGTGAAAACGGGCATTAATCTCATAATAGTATAGGGGTGTTTACAATTTTTGGACCTTAAAAGAAGACAATGAGATTTAAATATTATTCTGATAGGAGTAGTAAGTATTATTTATTTATCTATAGATACTTATAATAAATCAGTAGAGAGGTCAATTCATGAAATATATTTTCAAAATAACTATCAGGGAGTGATCGATACTGATGCCAAAAATGCAATTAGTAAAATGTTTGTCTGTCTGTATGTTCCTTATAGAAACAAAAACTACTCGACTGATTTTAACGAAACTTGGTACAATTATTCTTCACACTCCCGGGCAGGTTATAGTATACTTAGGAGCAGAGTAGTGAAGCTTCCGTCGCGTGTGCAGCATTAATGGTTAAAGTTACATAGAAATCATTTATGACGGAAATATATTCTACATAAAATTGTCTAAAAAATATCCCGCAACAGCATATTATGTGTATCTAAATATATAAAAGGAGAAACTGACTGACTGACTGACTGACATATCAACGCACAGCCTAAACGGCTAAACGTGGACACTTGAAATTTGGAAGGGACGTAGCTTAGGTACCGTAGAGGTGCACTAAGAAAGGAATTCCCGAAATTCCCACGGGAACGGGAATTAGCGGGAAATTCCTTTTGTATGAAAAATCTAAACCGCACGGTTGAAATTTGGCATGCAGGTATCTTAGTAAACTTAAAGCTTAGTTAAAACAGGATATTGCAAAATTCCCACGGGAACGGGAGATAGCGGGAAAAACAATTTGTATGAAAAAATCTAAACCGCGTAAGATAGATGAAGGGGGTAAAACGGGACCCACGCGTACGAAGTCGCGGGCGGCCGTTAGTCTATACTAATATTATAAAGCTGAATAGTTTGTTTGTTTGTAACGCGCTAATCTCAGAAACTACTGATCCGATTTGAAAAATTATTTCAGTGTTAGAAAGCCCATTTATCGAGGAAGGCTATAGGCTATAAGGCGGTCATCACACTGCGCCGCGCTCCGCCGCGGAACGCGGGGCGACAGATTTTATCATTGTATGCAAGTACCTCAGTTTGTATAGAAAACACGCGCGGCACAGTCACTTCACACTGACAACGCGTCCGCGCGCGCGGAGCGCGGCGCAGTGTGATAACCGCCTAAGGTAAGTACATATGAGTGTGTTAATAATTTCAATTTTAAGTGCATAATATTGTAAACATTTTACCTACTTTTTACATTCATAACTGGCAATAAATGAAGGTCTATTAAATTATTTTAGTGTCCTTTGATCACCTAAAACTAATCACACCTAGGTGATCAAAGCACACTAAAATAATAATTTAACTGGAGTCCACTTTGATAACTTGTTTTTTTTTTCTGAGACTAATCATGAATATTTTAGGAAAGGTATTTAGATTATGTATCTGTTCAGGAAATGTACGAAATCCGTCATTGTATACAATTCCTAGGAATTGTATTTAATTCCTAAAATCACCCGGAAATGTTTGATGTAAATCATATTAGACACATTTCCTAGGAAATTTATAAATACATTTCTTAAACAGCAATCGGAAATGTGTGATATATTTCATATTTCAATGAATATGCGAGGACATAAAACTCTTTTTTCATAAATTAACAAAAAGTGTGAAGATATTATAATTTATAAACCGTAGGATTGTTAATTGAAAGTCTCAATGAGAGCCTTAACAAAATCTCTGATCCTTGAATTAGTAAGAAGCAAAGATATTATATGCTGTATGATTGTTACGTAATTGTCTCAATGAGACCCTTAATAAAGACTGATTCTTAATTTCAAAACAATGTGTTTTATTTTATTTTATTTACACATAGCGTTCATTTTATACATTTCCTAATAAGATATTGGTATTCAATAAAATTCCTAGGAAATGTATACATTTCCTTGGATATGTGCGTATTAAATAATCTCTGAATCAATATTTTATACATTTCCTAAATAGCTTCGGAATTGTATACATTTCTTTCCTGTAACATATCTACAAATTGAGGAAAGGTTGAAGAGGGAAGGAGAAGGGAGGCAGGGTACCTCACACCCCTGCCCCCTGCCATAACGGCTTAGTTTAGACAGTTAACAAAGTAAAAATATAACAGTTAAAATATAGGATGTGTTCTTATTTCATCCGTCAGCCATCTATTTAAAGTGAACTCACAATGTCATTATCATCTGAGTCTCCGCCGACTATTAGAGATTTTTATCGGCCGATAGTTTGGTCGGTTTCTAATCAGTAAGGAATCGGCCCGTACCAAATCAGAGTAATATAGTAAGTACGTTTTTTCTTCCATGTACTGATTACCAGCCCGTCAGCCCGATAAAACAGTCGGCCGACGAAGTCTGTAGTCTGCAAGGAGTCCTTGCCAAGGACTTAAAAACATTTCACTAATAAAATTTAGTGACTACGGTCATTTATATTTATCAATGAAACTATCCAATTTATAACCTTTATGGGACTTAAAAACATAAGACTAATTAAAACAAGCTGTGTGAACAAATAATTATGATTAAATGAGCAAATAGCAATAAAACTTACAGTTTTCAGCTTCTTTTTAGGTCCTGAAGGTCCGTCCATTTCCAACTGTGCGATAGTTTATTTTATTATATGTAAATTAATGTTGTTTTCTTTTGAGTTTTTTTATCACGAGTACATTTATAAAAATCTAGTATTTCTTCGTAAAAATAAATTGAGAGAAGAAGAGGAAAACGCCAACCAAACTATTCACAGACGTTGACGTTTGTGACACTTTGACAAATTTTGACATTTTACTGACTGAGACTGTCCCATGAAATAGAGTTTCTAAACCAGCAAATAGCACCATCTATATATCCTAATAATAACTAATTACACAAATTTTATTATTTTAGTCTAGCTAATAACACATTATATCCCTGGAGTTAAGAGAAAAAAAAAGCTTGTAAAAAGAGTTTTGTTTTGAATTATTTACATTCAAAATATCATCGATATACGTACTACGCATAAAAGTTCGCGATTGTGGCATTAAATAACTCTCGCTATATTGAAATTAACAGTACTGCATCGTACACGTTACTTTAGTGCGATTTAGACTTTCTCTCTAGATCTAGCGCTGTTTTAATAGTTTGGTTAGTTGACAGAAATTCATTATTTCCAAAATGAAACAAGAAGTTATTTTTAGATCATGATTCTGCTAATTATATTCTATACATATTTTATACAGGGTGTTAGGTAAATGGGTATATGAGCCGACACTAGCCCATGTTAACATGGTCATATAAATGGTATGGTGAAGTCAGAAAATTTTTATCTTAATTTTAATTTTCATACAAATCGGATTTTATAAAAAATATTTTGTATGGAAATCTAAATTATTAAAATGATGATATCAAATTTCTGACTTCACCATACCATTTATATGACCATGTTAACATGGGCTAGTGTCGGCTCATATACTAGCAGTTCCACGTAGCTAAGGNTACTGATATTTATTTTTTTAAGGGAAGGGAAAAAGTTTATATGACAGTGATAGGACATTTAACTCTCCGTACATTCCGGGAGCTCGTTTAGGATTGTGTTTGATTTGTAACATACATTTTCTACTTGTTTATATTATTATATTATTCTTGTTTTACACCGTGAGTGACCTCGCAAAATGTATTGAAAGGATTAGATGTAAATTTATAATCATAGTCAAAAAATAAAAGTGATTTTATTTGCCTTTATAAATAAATATGCAGGTAATGTTTTCCTTTTTATTTGCCACTTTTTATTTATTTATGATTTTTCTTTGCCTTTTACAGATGAAGAATAATAACAAACCTCCTCTCAAGTCCTCTCAGCTTAGAAGATTTTGCCAAACAGGCCCTGCGCCGCTCAAGTAGAACTAGGCCTGGTAAGTTTACTCATTTAAAACTAATGCTAGAACTTCATTGTACATACAGACAGGAGAATACCATATTCAACTATTTATTATTTTTCAGCAAACAAAAACAGGGTCTTCATGGACCCTCCAAGGGAGACCCAGGAGCCTGCGAGCCCGGAGACAGAGTTCTTCGGATATCTCGGGCTCAGAAGACGCGTCGAAGGATAGTCCGAAAAATGACAGCAGTTCACAGCCTGACCGGCCAACCGGCTACAAAAAACTATGCGCTTGAAGTTCGAGGGTAAATACATTTTTTTATACTTTCATCAAAGTACAATTTGCGACTCAAGCGTGTGGTGACGCAATCATTTAAACCTACGTCCATTTCCAAAAACATCTAAAAAAGTGAAAAAGAAACAATCAATAGAAAAGGTACAATTTGAGAACTTCATTACAGACCGGAGAATACTATTAATCTATTTATTATTCTTCATCAAACAAAAACAGGGTCTTCGTGGATCCTCGGAAGGAGACTCAGGAAGATAGGATATTTCTTTATGATTTTTTTTTGCCTTTTAGAGATGAAGAATAATAATAAACCTTTTAACTTGGAGGATTTTGCCAAGCAGGCCCTCCGCCGCTCGATGAGCCCTATGGCTGGTACGTTTACTCATTTAAAACAAATGCTGAACCTTCGATGTATACAGACAGGAAAATACAATATTTAACTATTTGTTTGTTATTTTTCAGCAAACAAAAACAGAGACCCAGGAGCCCGCGAGCCCGGAGACAGAGTTCTTCGGGTATTTGGTGTAGTGGTTCGAATCGGACTACTATTCCGGAGGTTGCGGGTTCGATTCCCGCACAGTACAAACATTTGTGTGCATGAACATATTTGTTTGTATTGGACTGGGTGTTTTCTATGTATAATATGTATGTATTTACAAAAAAAAGTATATAAGTATGTTTATATCCGTTGTCTAGTACCCACAGTACAAGCTTTGCTTAGTTTGGGACTAGAAGCGCAGTGTAAAATGTCCAAGGATATTTATTTATTTATCTCGCCGAGATAAGACGCGCCGACGAAGATCAGAAAAATTACATTTGATTCATCTGAAGATGGCCAGGCCAGCCAACCGGCTACAAAAATCTATGCGCCTACGAAGTTCGAGGGTAATTTTTTTTAATACTTTTATCATAGTACAATTTACAACTCAAGCGTGTGGTAGCGCAACCATCTAAACCTACATCAATTCCAAAAACACCTATAAAGTAAAAAAGAAACTATCAGAAGAAAAGGTACAATTTGAGAACTTCATTACAGACCGGAGAATACTAAGTATTAAACTATTTATTATTCTTCATCAAACAAAAACAGGGTCTTCATGGATCCTAGGAAGGAGACTCAGGAAGATAGGATATTTCTTTATGATTTTTCTTTACTTTTTACAGATGAAGAACAACAATAAACACTTGAGTTTAGAGCAGTTTGCCAAACAGGCCCTTCGACGCTCGAGGAGCACTAGGGCTGGTACGTTTACACATTTAAAACAAATGCTGAAACTTCGTTGTGTACAGACAGGAGAATACCATATTAACTATTTATTATTTTTCAGCAAACAAAACAGGGTCTTCATAGACCCTCCACGGGAGACCCAGGAGCCCGCGAGCCCGGAGACAGAGTTCTTCGGGTATCTCGCAGAGATAAGACGCGCCGACGAAGATCAGAAAAATTACATTCATCTGAGGATGGCCAGGCCAGCCAACCGGCTACAAAAATCTATGCAGCTACGAAGTTCGAGGGTAATATTTTTTTAATACTTTTATCATAGTACAATTTACAACTCAAGCGTGTGGTAGCGCAACCATCTAAACCTACATCAATTCCAAAAACACCTATAAAGTAAAAAAGAAACTATCAGGAGAAAAGGTACAATTTGAGAACTTCATTACAGACCGGAGAATACTAAGTATTAAACTATTTATTATTCTTCATCAAACAAAAACAGGGTCTTCATGGATCATAGGAAGGAGACTCAGGAAGATAGGATATTTCTTTATGATATTTCTTTACTTTTTACAGATGAAGAACAACAATAAACACTTGAGTTTAGAGCAGTTTGCCAAACAGGCCCTGCGACGCTCGAGGAGCACTAGGGCTGGTACGTTTACACATTTAAAACAAATGCTGATACTTCGTTGTGTACAGACAGGAGAATACCATATTAACTATTTATTATTTTTCAGCAAACAAAAACAGGGTCTTCATAGACCCTCCACGGGAGACCCAGGAGCCCGCGAGCCCGGAGACAGAGTTCTTCGGGTATCTCGCAGAGATAAGACGCGCCGACGAAGATCAGAAAAATTACATTCATCTGAAGATGGCCAGGCCAGCCAACCGGCTACAAAAATCTATGCGCCTACGAAGTTCGAGGGTAATTTTTTTTTATACTTTTATCATAGTACAATTTACAACTCAAGCGTGTGGTAGCGCAACCATCTAAACCTACATCAATTCCAAAAACACCTAAAAAAGTAAAAAAGAAACAATCAGAAGAAAAGGTACAATTTGAGAACTTCATTACAGACCGGAGAATACTATTAAACTATTTACTATTCTTCATCAAACAAAAACAGGGTCTTCGTGGATCCTCGGAAGGAGACTCAGAAAGATAGGATATTTATTGTTCAAGGCTGGTGATAAATGTGACCCCTCTAATTTTCGACCGATTTCTATTCTACCAGTACTTAGCAAAATTTTTGAGAAAATTATATTCCACCAACTTCTGTCTCACTTTATTTTAAACAAATTATTACACAATAAGTAATTTGGTTTTACGAAAGGTAGAAACACTACTGACGCTGGGGTAGCACTACTGAAACACGTCTTTAATGCTTGGGAGAGTAAAAAGGCCGCTGTTGGTATTTTCGTTTGATTGTGTAGACCAAACCTTACTAAACAAATTGCGACATTATGGTGTTTCGAATAAGTCACTTGATCTGTTGAACTCGTACCTCACAGATAGAAAACAAAAAGTTTGTATTGACGGAACTGAGTCTTCTGGAACACCTCTCACTATGGGTATGCCGCAGGGATCAATATTAGGACCTTTGCTATTTCTTATTTATATGTATTAATGACCTACCTTACTTTGTAAAAGATCTGTGTGTTGTGTTATTTGCTGATTACACATCTCTCATTTTCAAAGTTGATAGAGGGAAACTAAATTTAGACGATATTAAGGACACACTCTCACAAGTTCTACATTGATTCACTGTTAACAACTTATTGTTAAATGCAAACAAAACTAAGTGCATTAAATTTACCTTACCTAATGTGAGGCAGGTAACCACGCAATTAATGGTGAAAAATTAACCATTAAATAGCATAAATTCCACAACATTCTTGGGAATCACTTTAGATGCTAAACTTCAGTGGGGTCCTCATATTGAAACTTTGTCAAAAAGGCTCAGTTCGGTTGCTTTTGCAGTGAGAAAGATAAGGCAATTAAGTGACATTGAAACGGCAAGGCTAGTGTATTATTACTATTTTCACAGAATAATGTCATACGGCATTTGTTGTGGAGCTCAGCCGCAGACATTGTGTTTGACTCAGAAACTGTGTTTGTTCTGCAGAAGAGAGCAGTGCGGGCCATTTATAACCTTGGACCCCGATTTTCCTTGAAAGATTTTTTTAAGGAAATTAACATACTGACAGTAGCTTACAGTTCATTTATGAAAACCTTTTATACGTTCGCAAAAATATAGAGCAATTCACGAAAAAGAGCGATTTGCATAATTTTAATACAAGAAATAAAAATAAACTTGCCGTTCCAAATTTCAGACTGCATAAAATTGGTAATTCGTTCATGGTTAAATGTAATTATTTAATAAATTACCACAAACTGTTGTAGAACTACCCATTCATAAATTCAAAGCACATATTAAAAGTACCTTAATGAAAAAGGGCTACTATAAAGTCGATGATTATTTAAAAGATAAAAATGTTTGGGATGCGTAACTGCCTAGCTCGCATAAATATTCGCATAAATATTTATAACTGTGTACTTTAAAAACCTGTTAACCTTTGAAAAAGAGGCTGACAATAGTGTCTGAGTTTCTTGCGCTGCTTCTTCTCGGCACTGGCCCATTTATTGTCCTGAAGCAGTGGTAGGGTTATACTGGGACGTGTAAAAGTGCTTTTTTTAAGCCTACTTACAAAAATAAATGAGTTTTATGAGTTTTTAATTAAAAACTGATAGCAGTGAAGATGGCCTGACAGGCCAACTAGCTTCAAAAGACTACGACGCGCCTTCGAAGTTCGAGAGAAAATATTTTTTTAAATACTGCACACCTCTTAGAGAGATATCGAACTTGCACTGTTACTTTTATTTACTGTTACATTATTTTTAGTCGGTGTCTTTTCCGAGGGATGCGCAATTAGCAAGGGCGTCTGCGGAAGACCATGCTATGCTATCAGAATAAGTGTGCTGACGAGGGAAAATTAATGATGGAATGCCGGAAAAACTAATTTTCCGGCTTCCAAGTTAAGTGCCTTATGAAATTATATTGGTAGTAATTATATAAGTAGAGTAGCCCCGACGAAGACCCTAGAAAATCCGGCTTTCAAGTTAAGTAATACTTAACTTATGAAATTATTTTGGTTTAATAAAACCAGAAACAGAAGACCTCCTAACTATGTATAAATTTACAACCAACAAAAACATGTTTTTGCGTCGCACCTAGTAACAAAAAGTCACAAGAGCTTCTGAGGCCGGAGACAGAATTCTTCGGGTATCTTCGGCTCAGGCCGAGTAGCGCCGACGAAGACACTAAAAATTACAGCAGTGACGTTGGCCTGACAGGCAACCAGCTACAAAAGCTACAATGCCACCACAGATTACGACGCGCCTTCGAAGTTCGAGGGAAAATATTTTTTTAAATACTTTCATGAAGCCTGAATAATAATATATTCCTAGGATATCGTACTGTTTAACCATGTTCAACAACACAACCCTGCGCTGCGCACCCCTTAGAGAGATATCAAAATTGCACTGTTACTTTTATTTACTGTTACATTATTTTTAGTCAGCGTCTTCTCCGAGGGATGCGCAATAAGCAAGGGCGTTCGCGTAAGACCATGCTTTGCTATCAGGAATAAGTGTGCTGACGAGGGAGAATTAATGAGGGAATGCCGGAAAAACGAATTTTCCGGCTTCCAAGTTAAGTAACTTGTGAAATGTTGGTTTAATAAAACCAGAAACAGAAGACCAAACTATGTATACATTTACAACCAACAAAAACAGGGTCTTTGCGGCGCACCTAGTAACAAGAAGTCACAAGAGCCTCTGAGGCCAGAGACAGAATTCTTCAGGTATCTTGGGCTCAGGCCGAGTAGCGCCGACTAAGACCCTAAAAATTACAGCAGTGAAGTTGGCCTGACAGGCAACCAGCTACAAAAGCTACAATGCCACCACAGATTACAACGCGCCTTCGAAGTTCGAGGGAAAATATTTTTTTAAATACTTTCATGAAGCCTGAATAATAATATATTCCTAGGATATCGTACTGTTTAACCATGTTCAACAACACAACCCTGCGCTGCGCACCCCTTAGAGCTACAAAAGCTACAATGCCACCTCGGATTACGACGCGCCTTCGAAGTTCGAAGGTAAATATTTTTTTAATACTTTCAATATTCTTCGGATTCTCAGGCTCAATCCAAAATAAGCCTACAAAGGAAAGTTGGCGAACTTGATTTTGAAATTATTTTGGTTTAATTTAACCGCCTCTGTGGTCTAGTGGTAAGACCACCTGCTTCAGACGCAGAGGTCCCGGGTTCGATTCCCAGTGGGGGCAGATTTTTCTGTTCGGTTTGGTTGGTGGTAGGGCTTGTTCTAAGTCCGCCTGGCTAGCTACCACCATCTTACCTAAGTCTGTCGCCATAACAACAATGTTAACAGCATTATTGTGTTCCGGCAGTTAGAGGTAAGATTACGACGCGCCTTCGAAGTTCGAGGGTAAATATTTTTTAATATTTTCAATATTCTTCGGTTCTCAGGCTCAATCCAAAATAAGCCTACAAAGGAAAGTTGGCGAGCCTGATAAATTTGAAATTATTTTGGCTTAATAAAAATATAGAGCAATTCACGAAAAAGAGCGATTTGCATAACTTTAATACAAGAAACAAAAATAAACTTGCCGTTCCAAATTTCAGATTGCATAAGATTGGTAATTCATTTATGGGAAAATGTATTAAATTCTTTAATAAATTACCACAAACTGTTGTAGAACTACCCATTCATAAATTCAAAGCACATATTAAAAGTACCTTAATGAAAAAGGGCTACTATAAAGTCGATGATTATTTAAAAGATAAAAATGTTTGGGATACGTCACTGCCTAGCTCGCATAAATATTTATAACTTTGTACATTTTAAAGCATGTAAACCTTTGAAAAAGAGGCTGACAATAGTGACTGAGTTTCTTGCGCTGCTTCTTCTCAGCACTGGCCCATTTATTGTCCTGAAGCAGTGGTAGGGTTAATACTGGGACGTGTAAAAGTGCTTTTTTTAAGCCTATTTACAGAAATAAATGAGTTTTAATGAGTTTTAATGAGTTTTAAAACCAGAAACAGAAGACCTCCTAACTATGTATAAATTTACAACCAACAAAAACATGTTTTTGCGTCGCACCTAGTAACAAAAAGTCACAAGAGCCTCTGAGGCCGGAGACAGAATTCTTCGGGTATCTTGGGCTCAGACCGAGTAGGGCCGACGAAGACACTAAAAATTACAGCAGTGACGTTGGCCTGACAGGCAACCAGCTACAAAAGCTACAATGCCACCACAGATTACGACGCACCTTCGAAGTTCGAGGGAAAATATTTTTTTAAATACTTTCATGAAGCCTGAATAATAAATAGTATATTCTACGGATATCGTACTGTTTAACCTTGTTCAACAACACAACCCTGCGCTGCGCACCCCTTAGAGATATATCGATCTTGCACTGTTACTTTTATTTACTGTTACATTATTTTAAGTCGGCGTCTTCTTCGAGGGATGCGCAATAAGCAAGGGCGTCCGCGGAAGACCATGCTATGCTATCAGGAATAAGTGTGCTGACGAGGGAAAATTAATGAGGGAATGCCGGAAAAACTAATTTTCCGGCTTCCAAGTTAAGTAACTTATGAAATTTTGGTTTAATAAAACCAGAAACAGAAGACCAAACTTTGTATAAATTTACAACCAACAAAAACAGGGTCTTTGCGGCGCACCTAGTAACAAGAAGTCACAGGAGCCTCTGAGGCCAGAGACAGAATTCTTCGGGTATCTTGGGCTCAGGCCGAGTAGCGCCGACTAAGACCCTAAAAATTACAGCAGTGAAGTTGGCCTGACAGGCAACCAGCTACAAAAGCTACAATGCCACCACGGATTACGACGCGCCTTCGAAGTTCGAAGGTAAATATTTTTTAATACATACCTACTTTCAATATTCTTCGGATTCTCAGGCTCAATCCAGAATAAGGCTAGAATGGAAAGTTGGCGAGCTTGACAAAGCGACGAGTCAACACCAAAGTACATACATATATGAAGGAAGGCAAAACTAGGGATAACATTCCCGTGTCTGAAATTAGAATAGTTTTTATTACATTCATTTAATGATTATTTTTCCAGAACTACCATCACGACAAAGTGTGCTGATGAGGGAAAGCCGAAAAAACTTATTTTTTGGCTTCTAAGTTAGGTGAATTATTAGGTAATTTAGATCCCATTTTATCAAAACCATAAACTGATGACCTGAAATGTTCTAACATTGTAGAGTAAGTAGTTAGCGATTTTAGCAAATCAAGTGTCTATATTCTCACATCGGATGCCATTTGCTTTTCACTTCACTTGGTTCTTCCCGACACTAATAACGAACGACAAAATGATGAACTAACCAAAATAATCTAAATAATTGTTTTCTTTTTGCAGATTATAAATGGCCCGTGGCGTGGCCGTCTCAGCGCAACATCTGAAGTTTTTCACTGTCGGCAGTTTTCAAAATTTGAAATTTTCGAAACTTGGCTAAGCCAGGCATTTAATATTACTTTACAACTACAATAAATGTAAACTACACTAAGTAAATAATAATATTTACAGACAATTGAAATTTTATTTTAAAATTGCTTTAAGAAGGTGCGCCCTGCTGGAATCTACAGTCAAGAGGTTGTAAAGTTGGGAAAAGTAAGAAAACAATGATTTCTGTAATGCCACAATATTAAACTTTATGTGAATACAATAAAGCCTCAAAGTAAAATAACCACTAAGATGAAGCGGTCTACACGACAACACTAGGATTTTATTATAAAAAGCAAAGCACTATTGTCAAAACCTTTATTTTGATCCAATACAAAATATAGACTTTCCCTGCACTATACTTTTAAATAGTCTTCTGTTTACGCTATTTTAAACACTGTCTTGTTTCTTTCATTTGTTTAGTTTATTATCCCAAAATAAATTATTATTAGAATGAACTTCACAAAAATTATAGATATCCTTTGTTTTTTTTTTGTGTTAGCTAGTTTGTATTAATAAATGAAAATTTTCTAATTCCTAAAACTGGAAACATGGCCAAGCCAGGCATTTATAATATTATCAACTACATACTTACTACCTACAAAAATGTAGACTACATTAGGTAAATGTTTACATTTCATTCAAAATAGCTTTTGCACGGGCCACACCCGCCGCGCGCCGGCTTCAAGTTGCAAAGTCGAAAAATGCAAGAAAATAACAATTTATGTAGGTACGAAAAATCAATTCAACATTATACGACTAGGTAAAACAAAGCAGACAGGCAATCAACAAGATGAAATTACCACATCATATCCTTTTGGTTGTTTTGTGGTTTATTTTTTGTGTTTTATTAAAAGACACAAGTCAACGACAGCCAAGTTCTGAAGTAATTTAGTTCCAACAGACAGGGCCGCCGCAAGCGGGCGTGCAAGTCGTGCACCGCACGCGGGCGGCACGCCCAGGGGGGCGGCAAATCGGGCGCTCAGAGCTTCCGAGAAGAGAAGCTCAGGGCGCTCAGAACAGTTGGGATCACACAGCTGTTCCCGTCTGACGGAGGAGATGGTGTGTGCAATGCCCCACACTATCAGCCGCTGACCATCATCGTGGAGGGGAATCAGGAAGCGATCATATTGTCCCCTCTCTGACCCCTCCGCCGCCGACGGAGTGAGGGCGCGTTTGGTTCGTCCTCGTGCTTTCGATCCGAGGACTCATTTTGCAACATGACGTTTTCGCAGAAGGAGGCTATGGCCGCCCAGGCCTCATTACTGTCCAGCATTGCTTTGACTATGCTAGCCAGCACGAGGTCCCGGCCCAGCGCCTCGAGCCGCGAGCCCACGCCGCACACACTGCGAGGGTATCGTGCGCCTCGTCCTCCGAGCCACGCGGCGGACCACCTCTCTTCTCGAGCGGGCTTCTCGACTTCTGTCGAGGATGTCAACCCCCATATGGGAGCCCCGTAAAGCGCAATGCTTTTCAAAATGCTGGCGTAAAGGAGCCGCCATTTGGCTCTCGAACCCCCTACGATAAAGCATCCGCGGCCGCTATGACAGTATGGCAAAATGAGGGTCAAACTGACACCGGCTATCCACTATCAGGCCCAGACAATTGCTCTGAACCTTAACTTCTATCCTGACTCCATCCACGGTAAAATAATATGGGCGTTAGGAAAAACACTCCAGTCTCCAGATGCGCTTGGCAATTTAAGTGCTGGCAGTGGCCGCCAAATTGGCCGCGTCCATACAATCCCTCCCTCAGGCTGTGACGAGTGTCACCTGCATAGCTGATAACATCTACGCCCGGGAGGAGGCCGCCGCTTTGTACCCAGTCATATCCGATGTTGAGTTAGCTGGACGGCCTTCCTTGCGCAGCAGGCATAGTTATCCGGCCTAGGCAGGCAAAGAGGGGCCCCCTCCACAGCTGAGTTGACACTGCGGGAATCTATCACGGATGGTAGAGCGAAAAAGGCAAACTGGTTCGGGAAGAGCGCTCGCTAAACCTTGTCTAGCAGAGCCTGCTCTTTAGTCAGTGGAGGACCAATAGGCTGTAGTTGGTTTCTAGCATAAAATCTCCCACAGTTAGTATCGTCGTCCAAACTTGCGAGCATTTCTGCCCTCGCTCGGTCTTTGGCGGCTCCGATTTCATAAAGGCAAGCCATATGACGGGTCTCGTGAACGTCTACGCCAGCTACGAGTGAACGCAGCTCAGCTAGTTCAGCCGACCACCAGTAGATAGCACGACAAGGTGTGCGGTAGCGTGATCGAGGCATGTTAACATCACACACCTCAATTAACGATTTTCTTAATTGGATGGCCGCCATATCACCGTCCGTGACTATCGCATACGAATGCAGCCTCCTTGGCCATCTCCCGATCAAAGCGGGTAAGCGCCCATCTGGGTAAGGGAGAGGAAATTGAGCGGGTCGCTCCCGCACCCTTCATTGCTCCAGTGCGGTTAGAGCGGGAGTAGCACACGAAACGTCCACCACTAACCCTCCCTGCTATCGCACACTCGTGTGCACCGTCCCTCTACCCAAGAGGGATGGGGAGGCTACAATGATTTTTGTGCAAATGAAAATTTTCTCCCTTGTATAATTTTTTATCTACGCGACGTACAGAATAAATAAAAATACTTAAACAATTGAAATTTTATCGTCTTTATACTTCTCAAAGACATTTTTCTCATATAGTCAACTATTGAAGCGTTAAATGTAAAAAATAATTAATGTTCGGCCCTTTAACTCAAGATGACCAACGCTCTGACCTCTCGAGTTCGAAAACATACTTTTTTCATAACTAGCCCATACATAAAAATATACTTAATACAAATTAAAATATTTTACTTTCCACCTTTTGCAGGAAAAAAATACCTATTAATTGGACTATTAAGTTTAAGAAAATATGTCATAGCATGAAAAATGAGAAAACATCAATTAAATTAGCCTTTTTTTTGACAAAACTCAGTAAGTAGGTAGTCGTAGGGCGGCATAATCGGTTTTGCACGCGGGCGACGAAACAGCTAGCGGCGGGCCTGCCAACAGATCACTCCATAACAAGCCAAGAACCAAACTTTGTTTAAATTTATGAGTAAGATAAGTTTTGCAGTTTACACAAAATATTATAAAATAGAAACAACTGCGAAAAGAAATTCCATCCAGAGTATTCCTGGAAGTACTATAAATAAATAGAAGGAAAGCACCATACGACAAAAATTGACTTTCCCAAGACATTTCTAATGAAAATGCGGATATCTGAACTAGAAACATGGCCCAGCCAGGCATTTACAATATTAGTACTTCTAACCACAGAATAATGATAATAACTGCAATATGTAGACACAAGTCAACAAGACACATGTACCTACATATTTAAGTATTTATAAACATTTGAAATTTTATTTTGAAATTTCTATAGATCCTTTTGTTTCGGTCTTCCTTGGCTTTCTAGCACCGCCAAACGAATTTTTTCTGCTTAGACCGAAGGTAAATTGGCAGAGAATGCCTTTATGGCATTAAGTTCGCCTTATGTACCAATTTATATGGCATAAAAGCTTAAATAAATAAAATAAACGAACCTTATCTTTCAAAGATCACCAAAATTAAAAACAACTTTTGCACGGGCCGCACCCGGCTTGAAACTACCTCCATGTTGCAAAGATGAAAAATGCAAGAAAACAACTATTTCTGTAACTGAAAATGCCCAAATTCAACATTATTATGACCACAACAGTGCTGTTAATCAACCACCAAGATGAAATTACCACATTTTTAACCGCCTCTGTGGTCTAGTGGTAAGACCACCTGCTTCAGACGCAGAGGTCCCGGGTTCGATTCCCAGTGGGGGCAGATTTTTCTGTTCGGTTTGGTTGGTGGTAGGGCTTGTTCTAAGTCCGCCTGGCTAGCTACCACCATCTTACCTAAGTCTGTCGCCATAACAACAATGTTAACAGCATTGTTGTGTTCCGGCAGTTAGAGGTAAGATAGCCAGTTCCTCCGTGGTTGAGGATTCCGGGTGAAGCTCGCTTCCATTTTATTTTCAAAATCGATATTTTATTGTCTATGATGGCCGCAGGAACATCACTATACATGGACTCCCAGCAATAAAGTACGGTAATGCCTCGTACAGATTTTATCGGCAAAAATTATGGAACTTGATAGGTTTTAGACCATGCCACGCACCAAAACGTCCGGAAGTTGTAATAGTATTATAGAATAAACGTTAAAAGACTTATTTATTTAATTTTTCAATGCTTAAGTGTCCATTAGAATGAAAGGGTGCTTAATGTATTAAAAAAAATAGAAAATAATTATGATGGGTTAATGTTTTTGGGCGGTTTTTTAGGCGGTTTCTGACAATGTCCTTTCCTTTCTTTTGATTTGACTGATAAAATATTTGTACGTCAGCTTGCAGGCTGAATACATGGGAATAATTTGTTTTACAAAACAGATAATGTAATTATTCATTCTAGCAAATAAGTTATTGAATTTGAATTTGAGTGCTGCTGCTGCTGAGTTACACCTGTATTCTAGGTAAGAATAATCAAACCGATTATGCCTATATTCTATCTTTGCTATAAGGAAATTCCATATATATATATATTTTTTTTCAGATAATTGATGGGCTCAGGTACCTACCGACTGACAGCTTTTTAAATTCTATGGGTAGGTATCTCAGGCCCAGTTTGAGAATCAAAAATTGAGAGGACAATATCATCGATGACGTGTTAAGAAATCCAGGTACTAATAGGTATGTAATTACTTATTTACTTACAGCACCATTTTCAAAAATATTAAATTAGCGGCCGCCCGCGACTTCGTACGCGTGGATCCCGTTTTACCCCCTTAGGGGTGGAGTTTCGTAAAATCCTTTTTTAGCGGATGCCTACGTCATAACATCTACGCATGCCAAATTTCAGCCCAATCCGTCAAGTGGTTTGGGCTGTGCCACAGCTGTGCGTTGATAGATCACTGTCAGTCAGTCGGTCTGTCAATCACCTTTGAGTTTTGTATATTTAGATAGAAGTAAGGTGATCGAGTCCCTCTTATTATATGAATAACTTAATAGTGACTACTGTATTCCATCCAAGTAGATTACAACAATTAGGTGGTGGATTTTATTCTTGAAGGACAAAATAAACTTACAATGATGACTGTAAAGATCAATTAATTAAACGTGCATAATGTAGGTAAGATTTCAAATCGAGTTGGTAAAAATTCGCAATCGCGTAAAAATTTAAAACCACATTCGTGTGATTTTTAAAGGGATTGCGACAGTTTTGTAGGTACTATGACTGTTTAATGAATATTTTCAGATTGTTCCCGGATTTCCCGAAGCATTCCCGGCCTTCCCTCATCTGCCGCTAAGATGGTCTCCGATATTATACAGACAGTGGCGGAGCAACAGGCCTATAAGTTATATAGTGAGGTTTGTAGACGCTTTAGTAATAAAATTTCACATTATAATATCAAATACTAGCTTTTGCCCGCGTGAAACTTACAAACTTCCAACCCCCGTTTTAACCCATGTTTGTGCCACTTTGTCTTTCCCACAATTTGAATCAAATCGATCATTAGATTTGGAACGCTTAAATAACGCCGCAGTTCGAAATTTGAATTGCGCGCCAACGCGCGGTCAATGACGTGCAGTCCCTACCATACTACACTTTTTCTCTTTCGTTGAGAACTCAAACCGTGTGTTTCGTGCTGCATAAAAACTGAAATATAGTGTAAATTACGCAAAAATATGGTGATTTCTGGCTGTGATCGCATTCTCTAAGGTCCAGCAGGCTATTGGAATGCAGTGGCGGCGTAGCATGGCTTGGCCCCCGGGGGGATTTCCCCCCCCCCCCCATGCTCGGGACTATGGCACCCCAGAAGATGAAAGATGTACGAATCAGCTATTATGCTCGTTGTTGTCTCGTCCTCGATGATGAAAGATAACTAGTGTAGTCCCGGCTTACATCCTCTGGCATCATCTTCGGACGAGACAACAACTTCGCATAATTACAGTCGAACTTCACGTACAGGTAAGTTCGTTTGACGATTAATAATGATACAAATCGTAACCCCCCCCGTATCATGATCTTTGTCATGCAGATGCACCAGTGAGTACCAATCTGCGCGACATTTGTCACCCCCTGATGCTTGGCACCCGGGGCGGACCGCCCCCACCGCCCCCCCCTTACGCCGCTACTGTTGGAATGTTAAGAAAAGGTTGTTGTTATGTATTTTTTGATTCGGTAGTGTTCAGGACGCGAAGTGGCCACTATATTCCTCACTTGCCCATTTTCAGCAATTTTTTCTCTCCAAATAATGCTATACAACATCTTATTCAACCAGCTATTTTGTGTGGATTAGTGGCATACGATTTAGCCCCCACACCCCTTTAGGGGTAGAGTTTCATAAAAACCGTTCTTAGCGGATGTCTACACCCTATAAAGCACCTACCTGCCACAAGTTTGTAGTTGTTATAGTTTCTGAGGTTTCGTGATTAACCAGTGAGTGGTATTTAGAGTTTATAAATATAGATAGATAAATAACTTAAAACATTTCCCATGCTTGAAATTAAAACAATTTTTATTAATTAATATGATTATATTTTTTACAGAACTGGCCGTCACGAACTTGTACTGACGAGGGCAAATTAATGAGGGAAAACCAGAGGAACAGATTTTTCTGTTTCTAATTTGGGTAAGTTATTGATTTATTTCAATATATCTATCTAGCTTTTGCCTGCGGCTTCACCCGCGTGAAATTTAGTGTCCTGTATCGGCATAAATTATAGCCTATAATGTTAATCTGGGTTACAAACAATAATAATGTAAAGTTTCAACAAAATCCGTTCAGTAGTTTTTCCGTGAAAGAGTAACAAACATCCAGACATCCAATCTTTCGCATTATTAATATTATAAGTAGGATTTATTTCCTATGTTATTAAACCACTAGCTGCCCGGGCGAGTTTCGAACCGCATTTATGTTACCTACTTACTTACACTCTAATATTGTGTGGCTGGCATACATTTAGTATGGAAGCTGAAAACATTGAATTTTCGGATAGATCTAGTTTATTTTGCTGTTTAGTGAAGTCTTGCCACGTATTTAATTAGGTAAGTACGTGTGGATGTGGGCGATGGAGCGGGCTATGCTCGGAGTTTCCCTGCGTGATCGAATCAGAAATGAGGAGATCCGTAGGAGAACCAAAGTAACCGACATAGCTCGCAGAATTGCTAAAATCAAGTGGCAGTGGGCGGGGCACATAGCTCGTAGAGACGATGGCCGTTGGGGCAGGAAAGTTCTCGAGTGGCGACCACGGGCTGGAAGACGTAGCGTGGGCAGGCCTCCTACTAGGTGGACCGACGATCTGGTAAAGGTCGCGGGAAGAGCCTGGATGCGGGCAGCGCAGGACCGTTCATTGTGGAAAACCTTGGGGGAGGCCTTTGTCCAGCAGTGGACGTCATTTGGCTGANAAATGGCTTATAATGACGGTTTTTATCTAAAGTCCAAAAAGTTACAAAAAAGCCATATTAAGGCCTTTCAAAAAACTGATTTCTTTTCTGGGCTATTCACTCTAATGACGAATACATAAATAGTAAATATATTTTAATGTCGAAATATTGCCAAATAAAATAGGCGATTTTTTTTTCACTGATGGTCTGATGACATACAGGGTGACTTTGAAATCGTTGGCATCCTTTTAATAAAAGACTACTCATGATACATGGTGCTCTTAAAAAGAGTTTGAAACTATTGTACATCAACAGCACATCATCCTATACATTTTGTTGCAAAATAACACTTAATACATTGAAATATGCGTGTCGTGACTCGTTATGCTTTGGCTCGAAGTTTTTTGTTGTGTACCGTCACATTATTTTTATTTTTGTTCGAATGTTGATAGTTTGATTTTGTTTGTAATTAGTTGTACACTCATTATGTCTAAATAATTTAAATTGAAATGTTTCTCAGGAAGTGAATTATTGTTAATTCTTATGAGAAATAAAGTTCTTAAACCGTAAATAAGATGCCACAATATGAAGATTTATGTGCTGTCGTCTGTACAATATTTCAAATATTGAAATTTTAATTCATTTGATATGACTCATATTTGGGGAATCATGATGGGAGTGGGATGTCCTGTGATGACAGTGTAGTGTTGTTGTCGTTGTAAATAAATAAAAAAAAATGAGTAGTCTTATTGTAAAAAGAATGCCAACGATTTCAAAGTCACCCTGTATAATGCAGTTCATTCAGATTACGCAGCAAGTAAACTAATTGAATTTTCGCTATTCAGTCACATACTCACGATGCATATGGCAACCGAAATCGCCCGAATTGCAAAATCTGACATTCTATTCGAACAAATTCGATTTTAGAAAAGTGTGACTTGTCTAGTCTACTAGACCTACTGATCGCGTCGTTCGAAGCACATGTGCAGCGCTAAACTCGTTACGACATGCAACATGACAATGGGACAACTATCCGGCCGCCGGATATCCGGCTATCCGGCCTAGCAGCTCGCCGGATATCCGGTATCCGGTATCCGGCCAAACAACTATCCGTTTCATCTCTAGTTTTTTGTACCTACACCCTGGGACCGATGGCGAAATGGTTATTGTTCGGCCGGGCGGGGCGGGGGCTGCAATAGTTGCATTTATGGTGTAATAAAAATTTTACCTGAGAGACCCAAGCTTATTGTTCCTGCCACGAGGGTTGCTCTACCACAGGCAGGCACCAGGACAGTCAGTGCTTCCCCAGCCACAGACTGTTCGGGACGCGTTAACCATTTCTGCCATGTCTAAAGTCAACGTTAAATCTAACACGTGGATGTTAGTAGAGAAGAAAGATAGTACTCGGGCCTTAGTCCATTCTCGCGAACAAGCGCGTAGTATCGTAGGAGTCAACTGCGGATCGTCCGTCATCATCAAGGATGGCGATGGGCTGGTTCGTGCTATCCTGGTCGCCCGTTCAAGTAAGTAGACTTTTTTAAATAAATAAATAAATGGTTATCATCGCTGTCAGTTCCAAAGGATGTATGTTATACGAGTAGGTTTTTAGGAGACATAAAAAACTATATATTTTTTAAACATACGTCACATTGGCATACGTCCTTTTGAACTGACAGCAACGCTATGCTTTTATATGCACGGGGCGGTGTGCATCCGGTTTGAAAAAAAAACCAGCTAAATCAACGTTATCAAATTCAAAATGTCTTAATACTATGTAGATATGACCTAATACTTGACAATACATTCTCATTTTGTAAAATTATCCATGAAAATCTAATCATGTGGTCTTTTCTTTGAGTTCATGTAAGAATAATTAATAATAAAGGCGCGTTATAGAATTAATCCTATTTTTAATGAAATTTATTAGACAACGGTTGCATCGGTTTAAATTAATCGGTTTATTTTATTAAACGAACAATCAAGATTGCAAAAATTTGCCTTAGACTAGTGAAAATTTGCATTTGAGCTGTAGAATGTGTCATACACATTCTACAGCTCAAATGCAACAACTGAGGGAGTTTTTTTTTGAGAATTTGATATTGGTACACATAGATTCACATAATGCCATTTTACTATATTTCCATACGATTGGTCGTATGCGTTTTTTGACTCAAGGTTTTTCACGCGCGTAGATGGGCGCACACCCGCCTCTGGAAAATTACCCTAGATACGACAATGGGTTTTTAAGTTTCAGTTCCGTTAAATCTTTTCTGTCATTATAAATAATCAACTAGCGACAAGGCAGTTCATATTTTTCTTGAGTTCATAGCAATCGGCTACGGATTTACGATGTTTTCCAACCGGGGTAAAAATATTATTGTGCCCGCGCCCCCCTTTTAAGGTTTGAGAAAGGTACCTAAAGAGGTCGACGCGCTCATGTTCGAGCTTGATGTTCGAGTCTGTTGCTTCGTAAGATGTGTTTGTTTGATAAACCAACGGGGCGTTTCAAATCAAATTAATTGTTTTTCGAAAATTTTTTTTACAAAGCGTTTTCTTTCCGTTTGACGCCCCTCTCATACATCCCTGCTTGTTACAAATTTGATATTTCCATGTACAGATGCCGCATTCCTGTAGAGGAGCCGAAAGAAAGGGACGATCCTTTAGAGGACATTGCGGAGAATATCACGGAGGGGTTCGACTTCGAACCAAGCTCGTCGGATTGGGAGCCCAGCGACGTGGACGATGTATCAGACTCCGATTATGAGGTTTGGGTAAGCTATTTTGAAATGAAATTATTTTTATTGCAAAAAATATGTCTCATAATATTCTACAATTAGGCACCAACATTTTTTACAGTACAGTATCATAATCAACATTTTAACCCTTTAATAGTCATACCATAATCAAAGTTACTGAAAGCTAGGAACTGTTCCGTTTTACATGCATGTGAATAGCCGCTTTTAACGTAAATTCATAAAAGTTTCTTTTTTTGCTAACCAGGACGAGAGGAAAAGGCGCAAGCTTAATACACCGAAGCGCCAAGGGGCTAAGAAACCTGAGCCCGTGCCGAAGAACGTACTCAACCCATCCAACAAGGATAATATAAAAGCTGCTGTTGGTTGCCGCACGAGCAGGAAGCAACCTGCGCCTAGGAGACTGGTTGTGTCGCCCGACGGCAAGGTACAGGCTGTAGTGGCTATGCCAAAGAAAACTAATCTGAATAACAAAGCGCAGCCAGTTACGCCGAATATAATCAATCAAGAACCACCTGCCACACCCGAAAATGCAGTTAATCAATTACCCAAAGAATTACTACTAGTGAAAAAAAAACTGTAGGTTTTCTTTGCCACCCGGTGACCAACTACATAAAAGTTCAAAATACGTTTGCAAAAAAATCCCACGTAGTGATAGGTCTAAGGAACAACTGCGTAAAAAACCACGAAAGTTGGTACAGAACGAAAGTAACCAAATGAACATAGATGACCGCGAAAGTAGTCAAGTTCAACAGGACGACACCGTAAATGTAACAATGAATTTAAAGATATTCAAGAACTTGTGTCGATCAATCTGTAGTGTCGAAAAAGTCTTCGGCCGATCGATGAAGGTTTTGCCAAAGCCTCTTAGAAAGAAGTTCGGCAAAACGGGTATGAAAAAAGTTTTTACGGTGGCGAAGAACCTACGACGCATGAAACAAATCAAAAAGACAAACAACAAACCAAGAACACGACATAAGGACAAGATAAGACTATACAAGCTAAAACAAATGATACAAATGGTGACGCCCAAAACTGTAATGAGGAAAATGCAAATGAAAACGTCGAAAATGAAAACATGGAAGTGTTTGACCGCTCCGACGATAATATTCTAATAAGCAACCAGTTTGAAAACATAGACGCGCCCACGCACAGCCCGATAGACGATTCATTGGTAATTCATTTTTTTAATTTACTAGCTTATGAAACCGAATCAGTACTTTTCCGAATTCGGAAATTTTCCGTGAAAAAAGATTAAGAACCCATTTAAGATTAACTTTCATAAAATCAAAACTTTGGTTATTATTTCTATAATATTAATGAATTAATTAATTTGCAGGTGCCGATTGGAAGTGGGAAAACTCTTTTCTGCCCATGGATAAATTCCGTAAAATTAAGTGGCAGTCCTACACTGTAGCTACTCGTGACCTTTTGCTGGCGGGTTTTTTCGCGCAAGTATGAATCGTTATCTTTTGTTTATTACGTGTTACAGTTACAATACCATTTTTTTCATCTATAGGGTGTTAGGTAAATGGATATCTATCTAAATATATAAAAGGAGAAACTGACTGACTGACTGACAGATCAGCGCACAGCCTAAACGGCTAAACGGGCTAAACGTAGGCACTTGAAATTTGGAAGGGACGTAGCTTAGGTACCGTAGAGGTGCACTAAGAAATGAATTCCCGAAATTCCCACGGGAACGGGAATTAACGGGAAAATCCTTTTGTATGAAAAATCTAAACCGCTTAAGTTAGACGCTTGAAATTTGGTATACAGGTACCTTAGTAAACTTAAAGCTTAGGTACAACAGGATATTGCAAAATTCCCACGGGAACGGGAGTTAGCGGGAAAAAACATATGTATGAAAAAATCTAAACCGCTTAAGAAAGATGAAGGAGGTAAAACGGGATCCACGCGTACGAAGTCGCGGGCGGCCGCTAGTATATGTATATGAGCCGACACTAGCCCATGTTAACATGGTCATATAAATAGTATGATGAAGAGTCAGAAATTTGATATCAACATTTTATTTTTTTTAATTTTCATACAAAATAAATTTTATAAGATCCGATTTGTATGAAAATTAAAATAATTTAAATGAAGATATCAATTTTCTGACTTGACTTGACTGGGCTAGTGTCCGCTCATATACCCATTTACCTAACAACCTGTATACACGCCATTGTAGTGTTTGCTCTGAAAAATTACTGACTGAAACTTTTCATAATTTCCACAATCAATGCGTTGTCGTATAAAATGAGAGCCACAACGAAAATTTTGCTATGTTCTTTAATTTCTAGAACGTACTTTGAGATTTTTTTCGATAACAAGCATTATTGGAGTTCGAACATGGGACCCAAATTTTTGTTTAATATTTTTTAAATGTAATAAGTATCGAGATATCTAAAAGTAATATAATTTTACAGAGTATTGGCGACTCATTCGTTGACTGGGGAAAAATCGCCTGCATTCTTACACAAGCCTGCAAAGATGCTTTTGGACCCAAAGAAAGTGTCGGATATCGTCAAAGAGGTGGACCGATTTGACGTCAAAGAAAATATGGTCAGGTTGGTACAATTTCTTTTATCATCTACCTATACAAATATTATTATTATAAAGCTGAAGACTTGGTTTGGTTGAATGCGCTAATCTCAGGAACTATAATTGGACAGAGCATCAATGAAAAATGTTGCGAAGACGGGAAAAAATATTCATTCAAGAATATTTCTTGTATAACTTTTACTTACTAAAATTATAATTTTTACTTTTATTTCAGGGGTGTGATACTACCAAATCTGCCGACGAAGCTAAGATGTTGAAGATGCGTATTATGAAGAAACAACTTACGGAGGAGAAACAAGCGGCTCAAGCCTCAAGGGAATAGCGCCTCTACTTACTCAAGTATTTGTAAGTAACCAACCAGATTATAAGCAAAATGTTTATTTAGGACCATAAAAAGAAAAAGGGATTGGACTTTATATCACAGCTACATTTAGTTGCAATTTTGTAAGGTTTAGAACTACATCTAAACTTAACTACATCAACATACTACTACATACTTACCACCAAGTGTAAGGGAATTATCCCCTACAGGCATTTTTGCGTTATTATTAACTATTGCGGGTTCCCGGGCAATGGTTTTTTTAGACTGGTCCCCAGGGCGGTCGCTCCCTAGATCCGTGCCTGGTAGGAAGAATCAAAAGAAAGGGACGATCTTTTGGAAGACCTATTCCGTGGAAGAGCCACGCTTCGGCATGAATGGGCCGGCTCGACCGGAGTGATACCACGGCCTCACAGAAAACCGGCGTGAAGCAGCGCTTGCGCTGTGTTTCGCCGAGTGAGTGAAGATACCGGAGGCCCAATCGGGGGGGAATGGGATTTAAAAGGTTGCGGGTGTATTTCAGGTTCTCGGGCAATAGTTATAATTTATTAGTGTCATAATACTTATACTTTTGTTGAAAAATAAAATAAAGCTTGACTCCTGTGACATATTCCGCAAGCAAGGATTATCTGTTTTTTTTCGGACGGTTGATATTCCCAGTATACGCAATAGAAAAAGTTGAAAAAGAACAAATCGACCAAATTCGGCGTTAGAGATATGTGGTGAAATGAGTCGTTTAAGTGATATTGAGATTGAGTCTGAAAATCCAAGCAAATTAAATGTTAATTTTAACGATGTCAATGGAAGAAGCATGTCACATTGTCACCATTGCCTGCACAAATTATAAGGCAAAGATTGTGACAGTATTTCAAATTACTATTCCCCAACAGCATCCGTTTCCCAAGGCCAAAAAAGTGATATCTTTGGCAAAATAATGATGGCCTCATTACTTGATCGTTCAATACATATTTGCCATGTAGGCTGTAGCCCCATAGGAAGAAATTCAAATAATTAAAGCGGCCAAGGGAAGAGGTTTGAAAGTAACATGTGAAGTATGTCCCCATCATTTGTTCTTAAGTACAGATGACATAGAACGAATTGGAAAAGGTCGAGCTGAAGTACGACCCGTTTTATGCAGCTCTGATCATCAAGCGGGACTCTGGAAAAGCAAAAAAAGGAGGCACTGAAATACTACATAAACAATGACGTCATAATTAACCTGTCGGAGTGGGTCATTGAATGGCATTTCAATGCTCCTTCCTGGCCCACGGCTGGTGGTCTCAGGCTCGACTGGAATGATACCACGGCTTCACGCAGTATATAATTTTACAGTGTCAACGAAAAAAGCCTGCATTCTAACAAAAGGCTGCTTTTGGTCCCAAAGAGAGTGTCGGATATTATTACGAAAGTGGTAGACAGATTCGAAGTCAAGGACAATCTGGTCAGGTTGGTACAATAAAAAAAAAGAAATAAAAAAATATATCAAATAAAATATCAAATAAAGTTAAAAAAAAAAGAAAAGAAACCATGAAAATTCTAACCGACCGATTGGTATTAAATATCAAGTCTCAAATTTTGAGGCTCCCATCGCAATTTCACCAGTCTATCTTGTTTACGCAACTTACAAGTTATAGGAAGGCGACAAGTTGTAGAGAACCTTTATGCCTCCTTGTACATAGTAAAAACGTTTCTTGAATCCTTGGGCCTGAAAAGTAAACTCTGACGCGATCACAAATTATGGAAAATATGCTTCGCTAACAGCATCCGTTTCCCATCGCCAAAAAAGTGAAATCTTTGGTAAAAGTATATTAACAGTAGATTCTTCCAGCAAAGATACTTTGAACGACTTATTTAATCGGGCTCAATTTATGAAGATACTAGCTTTTGTCCGCGGCTTCACCCGCGTGAAATTTAGTTTGTCATAGACCGTCATAAATTATAGCCTATATGTTATTCTGGGTTATAAACAATAATACTGAAAAGTTTAATCAAAATCTGTTCAGTAGTTTTTGCGTGAAAGAGTAACAAACATCCAGACATCCATACAAACTTTCGCATTTATAATATTAGTAGGAAGTGTAGGCAAAGGAAGATTCTTAGATGATATTCTAAGAGAAAAAGTAATGGTTTCGATATTCTACGAAGTCAGTACACGTACAAGCTGTAGTTTTACAGCTGCTATGCAGAGATTGGGTGGATCTGTTATACATACTGATGCTACTAGTTCATCGGCTAAAAAAAGTGAAACTTTAGAAGACAGTGTAGCTGTGATGGCAAGTTATTCAGATGCAGTAGTTTTGCGTCATCCTGAACCTGGCGCCGTTGCACGGGCGTCGAGACATTGCAGAAAACCAATCATCAATGCCGGAGATGGCGTAGGGGAACATCCCACTCAAGCTTGATAAATGTATTTAAAACTAGCTTTTGCCCGCAGTTTCACCCGCGTGAAATTAAGTTTGTCACAGGTCGTTATAAATTATAGCCTATATGTTATTCTGGGTTATAAACAATCATATTGTAAAGTTTCATCAAAATCCGTTCAGTAGTTTTTCCGTGAAAGAGTAGCAAACATCCAGACATCCAAACTTTCGCATTTATAATATTAGTAGGATCAAAGAAATTGCCCGTATAATAGCTGATATATTAGATGTTACTGGACATTTTAATATGTAAGCTAAGGATAATGATTTGAAAGTCATTGAATGTAACGTCAGAGTATCTAGATCTTTTCCATTTGTATCAAAAATTCTCGACCATGATTTTGTTGCTATGGCCACAAAAATAATACTGGGCATACCTGTAGAACCAGTAAATGTAATGACTGGTTGTGGCAAAGTAGGGGTTAAAGTTCCCCAGTTTTCCTTCTCGAGATTAGCAGGCGCTGATGTAACACTAGGCGTGGAAATGGCATCAACAGGAGAAGTGGCATGTTTCGGAGAAAACCGTTACGAAGCTTACTTAAAATCATTGATGATCACTGGTTTTAGAATTCCCAAAAAGCAATTTTACTGTCTGTGGGCACGTTTGAGCATAAAATGGAATTACTACCGAGTGTCCAAGTACTTTAAAGAATGGGATATAAACTGTATGCAAGTATGGGCACCGGTGATTTTTACACCGAACATGGTATTGAGGTTGAAAGTGTACAGTGGACTTTTGATCATATCGGTGACGTAGACTATGCTAGAGCAGACGGAGAACTGATGCATCTAGCTGATTTCATGGCTCGTCGTCAACTGGATCTGGTTATCAATTTGCCTATGCGTGGAGGGGCATGGCGTATGTCTTCATTCAGTATCCATGGTTATCGCACCCGGCGTTTTGCCGTTGATTATGCTGTGCCTCTAGTAACTGATGTAAAGTGCGCAAAGCTCCTAGTGCAGGCAATGGCGCAATGTGGAGGTGCTCCACCAATGCGGCGGAGACCCGCTGCCAGCCCGGCAGACTCACCGGACTGGTCATAGCGACGGCTAAGGGTGTCTCGGCCGCAGCGGGGGGAATGAGACACAACGACGGACGGTTGATATTCCCAGTATACGTAATAGAAAAAGTTGAAAAAGAACAAAGTCAAATAAATACGGTGTTAGAGATATGTGGTGAAATAAATCGTTTAAGTGATATTGAGATTGAGCCTGAAAATCCAAGAAAATTAAATGTTCATTTTAACGATGTCAATGGCAGAAACATTACACTACCATTACTCTTAGTGCAGGCAATGGCGCAATGTGGAGGTGCTCCACCAATGAAAACACACACTGACTGTATGACATCTAGAAACGTAATAAAACTTCCTCGTTTTATTGATGTCCACGTTCATGCTCGCGAACCCGGCGCTACCTACAATGAAGATTTTAACTCCTTCACTGCAGCTGCTCTTGCTGGTGGCATCACAATAATATGTGCAATGCCGAACACGAACCCACCTGTGATTGACCGGGCTGCTTACAAATACGCCTCAACACTCGCCAGAGTTAGTGCTCGATGTGATTATGCTCTGTTTGTTGGAGCATCATCTACAATCTGTGATACAGCTGCAGAAATTGCACCACAAGCAGCAGCATTAAAATGTATTTGAACGAAGCATTGTCACTACTTTAAAATTAGATGACTCGATGACTGTTTGGCAAAAACAAAACTGGCCGAAGAAAATGGTTGTGTGTGCACATGCTGAACGTGAAAAAACTGAAACCATTATTCTGATGGCCTCATTACCTAACCTAAGGCTGCTTTTGGACCCAAAGAGAGTGTCGGATATTATCACAGAAGTGGTAGACAGATTCGAAGTCAAGGACAATCTGGTCAGGTTGGTACAATTAAAAAAAAACAAAATAAATAAAAAAATAAAATATATAAACAAAGTAAAAAAAAAAAATTAAAAAAAAACCATGAAAATTCTAACCGACCGATTGATATTTGAGGCTCACCATCGCAATTTCACCAGTCTGTCTTATTTACGCAACTTACAAGTTATAGGAGGGCGACAAGTTGTAGAGAACTTTTTTGCCTCCTTGTACATACGTCTCTTGAATCCTTGGGCCTGAAAAATAAACTCTGGCGCGATCACAATTATGGAAAATATGCTTTGCTAACAGGATCGCTTGGAATAAATTAGTAAAATCTAAAGACCATAAAAACTGCTTTTGTTTTTTCACTGGTCAAAAAATTAACCGGTTTTAAAAAAATAATAACAAACTCTTTTTTTTTCTAAAATGTCAATTTCAAACGATGTAAGCGTTATACCTGCAATGATATAGGATCATTTTTACTTACTAAAGCGATAATCAAGCGTACCCATGAGTAGGCCTAGGACGTCATTTAGCTCAACAACTCGTGTGGCTATATTTTCAGACTCATCCCAGACCGCAAACTAGACAAATTCTGACAGAAAACCGAATTCATTAGGTCCTAGTAAATGAGCAATTCAATGGCCAAGCAAGATGCTTTTAACAAAATTCTAGCAGGTGCTAGCATAATACAAATATACACAGCCCTAATATTATATCATGGGCCTCCAGTGGTGACCAAAATCAAAACCTAATTGGCTGATTTACTAGAAAAAATTGATATAAAAATGTAAATGAAGTAGTTGGTAAAGGAGTACAATAGATTAAGATAAGTTGAATAGTAAATTATGTATGTGTTACAGGAAATGTATGAATTCTAGGAATTGTATACTATTCCTAGGAAATGTATACAATTCCGAAGCTATTTAGGAAATGTATAAAATATTGCTTCAGAGATTTTTTAATACGCACATATCCTAGGACATGTATACTTTTCCTAGGAATTTTATAGAATTCCAATATTGTATTAGGAAATGTATAAAACTAAGCGGCACAAGCGCGGTCGTGTGATCGGGTGCCCCTTGGTACGCCTTAAATTTCATTTAGCCAAACCACATTGGCCGATAGGTACTTTTAACTCACAACTATTATTGTTTAGCCTGAAAGTTGTTTTCACACTATTATACTTTAGCTGAAAAAAATATTTGCCTATTAGCATACCTTTCTTTCGGCATCACGGATATTACGCTGAAGTATTGGAAAACCCTAATTTTAACATCTCTTTTATTAAACTAGGCATGAAGGTTTTAGTACTCCTGTAGCTGGATAACAAAGTCTCGGTTAGGTTCGACTTGCGACATTATACATACACAGCGGCCGCGGCGCGGTAGCGCCATTTAAGTTTCGGAGAAAAAAAAGAAATCTTAATTACATTTCCGATTGCTGTTTAGGAAATGTGTAAATTTCCTAGGAAAAGTGTCTAATATAATTTACATCACACATTTCCGAGTGATTTTAGGACTTATACACAATACACAAATCCTAGGAATTGTATACAATGACGGATTTCATACATTTCCTGTAACATATGTATATCAGAAAACCTGATAGGAATTGCACAAACATCTTCATTCTAAAAGTATAATGCTGAGATTATTATATGCAATTACAATACAGTAAATGAGACTTAAGTGATACACTAAGTTAATAAGACATAGAATGAAGATTAAAAAGTACAAGCTACAAGAGTACAAGCTGTTATAGTAACTGCAATAAGTTATTTGAATAAAATAAATATTATTAATTAAATTAATGTAACTCGAAAGTTGTTGACATATTTTTCATAATAAAAGATGAATAAATGTTTGTACCTCAAGTCAATTATTGCCGTACAAATGCTTTGCTCGTTTACAATGATCTGAAGAGAAGTGGGGGTGCATCCGTAGTCTTTCGGCAGTTTGCGATCTGTGTATGAGTCTGGGATTATAAACACGCAGGAATTTGGCTCAGGTGCGAGAATACCAAGTGCCTGCTTTGGGTCCGCTCACGGGAACGTGTGGTAAGCACTAGTCGCTTTTGAAAGTAAATTAACAATAATAATTAATACATCAAAGCGTAAAGAGGCTGAGAAACCTGAGCTCGTACCGAAGAACGTGATAGAAACCATCCAACAAAAAATATAGAAGTAACTTTTGGTTATTTGGTTTTGGTTGGCAGGAAGCAAACTGCTCCTGGGCTACAGACTATAACGTAAAGACTCAAACATAAAATGTAAGTCAACATTAATTGTCGCCTCACTCAACCTCGATTACTATCATTTACCCGCTATCGTCGATGATGAACAGCAATTTTGATGCAGATGCAACCTTGAAATTAAATAAGATTAATGCTCTTTCTAAGACTGAAAGCGGACATTTGAATTATGAATTTCTCTCAACTCACAACAAAACGCGCAGAATGACAAAACTTTTCAGTGGGTCTAGACAAAGTGCAAATTATAATCGCAAACCAGTCGATAAGTGGTCGAAAAGCCCCTTTTTTGTATGGAGTTTTGACGGATTCGATTTTCGATTCGATCAAAAAGTGCGTTTTGTCTAGGGGGGCAGAACACGGGCACCAATGACAGACACAACAGTGACAACATGCCAAGTCAAATGAGTATACATAAACTTTTGCCAGGTGGCTAGTAATAGGTATGAACGGTAACAATGCTTCATCAATCTAACATTTGAATATCAGTGGAGACTGACGGAGAAAAGGTGGAATACAGAGTATGGAATCCCTTCAGATCGAAGTTGGCAGCTGCGATCATGGGAGGAGTGGACTCTATACACATGCCCCCTGGGTCCAGGGTTCTGTACCTCGAGGCGGCCAGTGGGACCACAGTCAGTCATGTGTCGGACATTATTGGCCCGGAAGGCCTCGTGTACTATCGGGGACTCTTCCGCCTGACCACTTTGTAGAAATTTTAGCGTAAGCGCATCGCTCCGGTCAACGTGCTCACCCCGTCTCTAATTGGTTACGCATTTTACTATATTTTTACTACGACCAATAAGAGACAATCAGGGCTTAGGTTGCAATACGAAATACCATTGTGCACTTTATTGTCATACGGTTAAGGTTTAAAACGAAATGTTTCTTTTTCTTCAATCTTTCTTAGTTTTAGGCTGAGTTGCACCACCTAACTTTGACCGTAGCTATAACGGTAACCGGTGCTTTTTGTATGGAGTTTAACAGATTTTTGACGTTTGTCAAAGTTAAAGTAAGATGGTGCAACTCAGCTTTAGAATTTTAATAATAGAATTTGGTTACAAACAAATAGATAATATGTATTTTTTTAATATTGTATTTTTATACGAGGTCTGTCTGCTTTTTGCTTTGGCGAACTGTCGACATAATATTCTCTCCTTTGTTTTTTGTGAAGTTTTGTGATCCCTAACCGATTGATTTTGTTTTGTGTTGACCCGTGCTAGTAGCAGACAAACTTAAACCACAAGAACAGTTGACCTTATCAGTGGAGACTGACGGAGAAAAGGTGTAATACTGGAAGGGAATGGAATCCCTTCAGATCGAAGTTAGCAGCTGCGATCATGGGAGGAGTGGACGCTATACACATGCCCCCTGCGTCCAGGGTTCTGTACCTCGGAGCGGCCAGTGGGACCATAGTCAGTCATGTGTCGGATATTGTTGGCCTGGAGAGCCTCGTGTACTCAGTAGAGTTCTCCCACCGGTCGGGCAGAGATCTGATCATTGTAGCCAAGAAGCGCACCAATATTGTCCCTATTATAGAAGATGCTAGACATCCACTCAAATATAGAATGCTAGTGGGTATGGTGGACACGATATTCGCCGACGTGGCTCAGCCAGACCAAGCTAGGATAGTGAGCCTGAACGCGCAGCACTTTGGAAGAATGGCGGGCATTTTGTTATTTCAATTAAGGCTTTCTGCATAGACTCCACCGCGCAACCAGAGGCAGTATTTGCTGCTGAAGTGAAAAAATTAAAAGCAGACAANCTGACGCTGCTTAGACCCGAAACATGAATGAATGGGGGCGTAGCTTAATTGAGCGTGTGTGTGCAAACAATTTAGGCCCTTAAGGTGTCAAGGCGTCCGAGTCCCCGATAGTACACAGTAGAGTTCTCCCACCGGTCGGGCAGAGATCTGATCATTGTAGCCAAGAAGCGCACCAATATTATTCCTATTATAGAAGATGCTAGACATCCACTCAAATATAGAATGCTGGTGGGTATGGTGGACACGATATTCGCCGACATGGCTCAGCCAGACCAAGCTAGGATAGTGAGCCTGAACGCGCAGCACTTTGGAAGAATGGCGGGCATTTTGTTATTTCAATTAAAGCTTTCTGCATAGACTCCACCGCGCAACCAGAGGCAGTATTTGCTGCTGAAGTGAAAACATTACAAGCAGACAAACTTAAACCACAAGAACAGTTGACCTTATCAGTGGAGACTGACGGAGAAAAGGTGTAATACTGGAAGGGAATGGAATCCCTTCAGATCGAAGTTAGCAGCTGCGATCATGGGAGGAGTGGACGCTATACACATGCCCCCTGCGTCCAGGGTTCTGTACCTCGGAGCGGCCAGTGGGACCATAGTCAGTCATGTGTCGGATATTGTTGGCCCGGAGAGCCTCGTGTACTCAGTAGAGTTCTCCCACCGGTCGGGCAGAGATCTGATCATTGTAGCCAAGAAGCGCACCAATATTGTCCCTATTATAGAAGATGCTAGACATCCACTCAAATATAGAATGCTGGTGGGTATGGTGGACACGATATTCGCCGACGTGGCTCAGCCAGACCAAGCTAGGATAGTGAGCCTGAACGCGCAGCACTTTGGAAGAATGGCGGGCATTTTGTTATTTCAATTAAGGCTTTCTGCATAGACTCCACCGCGCAACCAGAGGCAGTATTTGCTGCTGAAGTGAAAAAATTAAAAGCAGACAAACTTAAACCACAAGAACAGTTGACCTTATCAGTGGAGACTGACGGAGAAAAGGTGTAATACTGGAAGGGAATGGAATCCCTTCAGATCGAAGTTGGCAGCTGCGATCATGGGAGGAGTGGACGCTATACACATGCCCCCTGGGTCCAGGGTTCTGTACCTCGGAGCGGCCAGTGGGACCATAGTCAGTCATGTGTCGGATATTGTTGGCCTGGAGAGCCTCGTGTACTCAGTAGAGTTCTCCCACCGGTCGGGCAGAGATCTGATCATTGTAGCCAAGAAGCGCACCAATATTGTCCCTATTATAGAAGATGCTAGACATCCACTCAAATATAGAATGCTGGTGGGTATGGTGGACACGATATTCGCCGACGTGGCTCAGCCAGACCAAGCTAGGATAGTGAGCCTGAACGCGCAGCACTTTGGAAGAATGGCGGGCATTTTGTTATTTCAATTAAGGCTTTCTGCATAGACTCCACCGCGCAACCAGAGGCAGTATTTGCTGCTGAAGTGAAAAAATTAAAAGCAGACAAACTTAAACCACAAGAACAGTTGACCTTATCAGTGGAGACTGACGGAGAAAAGGTGTAATACTGGAAGGGAATGGAATCCCTTCAGATCGAAGTTGGCAGCTGCGATCATGGGAGGAGTGGACGCTATACACATGCCCCCTGGGTCCAGGGTTCTGTACCTCGGAGCGGCCAGTGGGACCATAGTCAGTCATGTGTCGGATATTGTTGGCCTGGAGAGCCTCGTGTACTCAGTAGAGTTCTCCCACCGGTCGGGCAGAGATCTGATCATTGTAGCCAAGAAGCGCACCAATATTGTCCCTATTATAGAAGATGCTAGACATCCACTCAAATATAGAATGCTGGTGGGTATGGTGGACACGATATTCGCCGACGTGGCTCAGCCAGACCAAGCTAGGATAGTGAGCCTGAACGCGCAGCACTTTGGAAGAATGGCGGGCATTTTGTTATTTCAATTAAGGCTTTCTGCATAGACTCCACCGCGCAACCAGAGGCAGTATTTGCTGCTGAAGTGAAAAAATTAAAAGCAGACAAACTTAAACCACAAGAACAGTTGACCTTATCAGTGGAGACTGACGGAGAAAAGGTGTAATACTGGAAGGGAATGGAATCCCTTCAGATCGAAGTTGGCAGCTGCGATCATGGGAGGAGTGGACGCTATACACATGCCCCCTGGGTCCAGGGTTCTGTACCTCGGAGCGGCCAGTGGGACCATAGTCAGTCATGTGTCGGATATTGTTGGCCTGGAGAGCCTCGTGTACTCAGTAGAGTTCTCCCACCGGTCGGGCAGAGATCTGATCATTGTAGCCAAGAAGCGCACCAATATTGTCCCTATTATAGAAGATGCTAGACATCCACTCAAATATAGAATGCTGGTGGGTATGGTGGACACGATATTCGCCGACGTGGCTCAGCCAGACCAAGCTAGGATAGTGAGCCTGAACGCGCAGCACTTTGGAAGAATGGCGGGCATTTTGTTATTTCAATTAAGGCTTTCTGCATAGACTCCACCGCGCAACCAGAGGCAGTATTTGCTGCTGAAGTGAAAAAATTAAAAGCAGACAAACTTAAACCACAAGAACAGTTGACCTTATCAGTGGAGACTGACGGAGAAAAAAAACTGTAAGGTTTTCTTTGTCAGCCGGTGACTAACTACGTAGAAGTCCAAAATACGTTTGCAAAAAAAATGCCACGCAGTAACTGTTCCAAGGCACAACAACAGGCGAGATCTTAATTGGATTCAAATTACCTTCCCAAATAATTTCGCCTGCAGAGGAGAATAGCTGGACCCACTAACCACAAGGCGCAACGAGTCGCAATCTCGTGAGAGGATGGCGGCATCGCACATACTTAGCGCGTTGAAACCAAACGGTTTTCAACCTGCCGACAAAACTATTTGGGAATTTAAATAAAAATAAAATTATGCGTACATCTGCTTAACCACACGTAGTGATTGGTCCAAGGCACAACTGCGTAAAAAACCACGAAAGTTGGTACAGAACGAAAGTAACCAATACCTTAAGAGTTTTCTCCTAGTGAAAAAAAAGTGTAAGGTTTTCTTTGTCAGCCGGTGAGTAACTACGTAGAAGTGGAAAAACAAAATGGCCGCGCCGCCATCTTGGATCGAAAACGCGTTTTCAGGGGTGGTTTTGGGGAGGTGTCATACCGATATGCGCAATTGTTTTTGAAAATTTATTTTTATTATTTGTGTCATGTATAGTCTTCTTAAGAGCCACATTCACAGATTGTCAAAAAACATGATGGCGGCTGAGCCGTCGGCCATTTTGTTGCGATCATGAAATTCCCTAAAGTTTGACACCAATTTTCCGGTAGATGGCGACACCGGAGTAGGGTACAATGTTCCGGGCGATTGTTGGTCTGTTATTCGAGTGTTACCATGAATCGGAAAAAACTACCATTTTGGTAGAAAATTTTCCAAAACGGCCCCGGAAAGTAGAAAATGGAAATTTCCAGAAATTCCATAAAGTTGGTATACAGTCTGGTGACATTTGGGGACCCGAATAACATTTCACCATTGAAAAAAAGTCTGGCAACGCTGAAAGTTACGGGGAAAACAAATTTTCGCGACATGGGTGTCTTTAAAGTTAGTGACAGATAGAAAGAGTTTGCTGTCACAGGGATCAAGCTTTATTTTACAAGTATTAAGTCAGATTTATAGAGTAACTATTGGACTACTAAAAATCAAGTACCTACCTATTTTTTGGATAATAAAAACATTTTCAGGATTTTATTTTTAAGTAACAACTTTAAGCACGTATTCAGCAACTACAAATACCTAATCCGTGGCAGGACGCTTTTCAAACTCAATATTCGAGAAGACCACTTCTCTCTTTTGGTGACCATGTTCACAGCATTCACACTCGAGCTGCCAGCGCTGCGAGATGTCCTCCGGGAAGTGTCGGCATCTATATTCTAACTACAATCTTTGCCATGTTAATAAGATCATCAACTGAGACGAAAACATTATGCCATCCAAGTTAAGAAGACACTGCTGGGGTGAAAGTCCACAAAACTGCATGTAAAAGTACAATCAAACAAAAATTATTCATAGGAACCAAACCCCAATGAAACCCATAATATTGTGCGACTTGTGTTAGAAAATCTATCCACCCCTTGCTTGTTGTACGCCGATGACTTAAAGCTTTTCAACTCGATCACCAGTACCAGAGACTGTGAAGCAATGCAGAGAGATCTTGAAGCGGTTGCGGTTTGGTGTGAGTCGAATCGAATGTTCCTCAATATAAAAAAATGTTTTGCCATGTCTTTCACTCTAAAGAAGCGAAAAATACACTATGATTACAGGATAGACCATCAAATACTGGATCGGAGCAACGTGACAAGGGATTTGGGTATATATTTTGATGACACACTCTCCTTTCGCTCTCATTACGACCATATAACCAAGAAAGCACTACAGTTACTAGGTTTCATCTCTAGAAACACGAAGGGTTTTAGAAACCCAAGAAGTTTCCTTACACTTTACTTCAGCCTAGTTAGAAGCACACTAGAGTACGGTTCAGTTGTATGGTCTCCTCACTATGCTATTCACCGCAACAGACTTGAAAATGTCCAAAAGAAAGCTCTCAAAATCTTAAGCTACCGACAAGGAGTCAGCAGACAATGCCGTTCATATGAGGATCGCTTACGTAAATATAACGTGGTGCCACTTCATATCCGCAGAAATGAACAAGAGCTCATTTGTCTCCACAAAATACTGCACTCCCACATATACTCTCCCAAATTGTTAGGTAAACTTAGCTTTAGCACGAATCACAATCCCCGCAGGCCTAAAACCTTCTCAATTTCTCTTCAACGTAAAAACGTCTCATACTACCAGCCTCTTCTTAGAATGTGCCGATTGTACAATGAACTTGCATTCTTGGATGATAGTCACCTGGATATCTTCGACCAAAGGAAGCATACATTTAAGAAACATGTCAAGGATGCCCTCAGCCAAGCTACCCATGACTCGTCATAAATAATGTTGAGGAACTCTTTGTTTTGTTTTGTTTACTCTGCACTAACACTACTGCATTAACACTTTCCGATTTATTTACCTATATATATATATTTTTGTACCTAATGCATGTATAACAAATCTGTGAAAACATATTTAGGGTTACATTTTAGTCTATATCTACATTTAAGTATTATTTAAACCATGTAAAGAATGTAATCTGTTTTGTTTTCCAAATAAATAAAAAAAAAAAAAAAAAAAAAAAAATTGACCAAATGATCCAATGAAATATAATGGGACCGACAGTGTGTGAGAAGATGCCCAAAAACTTGCCGAGCTGAGAAACCGATACATTCGGGTAACATTAAAAATTTTAATACTGCAAAATCATAAGACTGCTCGATTGAATTCTGACATTCACTGGAGTCAAGCATGTTAATCCCGACTATTCTTTTGGGGAGCGTTACCCGAAGACGGAGCCAGATGCGCTTAAAGTGTTTAACACAGTGCGAGAGGTGACCAGATATTTCAATGTTCCGGATCACCGTCTATCCTATTTAATTTTCCGCAACTTAAAAGTTATAGGAGAGCGACAAGTTGAAGAGCACCTTTTTGCCTCCTTGTACACAGTAAAACGTCTCTTGAATCCTAGAACAGGAGAAGTGGCATGTTTCGGAGAAAACCGTTACGAAGTTCAATACGCTTTCAATCCCAACTCTGAAGAATTTTACATCATTGAAGTAAATGCTAGATTATCTCGAAGCTCAGCGTTAGCGAGTAAGGCAACTAGTTATCCGTTGGCATATGTGGCTGCCTAATTGGCCCTTGGTATCCCATTGCCTGTAATCAAAAATTCTGTCACGAGAGTAACAACGGCCTGCTTTGAGCCCAGCTTAGATTATTGCGTGGTAAAAATACCAAGATGGGACTAAGCTAAATTCAACAAAGTAAGCCCAAAAATTGGAAGTTCAATGAAAAGTGTAGGAGAAGTAATGGCCATTGGACGAAACTTTGAAGAAGCTTTCCAAAAAATTCTAAAGAATGGTCGATGAAAATTTAAATGGATTTGATCCGAATATTAAAACAGTAAATGAAAACGAGTTGAGAGAACCTACAGATAAAAGAATGTTCGTGTTAGCAGCTGCTTTAAAGGAAGGTTACGACGTTGAAAAGTTATACGAACTTACAAAAATTGACAAATGGTTTCTGCATAAATTCAAAAACATAATCGATTATTATGAAACTCTTATAGCTGTTGGCAGTACTTCGATAAACTCGGAAACTTTAAAGAATGCCAAGAAAATCGGGTTATCAGATAAACAAATAGCAGCTGCTATAAAGAGTACGGAATTAAATGTGAGAAAACTCAGGGAAGATAATCATATCACACCGTTCGTAAAGCAAATTGATACTGTGGCAGCAGACAGAATGGCCAGCTTCAACCAATTATCTTTATTTAACTTA